CCTGTGTGTGAGGGGAGGCTGGCTGTGTGCTGTGGCGGTGTGGGGGGAGGCTGGCTGTGTGCTGAGGCGGTGTGAAGAACTCAAAGCTTCTCAGCACCGTGTTTGATCCTACTCTATTTAGGGTGTTAGTTGGGGTTCATATTGTGAGGAGGAGGAAGTGTGTGAGAGTACAGGAGCGTGTAGAGGTGGCGGGGCGTGCGCGGGACACAGGTGGGTGTGGACACTGACGCGCCGCGTACACTAACATTATCACGACAACTCTCTCAAACATTCATGGAAGTTACACTCTTATTGTACACTTAAGAAGGACGACGCATATAACAGTTGTGTAACTGTCGTGGGTGAGGTCAGGTAGAGGGGGGGAGCTGGAGAAGATGGTCCAGAGGGTAGAGAGGTTAGTGGGCATAGGGAAGGAGGTGGAGGTGGCCACATATGGAGGGTGCGCCTTACTGGTTCTTCTAATATGGAGTTTGGAAGGTAGAGAGGAGTGGCTTCTGGCTTACCTGGGCCACACCACCACCGGTCAGTGGCTTCTTGCCTGGGCCACACCACCACCGGTCAGTGGCTTCTTGCCTTGGCCACACCACCACCGGTCAGTGGCTTCTTGCCTGGGCCACACCACCACCGGTCAGTGGCTTCTTGCCTGGGCCACACCACCACCGGTCAGTGGCTTCTTGCCTGGGCCACACCACCACCGGTCAGTGGCTTCTTGCCTGGGCCACACCACCACCGGTCAGTGGCTTCTTGCCTGGGCCACACCACCACCGGTCAGTGCTCCTTACCTGGGCCACACCACCACTGGTCAGTGCTCCTTACCTGGGCCACACCACCACCGGTCAGTGCTCCTTACCTGGGCCACACCACCACCGGCTCCTTATCTGGCCACACACTTGCGTGAAGAGGAATCCTAAATATTGCTGTAACTAGGCCTTAATATGTTGCCTAACAGTTCTGCTGCAAATCTATCTCCAACACCGTCACAAGCTGGAAACAGTTGGATAATTAAGCCCTGGCACTATCTCATACGGGTTCCTCTACCATCTCATACTAAAACATCTTTACAGAACGTATTTTAGTGTCCACACTTCCTCTTTCACCACATGGGATAGGTAACATTTTCTTAATGTTAGACGAGATGAGGCAGAGGGAAGTTGATGCCCTACACGAGCACTAGTGAGTCAAGCCGTGTGCGGGGCCGCCATTGAGAAGTGTGTGGTGTTGAGTAAGTGCGGAAAGCTTATCTAGCAGCATGTCATATCCGGCGGTGTGGTGGAGCGTTCACCAGTAGGTATTATCAGCGTGGGTGCCAGTGTGACGATACTGGTGGTGGCCGCCGCCGCGCGCTTCTCCCCGACCACTGCCCTCACTCCAACAACCACCGGTGCCCATCTACCACGCTGGAAGTCTCACCAGTGCACATTTAGCACACTCCGGCACCCCAGGAGTTCCGTCCGGGTCACGCTGCAGCGCCAGTCACATCTTTATATTGGCCATATGCAGACGGTCTGAGAGCGTCGTGGAGAGTGTAGTCGTGCCTTGCCGCTGTGTGTGTACAAGAGTGCAGGCGGCTCAGGGACGCACTCGTACTGTGAGTGGCACGCCAGCACCTTCCTGGCACTCACTCTGGTCACTCGCTTGATGAGTACCGCTGTTTGGTCTGGCCCTCTGTGCATGCTGCTGCCTGCCCACATGCCTGTTTGTCAAAGATCAATTGTTGAAAAATAGTGCAATATTTTGGTGGAAGTGTTTGATATAAGAAATATACCCACAGCATATTTCATTGTTGAAAAGACTAAGACGAGACGCTTATGACAGACCACAAGGGATGGAGTTAGTGTGGGTGACATGGTAAGGAACAACATTGACAGTACATATAATAAGAGGCGGGTGGTGAAGAGTTGAGTTAGAGTGAGTGAGTGAGTGTGGAGGCTGAGGGCCAGCATGCTGAGCTGAGCCCCGTACTCAACACGCATATTGAACACCGCCACCACCACCACGCTCCACTAGCCATGTTTCGCTCTAACAAAATCGTAAGTTTACTTCAAATTTACCAGAGTTTTCCTATAGTAGTTTAGATTGTCTATAGTAGGCCTAAATTTTAGAGGAGCCGTTGTGTTACTAGTCAGTGTTTACTGGTGATGCTGCGCTTGTAGGTATTGGTGCTTGGTGGGTAAGACGACCCGCCTTGATCCCCAGGTGACTGACTCACCCGTTGACTCACTCACCCGTGTCACGGGTGAGTCAACGGGTAATGATCTTGTACCACCCCGGCCTCCTAAGGTTTCCCAACGTCAAGAAATATGTCAATTTAAAGTGTCCTCTCCTAACCTACCAGAGGACCCAAAACAGAACACGGGACAGTACGTCACTTTCGCCAGCCGCTTCCAGTTTCTAGTAAGACAGTTTTTGGCCTTATGTAACGCATACGTGGGAAAAGCGACGTTCTTTGTAGAAGTTGTCTGTAGAGCCGTGTACCTAGACTTTACCTCACAGATCCTTACTCTAACCATTCCTTTGACCTTTACCTTTCACCGTCTGCACTCCTAACTGTCCATCTCCCCCAGCGACCACCCTCCCCCAGCGACCACCCTCCCCCAGCGACCACCCTCCCCCAGCGACCACCCTCCCCCAGCGACCACCCTCCCCCAGCGACCATCCTTCCCCAGCGACCACCCTCCCCCAGCGTCCACCCTCTCTCAGCGACCACCCTCCCCCAGCGACCACAGGATACCATTACTATAATGTGTTATCGATGCTGTAAGGTTATGCTGCCCCCACGTTACCAGGCAGTAGAGGTGACGACCCTGGCAAGTGTTCAACCCCCCCCCCGCCACACTTGTTCACTTGAAGATGGGTGGTCTTCTTGCTCTTCTTCATTAACCATCTTAGCTACACACCATCCAAGCTTGTTAACTCTTGGTCTGGTTACCACCTAGAGTAGTAACCTTATAAACACAACGTAACTCTCCCTATTTTCCGCTTGTTACAACTTGTAATAAAGTTGTTACATCTTGTTATCACGTTTTTATGACGTATTATAACGTTGTTACAACTTGTTAGGTGTTAAACCTTGTTGGAACGTTGTAGCAACGTGATAGTTTGGTCGTGTGTTTGGCGGGAATCCTGCTAACAAATTACCTTCTCATTATTGTATTATATTTCTAATGAGAAAAATACCTATTGTTTCCTCCTGTGGTGAGAGAGAGAAATAGCAGGCGATGAGTGTTCATCAGAGGCACAACCTGTAAGGATATTGGGCATAATATTGTGTGGGGCGGTTTCTGACTTGAATAAAAAACATAAAATGAGAGAGAAAGCGAGCACCAGCCGCTGGTTGGGGATTATCCAGGAGCCAACATCAGACTGATAACAACACAAGACCAATCCAGGAGTATGCGGCCCCAGCATGGAGCCCGTACCTTGTCAAACACAAGACGAAACTGGAAAAAGTTCAGAGGTATGCCACTAGACTAGTCCCAGGACTAAGAGGCATGAGTTACGAGGAAAGGCCGCGGGAAATGCACCTCACGACACTGGAAGACAGAAGAGTAAGGGGAGACATGATCACTACCTGTAAAATCCTCAGGGGAATTGACTGGGTAGATAAAGATAAACTGTTTAACACTGGTGGTACGCGAACAAGGGGACACAGGTGGAAACTGAGTACCCAAATGAGCCACAGGGACGTTAGAAAGAACTTTTCCAGTGTCAGAGTAGTTAACAGATTAAATGCATTAGGCAGTGATGTGGTGGAGGCTGACTCCATACACAGTTTCAAATGTAGATATGATAGAGCCCAGTAGGCTGAGGAATCTGTACACCAGTTGATTGACAGTTGAGAGGCGGGACCAAAGAGCCAGAGCTCAACAAATAGGTGAATATAAGGCATGAATTAAACCTCACGTGCTGGAAGACAGGTTAAGGAAGATATGATTATCACATACTGGGCTCTATCATATCTACATTTGAAACTGTGTATGGAGTCAGCCTCCACCACATCACTGCCTAATGCATTCCATCCGTTAACTACTCTGACACTGGAAAAGTTCTTTCTAACGTCCCTGTGGCTCATTTGGGTACTCAGTTTCCACCTGTGTCCCCTTGTTCGCGTCCCACCAGTGTTATTTTACATACAAAATTCTCGGGGGAACTGGTAGGGCAGAGTATTTATCACTTACCACAAGGAGACAGGTGGAAACTGACCACCAATTGTGAGATACTATATTGTGATCAGTGTCAGAGTAGTGAAGAAAGAGGTAAGGTTGTAGAGGCACACCCCAACACAGTGGCAGATGTGTGTAACTCATCAAGAACTTAACACGTAATCAAAAACGTATAAATACGAAGGCAAATGATCTGAAAAATTACTTAAGTACTGTCTTGTTGAACAACACTTCTTCATAAGTATCATATACTTCACACACGTCTTCAGAAGTTTATAATATACCTCTGAAGATATGTTGCTTCACACGCAAGTGCTTAAGTAACTTAATGTTTCAGTTTCCGTTTATTAAAAGGCTTTTCATAGTTTCAAATGTAGATGTGACAGAACCTAATTGGTTCCGGAACCTGTTGATGATTGAGAGTTTAGAGGCGGTACCAAGGAGTCGGAGCTCAACCCCGCAAGCACACTCAGTATAATTTGGTGAGTACACGGGTACCACACCAACACAGCAGTATAACCTTTACTCATCACACTCAGATTCATTACGAACTCACCATGGCCCGTACTACTTGGAACTTTTTGTTCTGAGAAGCTGAACCTATAACAGCAACAAACAGATTGCCTCATTATTCCACTGTACCGGAGGTACATCGTGATCGCCTACCACCAAAACATATTTTAGTTTATAATTTATAATTTGTTATTATTTTGGCTACCCTTTTTGTTTTATTTGTGATTCGTTAGTATATTTATTCATTGCTATTAGCTTTTGTTTATATTGTGAATAAGTGCGTGGTTGAGTAAGAGGAGTGTTGAGTAAGCCATTGTGGTGCAGTTGCAGAGTAAGCGGGAGATGTTCTTCAAGACGGAGGCTGGGAGTGGGGGCTCTGGTGGTGGGGGCACGCCCCTCGCCGCCCCCACCACAGCACCCCCCGCCCCGCCTGTCACCGCCCCCTCCACGGCACCGCCCCCACCCCCCTCCAACACCACCCCCCCGGCCTCCGCACCTGCCAGCGTCGCCTCTATCAAGGAACAGCTCCTCACCACGAAGGAACGCAAGGAACACAAGGACGAAGAGAACAAGGAGGTAACGTGTTAGTATTGTCTGTACTCCTCTAAATATGCCTGGAGGGTTGAGCTCCTCAGCCTCCAGTTACCAGCTGTCGATTGCCTTAATGTATCGACTCCTGTCACATCCCCCCTCCCCCCTCTTAGTTCATTAAAACTTGTTCACTTCTCTTCGCTACATACACTTCTATTGGTGTCTCCTTGTTCTCCCCTGCCCTATACTGAACATGTCTCCTTGTTCTTCTCTGCCTAATCCTGAACATACCCCCTTATCAACACTATCAACCTACCCGAGAGGTTATAAGTAGTTATCTTGTGTGCAAGATTGCGTCTCGGGTGGTGAGGTTCGGCTCCCTCAGCCTTACCTCACAGTTCTCAACTTATTGGAGTAACTTTGTTTGTTTAGGTGTGTGTGTGTGTGTTGGGTAGTGTGGGGCCTTACCCACCTCCAGACTCTTCTTATATTTGCCAGGTTCTCTTGTGCTCATAATGGTATCTTATATGAGGCTGGTGATATCAGGTTATATCAACTCCCAGCACCTCCTCCTCTACCTATTTTAGGTAGTGATGTCTCATTCCTGGTTCCTTCGGTTATCATTACCCCGCACTTACCTGGGTTTAAGTCTACTAGCCATTAATCCCAGCATCAATACAGATTGTAATGTTGAAGCATTTGTATCGCTCCGGAACTGATAAGAGTACGAAATATTCTGAAATTGAGTGTTATGTAGAGCACAACACAAGTAACCGCGCGAGTGAGGTCACACTGGAGGGCTTCACTATCATATACCAGGCATCACAGTATATATGCTGCTATACCTCCTATATCGGATACCACACTGTGTATATAGTGTATATATATGCGTGTATATATATATATATATATATATATATATATATATATATATATATATATATATATAAAAAATACACACACACACACACACACACATACACAGAAAGAACTTTTTTAGTGTCAGAGTGGTTGACAAATGAAATGCATTAGGAAATGATGTGGTGGAGGCTGACTCCATACACAGTTTCAAGTGTAGATATGATAGAGCCCAATAGGCTCGGGAATCTGTACACCTGTTGATTGACGGTTGAGAGGCGGGACCAAAGAGCCAGAGCTCAACCCCCGCAAACACAACTAGGTGAGTACACACACACACAAGACTCAGAGGAATTGATAAGAGTAGATAGTCATTTGTGTGTGTGTGGGAGAGAGAGAGGGGAGCGGACGTACGGTATCTAGTAGATATGAAACAAAATTAGGTAGGGAGTCAGTACATTAGACAACCTATGGTTAAAAAAGGTGGGGTCCAAGAGCTAACACTCGAACCTGAAGGCACAAACAGTAAAGACTGCCTTTTCTTATTCTCATATGTAACTGGATTGTACCTGAAAAAGGTTTTGAGAGTTATTCTACTCCTCCTAAGCCCGACTCGGAGCCAGGCTTTGTCTCATGAGAACTTGGTTGAGCAGACAGTTGCAACCCCACACATCCACTACAACCTGTTTAGTCCGGCACGTCTTGCACGAAACTCTACTTTTTGTTGTTGCTGAATAAGTTCACTTTTGTTCCGGCAATATTTCTTACGGTTGTTGGGAGGTTATTGAGCAGCCGTGGACCTCTGATGTTCACACAGTGCTCTCTGATTGTACCTATGCCACCTCTACTCTTCACTGGTTCTCTTCTGCTTTTCCTTTCATTTCGTTCGCGCTAGTATGATGTTATTTTACTGTGCAAACTTTATTGTGTTATTTTTACTATGTTGGCCAGGATGCCACCCAACTCCATGATGGCCAGGGTGGCACCCAACTCCATGTTGGCCAGAGTGCCACCCAACTCCTGGCTGGTGAATCAGCAGCTCAACTAACAATGAAGTGTAATGCACTATAATACATCCTTGGGCACGAGGCCAGACTTGACACACTTATTGCATAATGTGGTACTTGAGCTGGAGAGTGGAGGAGGAGCTTACGTGAGCCTGGACACGTGTCACACCCGGTACTACCATGCACCAGTACCAGTACTATCATGGACTTGTACTGGTCACTGGTACTACCATGCACCAGTACTGGTAGGGAGGCACTGGTACTTCCATGCACCAGTACTGGCAGGGAGGCAGTTTCATGGAGACCAAAGACCTTCACAACCCAGGCCAACATGGATTTCGAGCGGGAAGATAGTGCCTCTCACAGCTACTTGACCACTACGACAAATTCACTAAGGCATTAGAAGAAAAACAGAATGCATATGTGGTATACACGAACTTTGCAAAGGCATTCGATAAATGTGACCATGGAGTGATAGCACACAAAATGAGGTCAATGGAAATAACCGGTAAAGTAGGACGCCTCCCAGAACCCCATCAAGCAGGTATCAAGCAGTATTGGAACAATGTGTTATCAATCATTTATCATTTACATGAAGCAAAACCCTATTTTACTTGGATAAAACCTCTTCCTCTGAGCACTGTCCTCCCTCCTATGGGCACTGTCCTTTCTACGAGGCACTGTCCTTTCCCCCCCCCAAAAAAAAAAAAAAACAACACAGTCCTCTCTTCATAGGGCACTAACCTTTGTCAAGAGGGCAATATCCTCTGTTCACAGTACACTGTCCTCCCAGCATTCTCTTTTCGCCCCTACTGTAGACAGACCAAACTACACAGCTTCCTATCATCCTTGGCCAACAATTATAATGACAGCATCTGTTGTAGTGCAGTGTGGCAGCCCCAAGTGTACAGGGGGGATTCCCAGGTGTAGTGTGGCCTCACCCCAGGTGTACCAGTGTTTTGGCCCCACCCCAGGTACACCAGTGTTGTAGTATCCCCAGGTGCACAGGGTAGAGCCACTCGTGTAGTGTGGTAGCCCCAGGTGTACCAGTGTTGTGGTAGACCTATGTGTAGAGGGTAGAGAACCTGGTGTAGTGTGGTATCCCAAGGTGTACCAGTGTAGTAGCCCCAGGTGTAGAGCCTCTGGTGTAGAGTATGACTCAGTTTTGTGTCTCGACAGAACAAGCTGGTGAAGGAGTTGGTGAAGGAAAGACGACCGCGGGAGGTGGATGGCTACGTGGGCTTCGCCAACCTGCCCAACCAAGTATACCGGAAAGCAGTGAAGCGAGGCTTTGAGTTTTCGCTAATGGTGGTGGGTAAGTACCACGAGTTATGTTCATGACCCATCTCTCTGCTCTGGCATGCCCCATTGCTTGCTCCATCCATCCTTCGTATTGGGTAGTGCACCTCCCTACACTCTTCTTGTTGGGTTGTGCACCTCCCTCTACCCGGCCTGTTGGGTAGTGCACCTTCCTCTGCTGTCCGTACTTAGAACAAACCCATTACCACAAGACAAACCCCACATCAAAACCACCTGGATAGTTATTTAGACATTTGTGATTGTGTGAAAGCATGTTGCAGTTTTATTAATAGTCTACATGTAAACTAGCAAGTGAACCGTGTCGTCAGCAGATAATATTCTCAAGTTATATCTTTATTGTATTATAAATTGTTGATTTAAAATATAAAAAAGTATAAGTTTAACACATTCTCTTTGAAATGGTCTGAAAAATTTGTAAACAAAATTCTCGGGTACACTCAAATAGTTTTCAAATTCTATATTTCACGTTATTGTTAATAATAAACTATGTTAACATAAATAAACGTAATGAAACCAAACCTAACCAAACTTTAACGTAACCTAATCAAACTTTAACGTAACCTAATCAAACTATAACTTAACCTAACCAAACCTTAACCAAACCTTAACCTAACCAAACCAAACCTAACCTTAACCTAACCAAACCTAACCTTAACCTAACCAAACCTTAACCTAACCTTAACCTAACCTTATAACCTTACCTAATCTAACCTTAACCTTACCTAATCTAACCTTAACCTTACCTAACCTTACCTAACCTTAACCTTACCTAACCTAACCTAATCTAATCTAACCAAATCTTAACCTAGCCTAACCAAACCTTAACCTAATGTAACCTAACCTTAACCTAATCCTAACCTTAACCTAATCCTAACCTTAACCTAATCCTAACCTTAACCTAATCCTAACCTTAACCTAATCCTAACCTTAACCTAATCCTAACCTTAACCTAGACCTAACCGTGGGTAACCTAACCATGAGTGAAGGTAATGGTATTGGGTGTGTGACTGGGACAGTATTGGTTAGAGTAATGGGGTCAAGCGGAGCGGAGAAGGTGTCGGCCTCAGCTGTGATCTCCTCAGCGGTACATGCAACACGGGTCTCATTTACATACTTAGTTTTTTGTGGTGTGTGGATGACAAGTGTGAGTGATGACTCAGATGGCAGTGAGGTGGTCGTCTCCACCCGGGTATAGGGTGCCCCTTCAGGCGGCGCTGCTCACCTCTCACTGACCAGTCACCAGCACCTTCTCACAGCTACATTCCCCCCTTCCCCTTCACCACTTCCCTTCTACTTCCTCTTGCCTTTAAATGTCCTGATGATAGACTAAAACTAGTACTGTACTTGAGTAGTGTGATTGTTCCTTGTCTGTAATGCTTTTGATCACTTGTGTTGGGAGTGCAGGTGTGGCAGGTGGTCGTCCACTCTCCATGTACTCCACTACTATAGTCATTCTCTCGGCAGTTACTCGCACACAGTTGCCTCCTGCCTTTCACTACAATAACATGAATACGTATTGTAGTCAGTTGCTGGATAAGTAGACATATCTGGAGTATACCTGGAGTGGCTTCTAGGAGCTTCTCTACAAAGAAATATGTGAGATCCTAAAAGAACAGTATGAGGCAATACGCCTGTATATAACACCCAGTAAACAACATGGAAGTTGAAGATCCGATCACCTTCTTTATAAGCGATATCCAAGACTTTGACAATGGCACTGATATTAACAAGCACAGTAGACTTTGAAGGAGAAATTGACAACATACCCATGTACTCAGCCTTGGGGGTCAAACTCCTGGAACTCCATATTTACAAAGAATTGCAGCACAAGTGTTCAGTGTAAAATGAAGAAAAAGCTAGCATACGGTCGCAACTTCCAACTATGATCTCTTGTTCTTCCTACTCTCATTTATAATAGGATATCTTTGTCCATCATTTTTATTTGCCTCAGTATTTGTCATGTTGTGATTGTATCCCTTGAATTTCTTTCCTGTAGAATGAGAAATTGAGTTCCCTGAGCCATTCATAGCTTAGCCTGCTCAATTCTGGTATTAGTTTAGTTGTACACTTGTGTCTTCAATGTAATGTGTGTGTGGTAGAGGTGCTGCCATGTCTGTGTTGCATACTCCAGTAGCAGTGTCATGCAGGCTGTGCTGAATGAAACCTTGTCATATTCCAGTGATGTTAGCATGTTGTCCTGGACAGCAAGTAGGTCTGTTTACATCCTCAATCTACAGTGTTCATCTATTTTCAATTCTATTATGGTACCAGACATCTGGAAGTGTGACATCTGGAAAAAGGAAGATAAATGTTGTAATAAGTGTATTTGGTCATTTTGATGCCAGGTGGAAAGTACCATTATTTAACATGTTTCAGTTTGTATAGTTCTGAACTATGCCACCAGTGGAATGCTGACCTTGGCATATGCTGAATGTGGAATACATACTTCAGCCACGTTATTGTGACTCATCGCCTGCATAAGGAGAGTGGTGATAATGATAGTGATGATAGGGATAGTGGTGACTGATTGATGGTGTTGGTAATGATGATAGTGGTAATAATAATAGTGGCATTGATAGTAATAGTGATGATGATAGTAGTGGTAGTAACACTAACGATGGTGAGATAACTAATAAGTTTTGCTTTGCTGCAGGTGAGAGTGGGTTAGGGAAGAGCACGCTCATCAACTCCATGTTCCTCTCGGACATTTACTCCAATGACCACCCGGGACCCTCTCACCGCGTCAAGAAAACCGTACAGGTAACGCCTTACCCCTTCCCCCCATCTCTCAGGCAACAGTGCCTTACTTCCCATCCTTATGGGTCCTATGGCAAATGATTGATGCCACTATTTGAATTGGTAAATCAAACTTATGAGAGTTGAGGATGCTTAAAGAAACACAAATTTAACTTCATTATATATATATATTGAATTAAAATTTTATTTATAAAAAGATGTACAATATTTTTTATATTGGCTAATTTTTGTATTAGTTTTTGTATGGACCTTACATTAACCTACACTGTGTCATAACCAGGTAGAGACAACCAAAGTCCTGCTAAAAGAAAATGGGGTTAATCTGATGTTGACGGTGGTGGACACGCCAGGGTTCGGAGATGCTGTTGACAATAGTGACTGGTAAGTCAACCACTTACTTTTCTTTTATATTGCCCATGTGATAATTTTTCTATGATAATGAAATACTCTTTATAGTAATTTAGACTTTCGACTTACCCAACATCTGTCATGCCTTGGTTAGTCTTAATTTAAAATTATAGGCCCTGAGGAATGATGGTTTGAGTATAAATGACAAATCTCCTTTTTAGTGGGCCACTTGGATGTTCTTTAAGTAATGCCCTGCCAAGCCAGATAAACAGGCTTTTCCTTAGCAACAGGGATCTTTTCAGTTGTCTCTAGCCAATCATAGTGGGTAAAAATAAATACTGGAGGAAGAAAAGCTAAAAACTCTGAAATAACCTGCAGAAGATTCATCCGTGTACACTGGAAACCCTCTCCAAGTAATACTCGGCCTTAAAGAGACTGCTAAATATCACTACTGTTTGATTGTTGACCCACCTGGCTCTTGCTTCATAAGATAACTCGGATGATGCTATTCAGTGTATGATTACAGTTACATGTAAACAATGAGGTAACCCTCTCTTAGTGCTCACATTATTCCCTCAACTGATGTTTCTGACTAGCTAGATGTGTTGGCCAGGGGAAAAGCCTGACTAAATTAGTAAAATGATACTGTGCAGTCTTTAAGGTTTATTATTCTGTGTTATGAATGATCTTTCTGGCGGTCATTTCAGACTAAACAAGTTTTTTTTGTCCCTTTTCCCATTATGACTCGGTGAAGACATTTCTAAAGGCCGCAGTGCCTTGAAAGTAATTGTCTTGCCCTGTCCTCTTTAAGAGCAGAACATTGCCTAAGGAAGTAACCAGGTGGTATGGCTCAGAAATATAGGCCTGCTGCTATTTGCTTCTTCAGATATGGGAAGAATTTAATTAAGAATCTTCTGTAAAATTGTTGACATTTTTCAGTTGGCAGCCAGTAACAGACTATGTGGAGACCAAATATGAAGAATATCTTAACTGTGAATCAAGAGTGAACAGAACACAGATCAGTGACAGCAGGGTAAGTGATGGCTGGCTTTATTGCCTAAAGATGCCTCTATATTTGTCATCACATATATCTTGCATCCTAACTCCTTTTATTTATATCAATTTGATTACATTAAATAACTAAGGTATCTCCAAAGGAATGCTTTACACGGTAGTTTTCACCTTTTTGCTGGGAATAATGACAGCAACACATGACACCCAAGAAGGTTTTGCATACATTCATATATTATCATTGTCACACGTTCCACTTTCTTGGAATGAGGAAGGAAGTTTAGCAATAGGTGCAGTTATGTTTCATTTTTTAGGAGGAATGGTTATAGAGGTACTGTACACCATTTATATTTGGAATATGTGTCTTCAACCATGCTCTAAGCTCTGTTAATTTTCATCAAAGCCCAGTTGTTTTAAAGTTTAAACAAAAATCCATAATTGCATAGGATGAAATTACTTACACTACACTTATGAAATTTATTTTACTTATTTGTATTTGCTGGAAGTGCAGGAATAGATGGAACATAGGTACTATATGCAAAATTCTGAGGGGAATGAATAAGATTGATGATGATAGCCTCTTTAAAATGAGAGAAAATAGAACAAGTGAAAATATATGGGTAGGGTGCGTGGGTTTGGCTGGCGGGCGGGCCAGCCGGCTGGTTGGTTGGTTGGTTACTTCATAGTAAATTATCTATGGTAGGGATATATTTGTTGCACTAATTTTTTTGTGTGATACATTGTTAAAAGACTGTTTGGCATTTGTTGTTTTTTCTGCAGGTACACTGTTGCCTGTACTTCATTGCTCCATCGGGCCACGGCTTGAAACCCCTCGATGTTGAGTTTATGAGACGCCTCCACGACAAAGTGAACATTATTCCAGTTATATCCAAAGCTGACACTCTCACACCTGACGAGTGTCAACACTTGAAGAAACAAGTGAGTTATAGTGGTGTTTTATCTGTTTTACAAAGGGTGTACTAACTTTATCATTAGTACCTGGTTTTGAACTTTCATAAGATAGGTAGGCAACAGTCCATAAGATAGGTAGGCAACAGTCCAAAAGAAAATTGGAAGCAGTGTTTAGAAAGGAGGTTAATAATACTTGAAAAGATGCTGATCAATTCACCCTATTTTTTTCGTAAGAGAATTACATAGAATTGGCATCATTATCCTGGGAAGTGAAAATTTAAGTACCTTTAATACTGTCTAAACTCACTTGTCTGTATTATACAGGAAAGACTTCCCTGTCGATAAGCCAGACATTCGGCTAAACAGAATTCTTACAAAGAAGTTAAAAAAAGACCATATTTGTAATTTTTTGTATCACAACTGCTACAATTCTTATTTCCACACACTAAATAAAAAATATAATTTAAAAGAGAAACTGTAGCTTACCTTGTTGTAGTTCGTCTTTTTGTATGATACTGTGCTGTAGATCTTGAAATGTGTAGTACTGGAAAATTTTCATTACCCAATTTTCGTAACTTCAGTTATCCAAATTTCTGTTCGGATATGGTGAAATTTTGCAGAAAATTGTCCCAATCTGATTTTGGACAGATAACCCAAATATTCAATTTAGCGGGAAGAGGAAGCCATCCTACATATCATGCGAGACTCGATCCTGGCGTCTGATGGACAGATATACTGTACAGAAAAATCAAAAGGACAGCAATTGGAGCCTCAAACAGTGTGGCAATAGCAGAGATATTTATGCACACTGTCTTTGAAACAGCTAGAAGTGACAAAAATCAACAGGACCTCCCTATATATCCGAGATACATTGACAATATTTTTGGTGTCATGGCAGAAGAACGACAGCAATTAACTGACTTCTTTGACTGGGCAAACACAGTCCATGGAAACTTAAAATTTACGCTGAAGTACATGACCAAACAATTCCCTTCCTAGATACGAGAGTATACATAGACGAACAGGATAAGACTGCTGACAACAGCCTATTACAAATCTACGAATTTACACTCGTACCTGCTCTACTCCCCAAGTCACCCTCTCTTCCTGAAAAAAGTCGCTTCTGTACTCACTGGGCATATGGCTAAAAAGAATCATTAGCAAGGAGCAGGACCTACAGGAGCCCCTTGAAAAACTGTGGATGCTGTTTAAGGGCAAATGCTACCCAGATGATGATATTCTTGCAGCAGCGATGAAGGTTTTAGGGATAGACAAACAGATTCTACTAAACACGGGATGGAGACACGACCCCAATGAGAGATTGATCTTACCTTTCCTCTATTTATGTATGACAGCACTACACAATGTATAACCTATATGATTACACTACAGTGTATAACATGTATGACTACAGTACACTATTTATTCTTCAGGTACTTAATGAAATAGCCCAGCATAAGATAAAGATATACGAGTTCCCAGAAGATGAAGGAGATGCTACTGGGAGTAAGTTGAAGCAGAGAGTACCTTTTGCAGTTGTTGGTTCCAATACTACGGTGGAAGTTGAAGGGAAAAAAGTTCGGGGTCGCAAGTACCCCTGGGGAATAGTGGAAGGTGAGTGTGCTCAAGTGGGCTCAACTATTATATGACACTATATTGTTAAGTCTCTGTGGCATAAGAAAATAATAAAACAAAAATATAAGTGAATCATTTAGATTGTTTCAGTATTTAATGAAAGTTTATGTTTAAGATGTGTGCTTACTTTACCATTGTATTGACTGTATAATGTGATCTGTTGTTAACTTACCAACTTGTGATTTCCTCAGCATTAAGCACTCTTGTATTTTACACAAGGTGTCCTTTTTTGTATGTCGCTCTCCTTCTCTACTTGTTGTTAAAGTAATGGACACTAATGCCTAATATGAATGCTTTATAGATAACTGCTAATGGAGCCCCTGAATCTAGGTATGATATCGACCTGTCTAGTCCTCTCCTTAATTTTGACAAGGAAATTCATCAATATTTGCTCTTCCCATTCTCCTGGTCTCTTCATAGCATTCTTGGTTTCATGTCATTGCTGACCTTTTGTGTGTGTCTTTATTTTCTGACATTTGTTTTACAACTGACTAGGGTCTGGAGAGAAGCAGAGAGGCAGTATAAAAATGACAATGTGGCCAAAGCCAGAGAGCAGCCAAAGTTACTACACAACCATATTATAAGACAATAATAAAGGGCCAATTTTTAGTTAGAAACCAAGAGGCAGGCCTGCAAAGATGCACACATCCACCATACGATCATAAACTGAATCCTCACCAACACACCCACTCAAAACTCTACCACGTCAAACCTACCCATACCCTAGGCTCACACACCCAACACCCTAACTACAACTCGCTAACCATTTACACCCACACACCTCAATACACCCACTTGATCTGGTCACCCCACCTACACCACCAGTACTGTGAGATTTGCCAGGTAGAGTGACCAGAGATAATTAATTAATTAGTTGTAATCAGAACATTTAGTAATTTTGATAATTTTACAGTTGAAAACATAGAACACTGTGACTTCATCCCTCTCCGCAACATGATGATTCGCACACATATGCAGGACCTGAAGGATGTGACCAATAATGTTCACTATGAAAACTACCGGTGTCGCAAGCTAGCGGGCGGGGGTGGAGCAGACGGAAAAATTAAGCTCTCAAACAAGTAAGTTTATTTTTCTGTGTACTATAAGTGCTTGTTTCAGGTACAGTATTTTACAAATACTGTAGCTATGACAGTACTTGATATTAATATTCTTAAATTATATCATCATACTCACAACAATACAAAAAAACATCAGTATGAAAACAAACTTTATTTTTAAATGATTAGCCTTAGTGCTTTATAAAAATGGAGATATACCCAGGACTGGTACTTATAAAAGGGCAATATGGGGTAGGAGTGAGGCGAAAGCAAGGGATATGAGGGACTGTCATAATTTATATGAAGTATTAATTTAAGAAGAGTAGTAGTAATGTTGAATATTCCTTCATTGTGTTTGATGGTGTTTTAAATGTTTAATGGCTGCAAACTCTATACATTGCCTCATATTTCTGCGTTCTTCTCTAATATGTTCGTATTAATATGAACATACAGCAAGATGAGCTCGTGTATACTAAATCCAGAAATAATTGACAAAGCACGTGTAGGTTAATATTTTGAAACTTACATGCAAGAATTTGCAAACATAAATAAATCTTTTTGAGTAGAAAATGGGGAGAGTCCTTGTGGTGCACACAGGAACCAGGAAGAACCAGGCCTCATGAGCTTGATGGTTGCTCCGTCTACACACACTCAGGAAGCATTAACTAATGTCCCATAAGCACACTGCACAAATAAATCATAGTATTCTGAAGAATAAGATTCTACTTTAGTTCTGGTTTCCACCTGTCCATCCTAGCAGCAGTTGAGGGCAGTCATAGTTCACTGTGGGGAAGTCAGGTTATGGTGTCCGTGCTGCCACCTGGTAGTGATCTTATGGATCATTTGATAATTAGCCATTATACAGCACTCAGTAATATAGAAGACAATCTCCATTGACTACATTGAACATCATATAACGATATGGAAGTCTACCACTACTGACAACATTGCCACTTCTCATACTGGCACACAATGTTAAAGTGTGGTAGCATTTGTGTGTTCCTCAATTAAGCGTTATTTTCTCTACTACAGAAGCAGAACACCTGGAAAAAGCTTGCAATACTTTGTACAGGGATCATTTCTCTTGTCATCTTGGCAATAGATATAATGCATAACTTGTAGTTTTTAGATCAGGTTTTATGTTCTGCTGCTTGTACTTTTAATTTAATTCTGCTAAAGAATGATGAGCTTGAACTATTATAGCATTCTTAAGGTTAACACATTTTTGCAAAAGATAATAGACTGAAATGCCACGTTTTCCTCTTGTTTTTGAAGTAGTTTCAATGAGATTCTTAATGACAGTGGTAAAATCTGTCATAATACCCTTGATAAAGCTCAATGTGTTGGCAGTATTGTCTTGTATAAAAGTACTTTTCGTCTGAAATATTTATATTGTATGGATGAAAAAGTAAGTGAGTGCTGGTGCATCAAGCTGCATGCCTCAAGCTGTATTACAGATAAAGTAGTACACTTGTGTGACTGCTGCTGAGTAATGGGAACAGCATGCACTCACTTCCTGGTTCTCTGAAACCTGTACACTGTGATGCTGTCAATATTGATCTAGTTTACTTATTTTTATTGTTCAAATTGATGATTTCACCCTAATTTGCCAACCTTTGCTATTTTTTTTAGGAATCCACTTGCTCAAATGGAAGAAGAAAAGAAGGAACATACAAACCGCATGAAGAAGATGGAAACCGAGATGGAGCAAGTCTTTGAAATGAAAGTCAAAGAAAAGATGAGCAAACTTACAGAATTGGAAGCAGATGTAAGTGTTATATTTTTGAGAGACATATAGTTAACTCTCCTTACTAAATAATGTCAAGTTGTAAGGTAGTGATGGCATGTGGGCAGAATATAGTTTAGAACAGACTGTGTTGAAATCAGTGAGGGGAGGTGAGAAGGAACTTACATATAATATAAGGGAAATTGGCTAAAGGGACAATGAAGGGGGTGTGTGCACAATAGGCATCAACAACACTGTGTGTACATCATTACTCTCCTGTTAAAGATGAAGACAAAACCCAGTCCATATGTGTACATAGAGAGAACCTTTATTAAGGATAATTTTACAAGTATACTTTACACAATTAAAAAATTGAATCATTGGTCATTTGCCTATAATGTTACCAAATATGCATATTCCTCCTTGCAAGTATTTTCAATAAAAAGACCAAGAAAGGAATCAAGGAGAAAGAGAGACAATAAGGAAGAGAATTAAATAGAAAGAGACAGGATAAGGAAGAGAATTAAGGAGAAAGAGACAGAATAAGGAAGGGAATCAAGGAGAAAGAGGCAGGATAAGGAACATAATTAAGGAGAAAGAGACAGGATAATTAAGAGAATTAAAATCAGTTGTTCAGTAGACAAAGGCACAGAAATTTTTAGGACTCGCTCATACTTTTACTGGCAGAAACAGACAATTGGAGATGCATTTATGTTATGAGGAGAGAAAGGAATGAATGTCATGGAAAAATGTAGAACATTAGTTGATTAATCATGAGAGTATTGAAATGGTTTGGTTGTATTAGTTAAATTGATGACAACAGTGGTGAAAAGTTTGTCTCACTAAATGTGAAGGTAGAAGTAAGAGAGAGAGAGAGAGAGGGGCAAATACATTGAACAGACGTATTGGCGAGTGAGAGATGAAGCGGGGATCAAATATGATCAGTACAGAAAAAAGTAATAAGCTAGGTTGAATCAGTCTATTAATTAAGGTCCCATTAATGTTGAACAACTTCTTTTCTTAATGATCACTCATGGAAACCAGATTACAATTACAGGAAGTCCTATTGAATGGTAAGGTGGTGCTATAATATTTTGCGGGAGTTTGATGTTGCTGGTTCTACAGTATGTTATGTGGAAGATTTGGCAAGTGGATAAATGTCAGAGTATCTTGTGCCTCCTGTTCCTAGTGCTTTCCTATTTCTTACAGCCTGTTGCCTCTCTATCTGTATCAGAGTGGAAAAGGGGATAATGATGATGCTAAATCACCGAAGTATTTACCTTCTTTAATTTAAAAGATTTTTCATGGTCCTCCCAACCTGTGTGTGTGGGGTGGGGGGAAATAGTATCCATATTTAGTTAACTTTACTGAATATTTTTAATTAATCTACAGCTACAAAAACGCAATGAGTCCATGCGCAAAAAACTAGAAGCTGACTTATCAGAATTGGAAGAAGAACGAGAACGGTTTGAACATGAAAGAAAAGCGTGGGAGGCAGCCAATGGTATAACAGTGGAGGAGCTCCGTCGGAAATCCCTAGAGTCTATCAGCAGAGAGTGAGTACTGAGATTTGATTTGCATAATCCTTGCTGCTTTTTACCAAGTTCCAGCTTCCATATTACTTTCATGACTTGGCAGTACCCATAAGTAAGTAAAATTCAATAGTTTTACTTAAGCTTTAATGTCAGGACTTTGTACACTGCAGCAATTTATACAATGGTATTGCCTCTTAAGTGTGAACTTATTGCCCATTTACAACACTGTATTAAAATATTAAAATAGTATCAACTTTTAAAATAATTTTAGTGTGTTGACTTGTTTTGCTCTGACTTGAAAAGAATATCTTCTGTGATTGGTTCTGTAGAAATATTACCTCTGTGGTTCAGGATAACAGGTATCCACTTACTACTTATAGTCATATATATACTGTACTGTGCTATACAGGTTTAAAAAATGTATAATATCAAGCATTGAATGTAATGAAACTTCCTCTTATGGTGGAGCTCTCTGTAGCTTTGCAAGTGCGTGCGTGTAGTGATGTGCTTATATTTGTACATACACGTGTTTTGCATTATGTGAAACAGTAAAACCACTAGTGACATCTGAATACAGACAGCCACATGCTTTACAAACACCTTTTTCTTAAAATGCCTGATTCCCAATTTGGGTTTGTTTGAATTAAGAAGTTTGAATAACTGGTGGAGCAATTATTTCTGAATAAAAATGTGCAATAATATGGAACAATTTTGCCCAGTGATTATACACAGCAGCACTTGATCAGTGTTCATACACTGATGAATGGCTCAGAAGCTTTCAACTCTGCCATGGCATTAGGTACATTAGAGTACATGGTGAAAGGCAGTCTGCTGAGGTTACCTCATCACCATTAATCTCCACTTCAGTCAACCCAACACTATCATCATCCACCACCACCTTTTCTATTTAAATAACATTACTCTGTCAACTACAATCTTCAAGTTAACAGCAGATCAGAACTTCTCATATGGGTGAGAACAAACAAATACTGTTGAATTTCTGCAACAAAATTGTTAATCCCCCCCCCTAGCTTTTCAGGATGATGAACCACTTATCCGAACACGACAGGTTATCCGTTCAGTCTCAGTCCCAAGGGGTTTGGAAAGCACATGGCTGTATATTATATATATATTCATCTTGAGATATCTTGAGATGATTTCGGGGCTTTTTTAGTGTCCCCGTGGCCCGGTCCTCGACCAAGCCTCCACCCCCAGGAAGCAGCCCGTGACAGCTGACTAACACCTAGGTACCTATTTTACTGCTAGGTAACAGGGGCATAGGGTGAAAGAAACTTTGCCCATTGTTTCTCGCCGGCGCCTGGGATCGAACCCAGGACCACAGGATCACAAGTCCAGCGTGCTGTCCACTCGGCCGACCGGCTCCCGATTCATGGAAAAAGTAAATAAATAAAACACAAGATAAAAAAAAAGGAAAGAAATTCCTGTGCTGTACCTCGCCCTGTTACTCAACACAGAGCTACTGCAGTAAGCTATCCCACTAATCAGCTACTACAAGCTAATCCACAGCATATAGACAATTTATTTTGTGATATACATGCTTCCTGGATACTATATAATATGATTAGACAATTTTTTTATTTTTTTTTATGCACAGATATAGTGGCAAGATACAGAATTTTGGCACATAATTTGATGGTTAAGGCTACTTTTCTTGTGGCTTATATTTCCAAATATCAAGTTGGGGTGCTTCTCTCTCTTTGCTGGAGGAGAGGGTTTTGTTCTTTTGGTTTGGGGATAGTGTTCTTCATTTACAACCTTCTACATTCTTAGCTTGTTGGGCTGGGGATACGTCAAACCCTCTGTCCCTGTGGCTACAGTGCAGTATATTTTTGTGTGCACTACTCACACTGTGGTGGGTATATTTTGTTAGCCCTGTTTCTCTCTCCCCTTGTTCAAACACTTGCCTCTTATACATCATTTTTACATGGTGTGATTCAGTGGCCTATGTATTCCTGCTCTCAAGATATGCATGAGTTTACTGCCCTGTCTGTGGCTTATTTATTTGTTGCCACTATGCCCATGGATCATATCTGGGTTTGGGACTATTGATGGTCCAACAGGGTTATTGGCCTCTTGCATGCCTAGGTGGTGTTTGGTTTGCCCCTCACATTCTTCATTCTTCTCCCAAGAGTAAGCTCAGGCTGCCTGTCATCATTCGACTAACTTATTTTCTTCTTAGCTCTTGGTAGTAAGTGGAGCATCCCAGAAATCAAGCATTGAATATTATGAATTGACTTCTTTTGGTGGGCACCAGTAGCTTCCCATTCCCTTCTTTCCCATTGGGATGGGGGTTTATCACAGGCAGCTCCCGAGTAAGAGGGTAGGTCGACTGGGACCTTAGGTGGCCTAGGTTGCCACCTGGTGGTGGTCAAGTCCATCACAGTTAGGTTAGTTTCCAGCAGCAACAGTCATTTGCTTTATTTACTATTTACTATGGGATTTTTTATATTCAAACAGTTACTTGTTCTGTTGAGCTTATACTTTCTGGTAGATTTTACCCTGGTTTTTGATAGATTTGTAATCCTCAAGGTTCCCCCCTTTACTTCACAGTGATCTGGTTCTTGTCCTGGTTTTCTGTAGGCAACAGATGGAACCGAGAGGTCTGGTGTGGGGAGTCTAAGGCTTGGTTACCTTGTGTTTAAGCAAAGGGAACTACTGGGAATATAGCTAGAAAGAGCCATTTCATTACATTCAATGCTTAATTGTTATATTTGAAAGACCAGTGGAGGAATTGCTGCAGAGTGAATATATTAACTCATTGAATTTACAATGGCTTGTCAGTACCATAATTCTCAATTGCTTTTGTAATCATGTTAATGTTATGATAAAGTAATTAGTATCTAATTCATACTTATTTTTAAACAAATTGCCCATTACTATAATGTAGATTTCTTATGAAAATTAAAAAGCAATTTTCTGACATTATTGCTTTGAAAGAAAATCCAGTTCTTAGATATAATATCAATTGTCAGCATTATAATCATCAGTTTTGTAATCTGTAATCTTGCCAATAGAGATACCTGTAACAGTATAAATTAAATTAACATGAGAATTAGTGTATGATGCTGTGAATAATTCTCAAGCATTGAGTTTCACTTAACTGCTTTCAACCAGTTAAAAGTTACCATTCCCTTCAAAATGTAGACATTTTCTCTTAGTTAAAAGGGGTAAGTATTGATCCAGAGAGACTTATCAAGCGTTCAGTAGATGATACTTATCAAGAAGATGTTTGTGTGTGCGTGCGTGAGTGTGTGCTCACTAACATCCGGCTACCTCCCACTAACAGGACCTCCTCCCTGGCGTCTTCCAGCACCACCTCAGGAGGCTCTCAGAAGAGCTCCCCAAAGTTCTCGCGTACCTACTCACTCCCCAGACATAAGTTCAAACATAATGAGCAGTGTAACCAGCAGTGATAGGGCAGGACAACAAGATAAACGAGGGCATCTATTTCTACTTTCACTAATATTGTGTTATGTGTAGCTACTTTGATTTGATTTGATACTCAAGCGAAATAATCAATAATATTTTTTAACAGAATTCATCATTAATACAGTAGTGTGTAATGATGAATATTAGCATAGCAATGTGTTGGTGATAATTGTTGTATATGTATCTTGAGGTTGTTTTACTCGTGTCCAATGACTAAACAACACAAGGATCTCCTGCCATTAAAAATAAATTAATTAAATTCTGTGATGCACGTAAAAATATTTTATTATACAAGCGCTTCGAGTTATGATTTACAATACTGTGCAGATACAAGATTGAATAACCTTAGTTTACCCCCAATGGTTACTTTATGCCAGCCACACGCTCAAATGTGCAGACTGTATACAGTAATTGGCATTGCTTCATGTATCTCGCTGTCTGGTTTACGGTTGTTTAAGAATAACAGTTTATTTGAATGCATCACATTTCCATTTTTAGTGTTTACTGGTGAAGTATTTACCTCTACCTTTAATGCAAACATTAAGGATAGAGGTAGATATTCCAGTAGTAGACATGAAGGGTAGAGGATGTTATTCCAGCATTAGATATTAAGGGTGGAGGGAGGTACTTTATTACAGTACTAGATATTAAGGGTGGAGGTAGGTTTTCAAGTCCTAGGTAGTAAGGGTAGATGGAGATATTCCAGAAGTAGACATGAAGAGCAGAGGAAGCTATTCAAGTACTAGATATTTTCCTCAAAGATAAAGAGAATGAATGAAAGTGAATCTGGTTTGGTGATTAATATGAAATGTTAAAATGGAACAAAAGGCTTAGTTTCAGCATCTGGATGGTTAGATATACTGTAGTTAAAAACCATGTGTGGTTTAAGTAAAGTATCCTGGTACTGTTTAATGTTGTATATTTCTAGGGAATGTATCACACTAAACAGGAATATGTTGTGGTAATGATCAATTTAGTTTGATCAGTTTTTCAGCTTTAACCAAAATTTATTATATATTAAATTTCTGGAATAAAGATTAAATTGTATTTACCATTGGGCAGTTAACAGGTACATAAGGAAACTAAGAAAAACACAGTTGAGAAAGAGACCCAGCTGATGTGGCATATAAATACCAGAATATGAGTTAAAATGAGGCACTTGTTGGGTATTGCAAGGGAAATTAGTTATATTCAACTTGTGTTACTCTTATTGCAGCACTAGTTTTGTATCTGCATAGTAAGTATATCCATAGTTCACTCATGTGCAGGTGCTTACCACAGTCTTGAAGTTGAATGTCTTTGGAGTTCCTTAGTTCATTGTTGGAATAATTCATTTAATTTTTTTCGTTGAATGTTACGCAGCATAGTTGAAGCCATCCATATCTTTGTGATAAAGTTTGTTTATTGACTGCAGTTACTCTCTCTGCATACCATAGTGGCATTACATTGGCATTATTATCAAAAATAAAGATTTGGATGAAACTTTTGAATTTCTTTATCAAAACTTATAATTAGCATTACCAGATATATGAATAAGAATAAAGTAGTGTACTATGGTTGTAGATATTCACTATAATATTTTGGTGGTTGCAGGCCTCTAACAAGAACTACTAGTTTGTGAATGGCAGTTGACCAGTCAGACATCCCATATTGTAACTTGTAAGACCTTCAAATTATTCATTACATTTTATGTACATAATATTTCATTTTCAGTATATTTTAGTTTCCAGGATATAAATGGACACATGTTTATAATTTTCAGACTATATTACTTGTATGAATTCCACTTACAGGTTTGTAATAAACTCCTTGTTCCAAGTTTACAGATAATTGGAACCAAACCCTCCAATACATGAGTGGTTTATCATCACAGTTGACAACACTACAGCAAATCTTGTGGAAATGTTTCCCTCACCATGACCAATCTCCCCCCCCCCCCCATCACCATGTCCTCTTCCCTATACACCATCTCTCAGCATACAACCCATCATCCTGATAGCACACCACATTTTGATATACAGTATATAGTACTTTACCTAAGGCCAAAAACTGATATACAAAAATGGTAGAGGCTCGCAAAATTGACGATGCCTCGTTGACTTTTCATGGGTCCTCGGGTTGGTTAGATTTGGGCACTTTAGTATAACAGTTTAGTGATGTTGGAATGCTCAGGAGGACGGGTTGCACTATGACCTATCCACCTTCCAGCACCATGATCTAATCCCCTTCCCACACCATGATCTAATCCCCTTCCCACACCATGACCTATCTCCCTATACACCTTCCCTCACAATGAGCTATCCCTATTTCCCCTCATCATGACCTATCCTTCCATCACGCTCAGGATATAATTTCAACATTCACAAACTTAGCACACAAGCCTGATAAGTATGCTTACTAATGCTTTGTAATATTTTTTACTGGATTTGTGTGGCAAGCTTCCATTTCTTGGTGAGGTAAAAGCTGCCTGTGCTTGTTGCATCCCCTACTATGCTTTATTGTCTTCACCTTCAGTATATATAGACCACAGTGATCATCACGGTATAATTCTCAAAGTGCTTTGACTTTGGCAAGACAGTACAGTACCCTAAATAGATTATTGCATGCAATAATACAGTATACAGTGCTGTATATAGAAGTATTAGAATGGATTCAGAAACAATTTAGCAGGAAAAGTTTATAAATGTAATCACTGCATTTACTCATTGGTCACTACTTCCCAACAGATCCACTCTTCATCACAATCGCTTCTGCTTTTAATGTCTAAATATATTCAGGACAAGTCATATGGCAAACAATTAAAATTCTAAGCTAAAAGCTGTTTATACAGTACAGTACAGTATAACATGAATTATAAATTATGTAGTAGATACAGTATACAGTAGATTGATGGCAACTATGTAAATAGTGAACAAAATTATGGTACTTAATGGGTTATTGAAACTTTTAACATTATTAGGGACTGGTTGTGGGCATTATTATATGTCTCTGTATCTTGATAGTTTAAGGAATAATTTGACATATAAACCCCTTAGTTGTGACTATTTATTTGCCCCCTACCCTATTCAAATGTCACAATACTGTATAGCCAAAAATAATTTTTTTTAACAACCAAAAGAGAAAACCCCAGGTTTTTTTTAGCTTTGCCATTAAATTAAACAAGTTAGTTTCGAGTATTTTCTAATACAAAATATGATCTAAAAAACCTAAAACCAATGTACTGTGTGTGTTTTACCAGCACACATTATCATGATAAATAGCACCAATAATCATAATCAGTAAATGTAATTAAGTTTTTACCTCATTCCAAAGATCTATGAAAATTTTTGTCCTCTGAGGAACGACCCTATATTAAACATACTGTACATATATACAGTGGAACCCTTTGTGAACAAATTTAATCCGTTCCAAAAAATGTAACGTAACCCAAATATTCGTACATCAAATAAAATTTTCCCATAAGAAATACGTAATGTAAATTGAATTAATCCAATTCACACACCCAAAAATATTTACTTTAAATATATTTTGTCCAGAATACTAATATCTTTTCTATACACAAAACAATAAGGAATAACTGTAAACTGTAAATAAAATAAACGAACATTTCACTGCACTTTCCCTTTATTGAGGACTCTTGTTGAGGAGGGGGGGGGGGGGAAGGAGGGGAGTCCCCTTCCATTATATCAGGCAGTGATGACATTTCTGGGGCACACACTCCCCCTACGTTTTGCAGGCACACCACTAGAACCTGCTTGTGGCTCACTGGATGTCTCACTAAGACTGTCTAAAGACACTTGTTTTTGCCTAAGGTTTAACAATTGTCTGTACTAAGACGCGTTGTCGTTAAAATGTTTAACACAACAGCTTGCTACAGCTTTATCTGGGCTAGTCTTTTCAGCAAAACTTTCCAGTTCTTCCCATACTGTGCACATTTTCCTAGCCAGATCAACCACATGCATATCATCTTCATATTTACGAATGATCTCTTTTTTTTTTTTTTTTTTTTTTTCTTCTATCGTTTTCCTCAACTATTTTCTTAGGTTGAACTTTACCACCGACTATCTTGGGGCCCATGGCGTGATATATAATAATTTTTATATTAAGCAACAAAATAAGAACAAAAACCATGAAATTGTTCAGAGAATTCAAGTGCAGTTATCACTAGGTGGGATACAGGCATAAACTGACCTTATTAACTCAGACAAGTATGAATGAGCAGTTCATACTCTGGAGCAGAAGTTGTACACCAGGGCATATTTTCTCACTAAATTTTTGTTGTTCACCGGAGAATTCATATTCACGTGCAATAGTAAACCGAGCTTCCACTGTACAGGTATATAGATATACAGTACATATATATTAGTACATTTTAGGAGGAGATTTTCTTTAATACAGTACATATAATTAAAATTAACAGCATCGTGACTATTGTTTAATATTTTTATGGATATTTTCCATTCTATATAAATAGCTTTAACCATCTAGAGGGTGAAGAAACAGAGATACATACATATAAGCAGTATAAGAGTGTGTGAAGGGGAATGTGAGGTACCCAGTTCTCAAAGGAGGCTGCCGTTGTCACTTGGTAAACATTTGACTTGGCAGTGGAAGAGAAAATTAAGACATGAAATGAAGCATGAGAAACGGAGGAGAGAGGACAACCTTTTATGTATATATAGTGATTGGTAAGGTAAATAATATAAAAAAAAAGTAAGAGAGAAGATAATGTACTCAGAGGAAAAACTCTTGGACATCATACTTTTGATATCCCAAACCGTGGGAATTATTGGCTAGCTTAACCGCATATTATCCATGTGTTTAGGTCAACAAGTGGATTGTTAATACAATGTGTTAATACATTCAACAAAATGTGACTGGATTAGTGAATATACAGGAACGGTCAAAGGTAACTTTATACGAGTTCCCATATGAACACAAACATTTGCCTATAGTAGAAAACAGGCAATCAAACCAAAGGCAAGACATACTATATTGTCTTATCCCCTGAAACAGAGAAAAAAGATGACATCCACCTGGGAATAGCTAATTTAACCTAACAGCATTAGCCACAAGTGTGCAGGGCTGGAGAATGACGTAACCTAATACAGCAACAGCCTCCAGAATACCGGATTAGAAATTAATCCTGCATTCATGACTTATGACACCCACGGTGTGATAAGTCCCTCATACAAGGCTGTGTATGAGGGATGGAAATCGTTATTTTTCTTTATAGATTTGTGCAATATTAAGGCTCAAAAATGAATAGTTTATATAGACCAGGTCTAATGTTAAGGGTATTGGGACAGTGATTAATTAAGATTCAATCAAATTTTGTTCATCCACATCCCTGCAGCTAGCAATATGTTTTGATTCCCTGAAGTTAATGGTATGGTCAGAAAGATTGACATGTAGATATAATGTACAGGAGTGTTGTGCAGTTCGAATTGAGCAACAATGTTGGGACAAATGGGATTCTAATAATTTACCAGTGTCCGCATTGTACTCAATCTTTGCATGGGATCGAATACACACAACCTGCAGCAAATGCTGGCGAGTCCTTGATTAACATGGTTGTAATTGTATTATTGTTTTTGAATACCAAATATAAGTCTTCAAAACCAGGGAAAGTTTAGCAATTCCTTCTGAGTAAGGAAGCATAATCCCAAGATTAGGCCTTCGGATTATGATTGTAGAACATATGCTTAGCTTACCCTAACTCTACATCCAGAACTCTTTTGGAGTGTTGCAACTTTGCCCCAATTTTGTGTATCTTAACCATTTCCTAATCAATAAATTCCATGCAATCCAGAAGACACTGTACGCTTAACTTTAATATGATTAGAATAGAAGTGCACATACGAGCAAATGTTAGTAAGCTTCCTGTAAACATTAAATTTAAAATGCCGTGAACCTTACTAGAGTTCAACCAATAAAGAGTATTGAGAAAGATAATATTGTGAGATCAAAGACTGCTGATAACCTTTCAAGAAAAAAGTTTTGTGAATTGTGGTGTGAAATTAGAAAAATTGAAAAGTTCATTCAAAAGGGTAATGAATGTCGTGGACGATTTCTCTGGTTCCTATAATATATGTAAGGTATTCAAAGATAAACATTCAACTTTCTACAACAGTGCTATATACTGTATAGATGTGATTGATTTAACTACAGGTGTATGTGACATCTCCATACACCCTTACCTTAATGTTACATACCTGATGACCAAACGACACATCAGAAGATGAAGAAACAACAATGTTTCGGTCCATCCTGGACCATTATCAAGTCGTGTGTGAGCAAACACGACTTAATATTCGGATTTGGACGGACTGAAATGTCGTCATTTCTTCATTTTCTGATGTGTGGTTTGGTAATCACATCTTCAACCAAGTTATTGTGACTCATAGTCTGTGTTACATACCTGCACACTGTAACCCTGTAATGGTTGAGAAAGCTGTAACCTAAAAAAAAAAAAAAGAGCTCTCATAATCCCTGAACATATACTCTACACTGACAACCTTAAACATAGAATGCCAAAAGTGTGTGTGTATGTCTTGCAGGCTCTCTCTCCTATGGTACATCGCTATCTGTAATAAACACTTCTGCACTTGTTTGCATTCTAAAGATCTGAGCTTCTATGTCCTCTGATAACTACTAGAGTTACAGTATCACCATAAGCACACTATTAAACAATTTGATTATATACTCATTGACTTTCTAGCTGACGAACTAGACACCTCTGGCTTTCAATTTGCATACAAAACTGGTCACCCAACAGTGCTTTGTAATTTCTTGGTGGCACAAACTAATCAGTACTACAACTCACAAGGCAGCTCCTTACTAATCAGTACTACAACTCACAAGGCAGCTCCTTACTAATCAGTACTACAACTCACAAGGCAGCTCCATTTTCTCCTTCTGTTTCTGGATGCTTCCAAAGCTTTTGGCAAAGTTGAACACACTAAACATTTTAGAGAACTGTTTAGCAGAGAAATATGTCCTGTCATTCATTGCTAGATATTTATATATTTCTTATCAGGTATGCAAATTAGCCATGAACTGGAATAATGTCCTCTGAAAATTTCTATATAAAAATGAGGTCAAACGGGTGCTGTTCTAAGTCAAATTTTGTTTGCTATCGTGATCCATTGTTAAAAAGAGTTAGAGCAGTTAAGTTGGCTGTCATATAAGCAGTATCAAGGCCAATGTTTTCTGTCATGCTGATGATCTAGTTCTACCCGCACCAACAAGAAATACCATGGAAAACCATAAGATGCGATAATGGAAATAAATGAAAAATATAGCGGAGAATATAACATAACATTCAATACTTCCAATTGTGCTGCAATTTCTCTCAACTCACAAGACTTGTATTATCGAAATCCCACTCTAAAATTATTAGGGAGTGTGGCTCCAGTAGTGTATTCTGAAAAGCATCTGAGGCACATTGTATCCTCAAAGGGGCCACTTATACATTTTTCTGATGCTATCAGAGACCTGAAGGTCAAAACAAGTCATCATTAGTGAACTTGGTCATCTTGATACCTTGTCGAAAGTAAATTTATTTAACAATGTTTATACTTACATGGATTTGAACTATGGAACCTACAAAATGCTAGCCTTGGTAAGCTTAATTATGAATGGAAAAAATATTTTAGGCATACAGTATCTTGGGTTTTCATCTTCACCCTCATTGCATTCTTCTACCTGGCATGGTGTTCAAGCCTACACGCGAGGAAATTATTCACAATGAATGATGATATTTTGTCTGAAAGGAATTGCCCATCCACTAAACTCAATCTACTTTTTTGTTTTTCTCCGGCACTTACTTATCACTGGGCTACTTATCCTGAAATATAAACGTGTTAGGAAATACAACTTAAGAATTTTATATATATATATATATATATATATATGTCGTACCTAGTAGCCAGAATGCACTTTTCGGCCTACTATGCAAGGCCCGATTTGCCTATTTCCACATATACACACACACACACACATATACACACTCACACACACACACATACATATATATACACATACATACATACATACATACACAGACAGTAAAATATAAAAGGGGTACCACATCTGGTGCAAATGTAGGGACCCATAAACTCGGAGTAGAAAATGAAGAGTACTTAGAAAAGACCTTGTGGATCCTCTCTGAACTCTTTGATATTTTCTTTTCCTACCACTCCTATTCTTTTTGTATGTGTGTATATATATATCTCTCACTTTATTTTAAAATTTCTTTACACAAAAAGTGTTACAACATTGGTTACATGCAGGGTACAAGGTTACTTGTCACAGGTTGTAGAGCTCCTCCAGCTCTTCAGATGGCGGGCAAAAACCATGGATCCATTGCATTATTTTGTCAGAGCAATCGCTGCAATTCACCAAGCTGGCTGGTAAACATTATTTAAACTCGAACATTCCTCATACTTATTCTCTCTCTCTCTGCTTTAGCTGCTGTCTCTATGTATATGGAGTTTTGCACTTGCTCTTCATTATACTGGCAGAGGGAACCCCCACATTTTAATCTCACAATGCTTAAATGTATTGCAAAAGGGGTGCTTCTTTAACTTAATACCTAAAATGACATGCAGAATTACAAGTCTTGCTTTTCAACCTTTGGAAAAGATTTGTAGGCTTTCATGCTGGAGAAAAGGTGACAATGTCAACTGATAAAACTGTTCTGTTCATTGCTTCTTGGCCTTTGCTTTCTTGGCATCATTTTAAGTACCTTTGCAGGCTTTATTTTGCAGTACTGTAGTTGTTTTTGTGGTAATGGGAGTATTTTTATGGTTGTTGATCTTCTTTTATTTCTTTTCTTCAACAGGCATGTGGATGGGAAAGAGAAAACCAAAAAGAGGAAGGGACTGTTTTAGAGCTGCAGTTCCCAGTTCATAAAAGCTCATATTGCCGCTTGAAGCACTGCACCCCACCTGCCTCAACCTCAGTCCCTCTAAGCTCACCCACTCCCTGCTAGTAGTTATTACTACACTACTTCACATTTGATTGCAGACTTTCTTTTAAAGTGTAAACTTGAATATTTAAAATTCTAATGGAGATAATTTGATATTGACTTGAAGGGACCCAAGGTATTTTTTCCTGGGGGATGCAGAAGATTATGGTTGTCATTCTTGTGATTCCTATCAGTCACTTATACCACGTGACAGACTTGGCCATAAGCTCGTGTTCTCAATGTCACTAGTGCCAAAGTGATTGTGACCAGTATTTTTTTTTTAATCTATCTAATGCTGATTATCTCGTATTGTTAAGGCAAGAGAGCCATAATCTTCCCCCAAACCATAGATATCATTCTTTTGGTACTGCGCTGTAGTAGCACGTATTCCAGTGACCAGCTGGTGATCCATTTTCCTTGCAACAGTATTGGAAGTTAACATATTGGACATCCATAGGTTGTAATTAATTATATGGGTCTCCAAATACTGTTAAAAGCTTTGCATATCATGCATTTATTACCAGTCCTATTTTTAACTGGCTCACATTTTATATTTATAAAAATGTTCTAACCTTTAGGTTCTAAAATAAATGTTCTTGTTTTTAATCATTCTGTTTAAAAGAGGTGCATTTAGTAAGTGCACTAATAGTGAATGATAACTCATTCTTATAAAGGTTAGTGCATTACAAAGTTAATTATTTTTGTTCATTTATATCGGGTGACAAAATGTTGAATGTGAGGCAAATGTTTTAGTGGCTGGTCGCTGTGAAGGTCAAGTGCAAGGGAACAGGATGTGACTACTTTGCACTCACTGTATAGACCTACTGATCTATCCTATACTTTTAAGGTGGAAGGAAGTTGATCTTCCTGAGGATGGACTTTGGCATCCAATCCAATTACTTCAGACTGGCAACAAGAATTGTGAATTTTTTGGACAATATAAATGTTGCTTAAAGTTTTCTTTAAGAACTGCCAACTTAAAACAAGTGCACCCACACTCTTCATCAGTATATACACAAATTAAGTTATTTGTACATCACAACAATACAGTTACATTAAAGAACAAAAAATTCTTCTTAAACATTTTGCACATTTTTATTATAAAACTTTTATTCATTACCTTCGTCACCAGTAAAGAAACACTTGATTTTTCCATTAGTTACAGAAACCTTTAAAGTAGCTTCATAAAATGTATACAGTCAGTTATATATGTATTGGATTAGTTTACTAACACTGATGATAGCTTCCCAAGTCTCTTTATGTGTTTATCACAGACTGCCAATAGTCCGTGCTGGAATCATTTGTGTGTAGAATGGCAACACACGTAAAGAGTCGCATCCTTGCAAGTTGTACATACTGTACTTAAGATTGTAAGAGATAAATGCTTTATGTATACACTAGTATTACATACAGCACTAGATTTTATACTCATTATAGGCTCATGTTTTGTTACTTTGGACATAGTATTTAACATCTTATTGATCTTTTCAACTAGTCTAATTCTCTCTCCATGTTCAGTTGGTTGCTAGGCCCACTGCCATAGAATTGTAAATAATGTGTACACTTGTACAAGATATGCACACACTTCCTGTAAATGAAATTCTATTTCTCTCAAAGAATGTGTGCTCCTCTGAAATGTTCTTAAAATCTGTATTATACACATTCTTATCACTCAATACACTTCCAAGTTCAGTTCATTATTCATTAACATAAAAGGTATTTACGCTAAATGTCACTGTGGATGAGCAGTGCTGATCCTGATAGTATCACAAAGTATATTTAGTTATATATTTGAAAACTCTTTGTTAGGCAGTCTAACAAACCATTGATTTGTTTGGAGCTCAGCAGAATTGCCCTTCCTTAATCTTTAATTAAATGCATATCACATGTTGATAAAGACTATGAATTATATTTGTTGTTGTTTTGACCCACTGCAGTATAAACCAAGTTTGTTACAAGACCTAAACTGCCTTACCAAAGACTCTTAGCATTAACGAACCCATAGGGAAAAACCCTCCCCTTGTTATCATATCGTCAATGTGTAATATGTAATGCAAAAATAAACTTTTACTTAGTCACACCCATAAGTTGTGAAGCATCTTTTTTTTTCTTCTTCTTCTATGGTTAAAGCATGCAAGCAGTGTACTTTTGTATAGAATAATACAAGTAAATGTCATGTGTCTTATGTTTTATGATTAACCTAACCTAAGCATATGAAGATTTTTAAATGAAATTTTTTTTTAACCAGTTGTCAGTCAGTGCATTATATGACAGAAACAAATTACATTAATGTGTTCTAGGAGCACCATTATTGGCATGTTACTTGATTTTCAGAAGTAAAAACAGACATCATGCAGAAGGCATTAATACAATGGCTTTATTAGAAAGATATTACAGTATTGGAAAATAGTTTCCTGCAGATAGTCATACATGTATTGAAATATTTTGTGCAAGTTCATTTGTACATGAAGTACTACTGGTATAGAAATATTCTCACACCATATATACAGTGCAGAATATATTTCATGTCTCATTACCATGCTCAAACTTTAGTAATAGCTTGACAAAATATGCACACAAAAATTAATCGTTACTGTATGAGCTCAATTATCCGGACAATGTGGGAAAGACCCCCACCGAATAAGCAGGACATCGAGATAAGCAGAATTCTTACCAGGGAAGTACAAAAATTAACATTCAAAATTCCTGTACCACAACCAACATAATTTGTATTTCAACACAAACTGTAATAAAAACATACTCATCAATACTGTAATTTAATACAAATTTCAGCTTACCTTGTTGCAGTTCGTCTTCTTGATTGAAGCTTTAAAACTAAGAATTCTTGAAAATTTATGTAACCAAACACTTGCCGTCGGCATTCGTGCATACCATGGCTGACAGTCTGACAGCCCCTGGTGCACTACCTTCGCTCCACATAGCTAGAGAATTTCACGCAACATTCTCTAATAAAACCCAGTTTCATAACTGTTATAGATTTCATAAGAATATCAATTATTAGACAAAATATATGTTCTTAATTTATGCTTAATACTTAAACACTGCTTGTATCTACATTAAATTTTTCACTGATAATTTTCCTCTAAACAATATTGTGTTTCACAGTTCCATAACACATAACTTGTCCTTAATTGTTAGCACAACGTTCTTCCTCTTAACACCTTCAGAATGATTGCTCATTACCAAGACTGCACAGACAGCCTTGGTAAAAAAAATGATCAAAGTTACTTTGAAAACAAAACAGTTATTTAAGAAAATATTTCACTAATGGCACGGCACTGTGGCATAACATGAGGGTCAGGAGCACGTGGCCTGTTTAGCTTGACCCAAAACAAAAATCCCCAAATTTTAGAAGGAAACTAGTCTTTAGCCTGTGCACATAGTTTTTAAGAAATTTGTATTTGTCATAATATTGGATATTTAACTTTTTACTGTGATGAATAGTTCTAAAAGAATTTGTTTATTGTATACAATACAGATTATAGGCCCATCCACATGCCCCATATCTCCCAGGCAGCCCTTCCTGATTCTTCCCTCTCTCCCGATACCTCCTACTTTGAAACCACTCACCCTAAACAACACGCCCTGAACCACAGCTGTACGGGACTAACACTGCACAGCCCGATGCCTGACTTTAGTACAGTATGTGGAAAAATCTCTGGTTTTCTGAATTTCTGTCCTGATAGACAAGATGGTAGAAAGTTATTCGGACTTCACTATTGTAAAGTGGGGTGGAGCTATTCACCAAGGAGCCACCAATAGCAGCCCTTCCAGAAAAGTGAATTATGATTGTGATACTGTACTTTAACATGGCTTCATAGTAGAGTAACCCTGTAGCACATTGGCCAATACAGTTGGCTCCAAACCAACATGTCCTGGATTCCACATCAACACTGAACGAGACATTTGAACAAGTTTTCTTACATCTGATGCCGCTGTTCACCTAAGAATAAGTAAGTACTGTACCTGGGATTCTATTCATAATTGTATCCATTACCCATCCATTTCATAAGTTCCTGGGAGTTAGGCAAATGTTGTGGATTGCATTCTGGGAAAGGTCAGTTGCTGGTGTAGGGGCACCTTACTAAGCCTATAAACCTTCCCATCTTCAACAATGGGAAAATAATACTCTCCAAGAACATTGTAGCATCAAGGCAAGTTAGGTAATGGAGAGACAGTAACAGTCATCATGGTAATTTAATGGGGTCCATAAGCTATCTGGAAAGATACAATTACTGTAAATACAGTATAGTACAGCCAAATACTCTATAATTACCTAATAATAAAACTGTTGTGGCTTCAATTCATTCATTTGCTTTTACAAAATTTGATACAAAAAATATGAAAGTTAAAAATGCAAGTCTACATAAACTGCCTCTCTACTCTATTCTAGCAAAAGTGGATCCCAGCAACAGAACATGAATAATTTTGCTAAAGGATTTTATTTATAATATTTATGTCATATGTATACAACGGATAGTAAGTCATAGCTACAACAAACATTTTATTGTTTAGTTTACTGATAAATCACTACAACATTCTTATAAAGTATGTAAAGGAATACATCAAAATATTTTCATAAGTGCTACTCCTTACAAAATCTACTTTATTTATAAGAATTTTACACAATGATACTATGCTACTGAAATAAACCTGAAACTACAGTACTAAACTTTAATTTACTAAATACGTAGCAAGTTTTATGTCGTCATTACATACTGAGTCAATTAAAAAGGTAGTTTATACCTCAAAACTATTTTTGTACTTATTATTGAATATATTGGCAGTATCAAAAAGAAAAAACAAAGAGGTTCTTTGGTCTCGACTCAGTGAGGATGCAATGATGTATGCCATTTGGCCTTTTCAGCTATCCCAATCCTGAAACTATTCACCTCTAATTTATCCAGTTTCTTGAATAAACTGCACAATATAAATCAGGGTTATGTATCATGCCAGTTAATTTTGTTCGTAAAAATAGTACAGTGGCGGTCAATAAAACTAATGCATACCAAAAATATTTGCTGAACACTGAGTGTGGAACGAAAACACAGGCCCACACGTTGTAGCATTCTCAACCATCATAAGATACTTCGCTTTCTAAACTTCAACTATAAAGATCAGCTTAAGCAACCATTGTTCCAAAGCAAATATGAACTTGCTTTACTCAGGTTTTACTTTCCACAAAAAGGATTTTGGCTTTGATGCAGATGACAGAATGATGCAGAAAATGACCATGTTGAAATGTAATGTGTGTATTCTGCATTACAGTATACATAATAAAATACCACAGAAAACTTTGAACCACTTTTGATTTATTGTAAATTAATTAAGTACTAATACCAAAGCAATTTCAAAATTAGCATCACAGATCTTATTTTAAAACAAAAATTAAGAGGGAGAGGGGGGGGGGAATAATTGAATACAATATATATATATATATATATATATATATATATATATATATATATATATATATATATATATATATATATATATATATATATATATATATATATATATATATATATATGATATATATATATATATATATATAATATATATATATATATATGTATATATTATACAGAATATATAATTAGATACATAGAGGGGGGATCTCCTCTGGCTGGAAGAAGCGTACCACCATAGTCTCACGAGAATAATGCACTCAGTGCATTTGAGAGGATTTTTTGGGTCCCCTCCAGTGTAATTTCCATGTTCTTTTGTGCTACAGTACCACCCTCATGTGGATAAAAATATTTGCTTTATCATGTGGAGATAAACTTCCATGTGTAATCAGCTCTTGATTTCATAACATGATAAAACTTCATACTAGATCACTACTACATTTGTAGACAATTTATTACAAAAATTTCACACCAAGTAAAGTTATTTATATGCTTGGGTTCACCAAAGAAGGTTGGGGTAAGTATAGATATACAGTCGAACCTCATCACTCAAGCTTAATTGGTTCCAGAAGGACGTTTAAGTGCCGATCTTTTTGGGTACCGAATAATTCCCCCCCTTTCCAAAAGGAATAATATAAATTGGACATATGAATACAAACAAATGAAAATATATTCTCACTTTACCTGCACTTAGGAGACTTGATGATGTATGTGGAAGGTGGTGAGTTAGAGGAGGAGAGATGTTACTGTGTGGCAGGGGAGTCCCCTACTATAACAACTTCATCTACTGTAATTGTGCTTCTGGGGTTCTTTTTTTTTTCTTTTTTTTTTCTTTTTTTTTTCCCCCTCATTAGACTCACTGGATTCTTTTCTTATGAGAAACCTGTCCAAAGATGATTGCTTTTGTCTGTCGTATTAAAATGTTTCTAAAGTGAGACATAGCATTGTCATTCAAGAGGTTTTAACACAGTTTGTCAGGGTGATACTTTAAGAAAATTTTGCACTTCCACCCGTTTAAACACATTTCTTATATTAGAGAACCAGGGCCATCCTCCCAACCCTCATCCTCTGAAGACAATTCCTCAGCTGGTGTGTTGCTCCTCTCTCTGAAGGTCCTGCAGTTCTTCTGTGGTAAGCTCTGCTCCATGCTCTTCCACTATTTACTTCACACCATCAGCACAAACTTCCAAGCCCAATGACCTGCTCAGTCTTTCTGCTTCGTCATCTGGCCACAGTTTCCTCCAGGTAGAGTTCATGCCCCTTTCAGAGACTTTTTCCCAGGCTGTCTATGAGGCAATAGAGGACATTGAAGTGGTTCTTCCAGAATTCATGGATTTTCATTTCTATCATGGATCTAACTCATTTTCTTTTCATTTGGCTATTATCACTACTTTTCTTAAGCACCAAGGTGACTTATGCAAGCTAAAAATATAAAAATATCCAAGAAAACACGAGAAGTTTAACAGGGGTATGTATTAAATGACAGCTACTGAGAACAGACTTGTCTGTTATGCGTGTTTACTTTTGAGTGCCGAATTGTGCGAGTTGTGAGCCGTTCATGTATGAGGTTCCTCTGTAAAAGGATTAACAATAGGATGAAAGTAATTATGGGAAGCATTAATTCCAAAAAACTATTTAACATTATCTGCATCACAGAATATTGGCAAAATACTAGAAATAATTCAGAAAGCCGAACTTCAACCACTGTGTTTTGTCAAGTAAGACGAGTGATACAGAAATCATGTCATTGTAGTCCTAAATGTATATGTTCATGAATTGTGAACAGTGCATTGTGGAATTTACTGTACTGTACAGTAATTATGATAGTGAAGAATTATGTAGAAATTTCATTGGTTGTTGCATTTTATGACAACTACTGTTTTGAATCAAGTCATTTTCTTTAATTTTAAGTTAGGCATTGTTCCATTCTGTGATGTGAGCAGGGTACAGTATAGTATTGGAGAACCCTGTACAGTATATGAGAAACAGATTTTAAACAGTGACAAGGAAATCACAATAACATGATATATGTATGAGAAAATCATTGAAGCAGAATGGGGACTGAACCAGCACCCTGTTCCAGTGATTTACTGTGTCTGGCATGTCCATTTATCTGCTGATCCATACTGTTAAAGTCATTTGATGTCTCTATTATGTACAAAGTGTGAGAGCACCACAACAAAGTATAAATGTCACCAGGGTTGTGGCATACCTGGAGAGGGTTCAGAGTCATTCTACTTCTCAAGCCCGGCCTGGGGCCAGACTTGACTTGTGATAACTTGGTCCAACAGGCTGTTGCTAGGAGCGGGATGCTTCTTGAAGACATCCACCTTTGTTCTGGCAATATTTCTAATGCTTGCTGGGAGAGTATTGAACAGCTGTGGACTTTTGATGTTCAGACAGTGCCAGTTGCACCTTTTTCTCCTCACTGGTTCGATTATGCATTTCCTTCAATCTCTCTCACTCCAGTTTGCTGATATTCTACTGTGCAAATTTGGGACCTGGCCTTCCAGGTTTATATTATTTGATAACTCTCTCATCTCCTTTCCAGTTTACATTTTGAATGCTTTGAGATGGTCTCAATAGTTTGGGTGTTTAATTGTGTGAGTACTGTATAGGTTCTCTGTATTCCCTCTATTTCAGCAATCTCTCCTGCTCCAAAAGGGAAAGCGAGTACTGAGTAGTACTCAAGACAGAACAGCACCAGTGATTTAAATAATATTAGCATTGCTGTGGGATCTCTGGATTTGAACCTTCTCATAATCCATTCTATTATTTTCCTGGCTGCCACTGTATTTGCTTCGTAATGTTCACTAAAATATCAGGTCATCAGACATCATCAATTCCCAGATCTTTTATATGTTGCTTTTCTTCTATGAGTAAGTCTGTGTCATGTACCCTTTGTTTCATTCCAGTTCCTCATTTCCACCATACTTAAATACTTGGAGCTAATCAATGTTAAACATCAATAAATATGTTTATTGGGGCACTAAACATAGTGGCCTTTTAAGATTTTACCAATTTCTTTGTCGGCTTCTGCGTACGAACCTTAAGTTGTAAGTACAAGTTCAATACTAGTGGACGTCTTTAATTTGGATTTGGATTACAAATGTTTTGGATTTTCTCCATCTCTTGTATAGCTTTCCGTCTCAATTCCAATTCCTCAGACTGGTATCGAATTGCCCTTCAGTGTCTGCTCTATATCTTCTATCTCCTGGCTTAGATTTCTTTTTCTTTGTTCTGAGTCATGTCTGTTTAAGCATACCCATGATTTTTTTTTCCTTGTGAGTATGTATAGTCGCCTGTATCCTCTTTCCGACCCTTCACACAGGCACATGCTTCAGCATTTGGTTGGGCATATTTCCCTGCGTGGAAAATATTGTCTCTTGATATCAGTCCGCCCATACTCGGAACACTGGCCAAATGCTCGTTGATCCAGCGGCCAGCCCTCTCATGATTGAATGAAAAACGCCTTACTTGTGACTTCCATCTGAGTAGTTTCAAACTTTCCTTAAGCTTAAGACCGTTTCCCATTGAATGTTTACAAGGTCTATATTTTTCCCAGTCAATCCACTTGTTAAAATTTAATTGATTGAACAACCCTTCATACTTGCTGATCCTCCTGGCTCTACTGCATGTATTAATGTTAATTTGAACTTTATGAACTTGCAGACTAAGTATGTAGGATGAGAGGTTGTAATGTCTCATTATTTCTTCATTGTATGTGAAGATCAGGCCAAGTGTGTTTTCATCCATACTGTACTTGGTTATTTAATACGTAAGTTGAGCAAGAATTTGTCAGTAATTCTCTGACCTGTGGTTGGTTATTTCCAGGTGGATTGGGTGGATTGAAGTCTCCAAGGGAGATAAATATCTGGTACCGAGTTTGCTAGGTTAACAAGGATACTGTACTCTCTATTTTGTGTATCTACCCTGTGAACTCTGCAACTGTTGCATCTGGCAGTTTGTATAATAGAATAATAATTAGGTTTATTAGGCTTAGTGAGCCTTTAAATTTAGTTATTATTACAAATAAAGTGCTAAGACAGAATGGCTGTGTATCACTTAAGATGCCTATAATCTCACGCAGAAAGACAAGTTTAGAGCATTACATTTAAAGAGAAGATCATGAGTTTTAACAATGATTTTTCATTTGTCTTGATAATTTAATTATCTTACCACTATTCTTAACATGTGGCTCCACCCTTCTGTGTCCTTCATGTGAGCCCTCCTTCCTTGCCAACAACCCAGGCATATAAATAGCATGAACTAGTATAAATTGCTCGTTTACTTGACAAACCTCTTGAAGCAAGACGTTGCAAATAAAATTCAAACCTACCACCAAGTCTTTCACTTTGCATCAGTGTTAAATTTATTAAATGTATGAGTGACTTAAGAGGAGCATGATGTGAACAAAATTACATCCCCCCCCTCTCCTCATACATAAATTAGCATTTTCTTCCTCACAAGATAAACCACCAGATTTCTTGATGTCTTCATGCCATTCCCAGCAAACATTCTGGTTATTTCACAAGGTACAATTATGTTTAAGGATTAATTTTAATGCACAGATAGTAACATTTCCGTAACAAAAACAAATAAAGTATATGCACAACATACCTACTTATATTACGCAAATCAGATCTGACCCAACTGGAAAGAGTAAGTCTTAGCACCTTATTGAGGCCTTCTCTTTCAATGCCTTACTGTGCCAAGATGAAGCACCTCACACCTTTGCAAACTATATACAGTACTGTACTAAACATATTTTACATATGAAAAATGCTTTTCAATCATTTAGCCATCGAGAGAGACTAAGTAGATAAACAACTCATGTTGGGTTACCAATGATGAAGACTGAACAGAGATGTTTATAAAATACATACATGCTAATATCATTATAATATTTTTGTCCTCTGAAAATTACTTTTTCACTGAGTAACATGCTAAGTTTGTGTTTACTATAAAGTAACTGCATTTTGCATACAACAAAGTAACTCCTCCACTTGAGAAGGGATGGCTGTATACTATACGGGTCACTACAGAGACTATACGGCTCTGTAGGCACACACACATCCTCTACTACTGTATATTCATCCCTTCAAATTTGTACCCTTGTAAATCTGAGGGTACTGTATTTACTATTTGAGCCTATAGGATCAAACTGCTATCTTGGGCCCTGCCTTTCTAACAGTGGTTTCTCTAACGTAGACTAAGACCTATTTTTCCTCATTTTACAAACTACGTATTTCTCTGACACGTACGTATGAATGCGTGTCATGTTGTACTTAATAGCCAGAACCGCACTACTTGGCCTAATATGTCTAACAGGCATAGTGATTTTCATTATTTTCAAATATCTCTCTTCAAATTGGTTTGTTCCAATAAATATTATTATATTAAGAATGTGAATTACTGAATCGGTTAGGTTAGATCAAGTTTTTATGCAAGTTAAAAAAAAATGAGAAGGCTGAGACCACATATATTTTACATTTAGTCTATACACACACACATACACATATATGTGGTTTCTGCCTTCTCACACTCCAATTTCTATTTTATGTTTATGAAAGATGTCGGGAGCCCCGTGTCGTCCAGACAACTTGCGGTCCCACCCTCCTCTTACACTGTCTCTACAACTGTCTCTCAGTACGGCTCTGATGACCATTCAGGAGAGTTGAAAGTGCTAAGCTGTTATCCTTTCAAATTTTTATATAATTATAAGAAACCAAACATTAATATTAGATGATGAGACTAGTTGCATCTTTTTAACATAAAGAGGCAAAACAGAAAACAAACTTTTATATGCACTGTAGATTTATTCACTAAGTTCAGCTAGCCTTTTCTTCTCCGGCATTCATCTTTAGACTGACAGGTGTTTCAATACAATACTGCTGAGAATATTTAGTACAGTACTAGAAGAGTACTAATTTTCCAAGTGTTCCAAACCCTGGGCACAGTATGTGCAACTGGTGATCAAGAAGAAATGCATCTTATAACTAAATGACATAACACACAATTTTTATAAATAAGAGGTTATTTAACTTTTAGAATTTATCTATAATTTAGTTCACTTATTGTGAGCCAACTGTTGGCTCACAAGCAAAAAGACTGCTATATATAAATACAGCACTAAACCCATCTTTAATTTACTGGTATATATATATCCAATAGTTTAAGGTTTCTGACCCATCATGACTTCCTTAAGACAATTTTGTGACCATTTGCATCTCTCATTGTCAGAGAAAGGAAGCCTATTAAGCATACCAAGAGCTTCCTCACTAAAGACAAGACTATCTTCACAGTCACCCAACCAGTTACTGGCCAGACCAAACAAAGTTTAACCTAGAGAGTGACATTACCATTATCCACTACACCACTGGCCTATATTTCATAACACACCGACTTTAACGTTCAAACTAAACTATCTAATTAGCTATTATAATCATCGAGCATCCAGCTTTTTGTTGTACTGTAGTTGACAGTCTAATTTTAGCAAAGGTTCATTTGGTGGAATACGCACACTCCTGCCATAATTATAATACAGTATTATGTCAACTCTGGTAGTATGATGTTTTACTGAGCTCTTATTAAGCATGTTTATACAAATTGGAGGATGTCATAACACAGGTACCCACCAACTGAGGAGTCGAGACAAAATCATGATTCAAGCTGTGGCAGGAATACAAATACTGTCAGATAATGCACTGTGTATGCAACATAGCTTCATTATGCTATTGTGTGAAACATGTTCATCATTCATAAAATGCTGTGTGATTTGATCAAAGAATGGAATTCTTACCAAGTAATAACAGTTAAAGTGACCTTAGACATTTTACACAAATTTCTTCCTAATCATGTCTACAGTCTATTTGCATTACTTAATATTCTATTAAAATTAGCTATGGTGAAAATCAGCACTTAAAATAAAATAATTAAAGAATATCTGGTTGATATCAGTAAAGGTTCCTAATTAGTTACCTGTAATTCCAAATGGACTAGAAATGATTAGCCTTTCATTCAGACAAATGACAAATTTATAACAGGTGATATAAGAACTTTGACAGTAATGGTGCATTTTCAATACCATCAATATAAAGTATTAATATATAGTGCACCAAGTAATCTCCAATAACATCTTTAAATAAGCAAACTGGTAATGTTTCATACTTTATATCAAAATAGACTATATAATGTAACAATGCAATTATCATTATATTGCTAAATTAATAGTCATTCAGTACTGGAATTTAATACACAAAACAGACCTCATTCATATAAAGAACTGAAATAAGCTTAAGTATGATAATGATAAACAAATCTATAAAGCTGCACTTGCTGTTATGCTCATGAACAAGACAAGCAAAATCCATCCTCTATCCTGCCAGCAGCAGTGTGATCACAACATTATGCACCTAGTGAGTTCAATATAGAATTTTTTTTTTCCACGTTACCCAGTTTAATTGAAAGCACTGTTTTGGTAACTTTCACTGCAACCCCTTCAACAATGATACAAAATATAAAGCTATCACATTGTAATGTCAAAAACAAAATAAGGCTTGCTACAAATCAGACATGATATCAAGAATCCATAATCTACACCAGGTAGCACAAGTCAAAATGACTACATTCATAAATAAATAAGTTCTTATTTTACTAAAGTATAAAGTGAGGTAAAATCCTTGATGAATACCTTAAACATGAGTAGCATAACATACACAGAATCTGAGAAGCTTTACACACTACAGTACAAGCTTCTGTAAACTGCAATCAAGAACTATTCATCATTAACACCATCAGTAAGTGTAGTGTACACAACTTTGTGGCGAGCCAAGTGGCAAAAATGTGGCTGGAACGTGAAGGTGCTCTAACATGTACTGCGCAAATGTCGTGTGACACTGCACAAGTGAAGGCTTGGGTGTGTGAGAGGTCCTCAGGGAAGTGTGATGCGGGGGAAAGGGCAGCAAACGCCGAAGGATGCGCTAATTTTAGAGTACTGTATCTTAAATGTTCTAATCAGCGGAATGTTAAATAAATGTTCAACTATACTGTACATACTGCTGAGAAGCATCAGGACAAAGAAAGGAAATACAGTACAAAAATACAGAGTTCCTCCAGTTCTCTATTATCTAGTGCAAGTATTACTACTAATTCTAACCACTGAGGCTTTTGTACTATTATAAATTACTAAAAAAGCTTTACAGTACAGTATTTTGAAACTTAGTCAATATAAAAAAAATATTACGCCCATTACAAAGATTGACATTAAATAATAAAGTTGTGACCAGCATAAAGAAATTGTGAAGTAAACAAAACAAGCATTGCACGTGAAAAGAGAGAGCCAAACAGGAAGCAAGCTTAAGTAATAAAATGTCATTAATGGTGGCAAATACTTTTTTTGGCCATTTGAAATATGGGTAAAGTTCAATCAGGCATCATGTGTTGAGCAGCCAATCCAAGTCAGAAAGAAAACCAATAAATAATTAATTAAGACACAAACTAATAATTACACAAAATAAGTCACGTCACAAACCTTACGAGTACAAATCTCTGCAGTGCATATTAATGTGTGTATCAATGTATGTATGTATGTATGTATGTGTATGTGTACTCGCCTAGTTGTGTTTGCGGGGGTTGAGCTCTGGCTCTTTGGTCTAACCTCTCGACTGTCAATCAACTGATGTACAGATTCCTGAGCCTACTGGGCTCTATCATATCTACATTTAAAACTGTGTATAGAGTCTACCTCCACTACATCACTGCCTAATGCATTCCATCTGTTAACTACTCTGACAAAGTTCTTTTTAACATCTCTATGGCTCATTTGGCTACTCAGTTTCCACCTGTGTCCCCTTGTTCGCATACCACCCATGTTAAAACAGTTTATCTTTATCTACCCTGTGTGTGTACGTGTGTGCGTGCGTGTACACACTGCAAAGAAAGACTTGAAAGATCATGTTATACACAGCAACAACACACTGTTGTGTATTACTAGCATGGGTCAAGATGTTGAGTAATACTGTATGAGCTGGTTATCAAAAGCCTGCTGAACCAAATATTTGGATTATCCAGTCAAGATTGTGTCGATATTTTTGGGGGGCAAAATTTTGCTGTATCTAGATAACCGGAGATTTGGTTGGATAATGCAGACTGGTATGGTCTAAGTCAAGTGCGGATAAACTTTCTGGCAAGACTGCCATATCCAAATAACCGGAGATTAGATTATGTAAATTTAAAACAACTACACATTTCAAGATGTTTAGTATCAAACAAGAAGACAAACAACAACACGGTAAGTTGACTTTTGTTTTAAATTATATTTTTAATGTATTGTGTGTGGAAATGTGAATTATGTTGGTTATGGAAAAAAAAATTACGAAATATTGTAATTTTTGGATTTCCCAGGTAAAAATTCTGCTTATCCAGGTGCCTGGCTTATCTGGTGAGGGGTTCATGCTTATCTGGCTTATCTTCCATATAGTCTGGATAAGTGAGCTCAATATTGTGTAACAGCAGCATGGGTCAGTATGTCTTAGATTAAATCTACAGATTCGCCTCATGATCAATAATATAGAAATTAATCCCTTTACTAGTGAAATACTTACTAGTCTTAATATTGTCTTTCAAGAACTTGACCAACTGCTTCACTGCAGATAAACACACACAGACTATAAAAGGTTTCAATGGAACCATTTTTAAACAAACTTTTATTTGATTTTAATCAGGCCACACTAGTGTGGCAATCTGCTCTTAAAACGTATATTGCCAAGTTATGTCAGGTACATGCTTTTTCTGAAATTATCAGGCTTTTATGACTCTTACGTTGAGTCTTGCACAAATTACAATATTGTTTAGAGGAATTATGACAAAGTTAGTTACCCACCAAATAGATTTCAGGCATTAAAAAGAAGGCCAGACAAACCCAAGATAATGAAGGGGAAGAGGAACATTCGTGAATGTTGACCGTGTGTGCTGAGGAACTCTCTGGCTTTATCAACTGAAAATAAAATGAAGGAAAATGGATGTTAGTTATGGGTATATATTTGTTTAATTTTTTCTATGAGTTTGCCTCCATTTAAATATGTTTTGCATATTTTGATCAAATGTGTATACCAATTTGATATTTTAGATATACAAGTGGGGATAGTGGTGCGTGTTGTTACCACTATACTACACAGAATACAATATTCAGTTTTCTCATGGGACTCGATTATCCAATATTAAAGGTGGCGTGCATTTTTTTTGTTCTGATTACCTATAAATGGGCAGACACGCATTTTTGTCCCTTGACTGTTTGGGTGCCATTTATCTTTATTACTCAAGAACCAAAATCAAATCCAATATTTAAGTACTGTAATTATAAAAAACAAAAAAGTACTAAGCCAGTATGACTATATAGCACCACTGAAGTCACATGTAAAAAGTAATGTACAGAGGGAAAATCATGCTAAACAAACGATTTAATTCCATGACAAGGCTGTCAGAATTAGACTACAGAACAAAGGATGGAAAGACTGCATCCTAGACTCCCAACATTTTTTCGATGCATTTCCTCACGAGACCAACATGTAAGATGGAGAGACAAGTGGGGATAACAAGAATATCACGGGATCAAGTACAGTACTTGACAGACATGAAGCAGAGGGTCATAGAGAGATATCGGGCATGTGAAGAGCGGAAAGTTGTGTTCCCCAGGGCTCTGGCCTAGGACCATTGCTCTTTTTAATCTATGAAAATGATCTCGCAGAGGAAGTGAGCTCATACCTGCAGATATTTGCTGAAGATACAAAGTTAATGAGGAGAGCAAGAACTGAAGAGGACTGTCGAGATGCAAAAAGACCTTAAACTTCAGGAGTGGGCAGATAAATGACTGCTGAAATTCAGTGCAAATAACTGTAAAGTACAGTAATGAAAATGGGAAAGGAAGATAGGAGTCCTGTATTTAATTACATTATACCATAAGAGTAAAAGACCTGGGAGTAGAATTAATTCCAACACCGACACGAGAAGCTCATATGAACAGGTTAACATCAATAGCACATGAGAAGTTAGCAAACATAAGAATGTAATTTAAGAATCTAAACAAGAAGGCTTTCAGTTTCATACACTGCCCATGTGAGATCATTAGTTGACTGCAGCACCAGCATGGAACCTCCACATTGTGAAGCATAAACAAACTAGAAGTTCAGACTTCTGCAACTAGTACCAGAATTGAGGTGCCTCAGCTATGAGGACCGGTTGAGAGAATTCGCCTTCACAATCTAAGAAGAGAGAAGAAACAGAGGGAATATATTAACTTCATGCAAGATTTTGAGGGAGAATAGATAAAGTGGACAATGAAATCCAGTTTAAATTAAAGAGAGAAAGAACACGGGACATTGGTGGAAGCTGGATACACAATCGAGTTGAAGAAATGGGTAATCGGCAAATGGAATGCACTGAAAAGGTTGAAGCCAATTCCATCCTAATCTTGACAAAATCATATGAACATTTTAATGCCGAGATAGGTAATTAGAGTGCTAGGTACAAAGAGCTAGGAGGTAGGGCTTAAAGTGTTACATCTCACTCCTTCAGTCAATAATAGGTTACCACCTTACCTCATGCCACACTGCTCACCACTCTGCACTATAGTGGTCACCTCTTTCCCCACACCACACCACATTGCTCACCACAATACTCACAAAACTGTTCACTGACTAAAACACCAATGCTGTTTTACCAACAAGACTTGGGCTACTAATATGATGGTATAAGGAGAAAAGGGAGTAAAATATGGAAATGTAATGAGCACAGGCAGGATTTGGTAAATGGAGGGGTAGTAATGAGGGATAAGAGGGAGAAGGGATGGGAGAGTGGTTGAATACACACACATGTATGTGTGCACAAATTTAGTACTGTACAACTATGCTTATTAATTTTCAAGATGTTGTTTAAGCTCCACTCTCGGTTAGTGTTAAAACGGTTCTAAATGGTGCCCTACAAACCTCAGTATCCAAAACTCTTTCAAAGTTCCAAGCTGACATGTGATCATTTTCTCCAGTTATCACACATGCACAAAAATATGCAGGAATATTTAAATTCTCATTATTACAAGGTATTCCTACTATGAATACCAAATTCAATGATGGAGAAAGAGGTGGGGAAAAACTTTAAAATCTAAATCCAGTTTCAATATTTATGTAGACAATGTATTTGTTCATAATACTCTCATAAGCCTTCAGTTAAAAATATAAATGTATATATTTTGTCTAAAACAAATATTGTATCTTAGTGCATTACCTAAAATGTTAAAATTTTATTAAAAAACCAACTTTCTGGCATATTTTCTGCACAAATGAAATATACTGAGTTACAGGGGTATTTATAATATTGTTGTGCATGTTAATTAACCACAAGGTTGCCACACGGCTCTGCAAAAAGCTCTCGAGAATCTTAGCAAAACACGTTATAAATAATCAGCGACTTAAAACCATGAAAATCAAACTCGAGTCACCTGCCTCTCACAGGGAAACATTTAGACGAGTGTGCAGGTCTACAGCACCAGACAAGTCTTAGCCTTAATCATGATAACAGGTTTTATCAATACTATTATCAGTAGGAATGAACTATTACTATAAAGGCAAACATTTCATGAAAGTGTGATAAAGTTACTACAGCCTTCACTACTCTCAAAATTCCTTCACTACTGTAAAAATTACAAATTGTTAAAACACCAGTCGAGTACTGCACTTCTAACAGCACGTCGAGCATTAATGAATTCCCGTAGAAAATGGTTTTGATAATCAAATACTACCACACACACAAACAAGAAATTTATATGCTTTAATAAAAGTTTGTTCAGGATGAAAAATATATTCAAGTGTGTCTGGAATTAAAAATGTGAAGATAATCTAAGAAAGTTTACAGGTTAAGGAAAGTACATATGTATATGAGAAGAGTAAGCACAAAATGACGTGGTGGTGGTGAGAGATGCGAGTATTAACATTATATGAATATGTCTGAAAGGATGGTATATGAAATATCCCACCGAGATGAGTGGGAAACAGATGAGATTAGTGATGCGCAGTAACTATGTTGTTTCCAGACAATTGCTTCACTAATCCTGCTGCAAACCTGATATATAGTGTATGTACTCAGCACATGCTCCAGCAGAAAGGAAAAACCTATATTATATATTTCATCTCACAGGTATGGACACGTCTTAAAAATTCTTTTGAGGAATTTCAAGACACATGGGTGATGATGGTTTACAAAATATAGAAATTTAAATTGTACAACAAACTTTACACAACCAAAATAAATAAAAAAATGTGAGCCACTTCTTGGAACATCACTGACACACATGGGCTAACATGCACCTTGTTTCTGTTGCAAAATCACTGTATTTAGTCAAGTTCTTCCTGAGCAGTACTAAGTTGTTCCTCTCCTTCAAGACTGGAGGAGGAAGGTTGGGAGGACGACAACTGGGAAGTGGATGAGATGGACATTGGTGTTGCTTCCTCAATTTCAGCCCCTTGATCAAATCCATTCTCCTCCAGAGCTGAAGGGGCAGGGGGAGGCAATGGTCTGTGCAAGGAGAATGGCATATCTCTTCGTCGGTAGAGGAGCAGATAGGCTTGTTCATTGATCACACGAGATTCCTGGCAGAAGTTGACTCGGCTGTCATCGAACAACCTCCAGTCTAGTTAAACAGAAAGCAAAGCACAGTACATTAATATTGCCAAACATTGATAAAATACGCACACTCTCTTGTCCCGCCTCTCAACTGTCAATCAACATGTGTACAGATGCCTTAGCCTATTGGGCTCTATCATATCTACACTTGAAACTGTGTATGGAGTCTGCCTCCACTCTATCACTTCCTAATATATTCCATTTATTAACTACTCTGACACTACAAAAATTATTTCTAATGTCTTTATGGCTCATTTGGGCACTCAATTTCTGTGTGTACCCCTTGTGTTAAATAAACTGTCTTTGTCTACCCTATTAATTCCTTTGTGAATCTTGTATGTGATCATGTCCCCCCCTAATTCTCCTGTCTTCCAGCAACGTGAGATTTAATTCCCGTAGTCTCTCCTCATAGCTCATGCCCCTTAGTTTGGGCACTAGTTTGGTGGCAAGCCTCTGAACCTTCTCAAAATTTAATTTTATGCTTAACGAGATATGGACTCCATGCTGGAGCTGCACTCTCCAGCATGGAGTATGCACACTCCAAATATATACATAAAACTACTCCATATATATGGAGATTGCACACTCGTATATACTGTATATATATATACTCTCACAATGTATATGTATATACATTACATACATACATATTATATGCAACAACAATCACAAAATACTGATCAAGGTGTTAAGAAAAACCACATTAAAATATGAAGGAAGTCATAACCTTTCAACTGAAGAAGACCTAACAGTTGAACACATTAGCTTCTTTCACATTTTAATGTGGGTTCATAGTGTGCTTGTGCGCATTTTTTTTTTATACACTGCATGAAAAAGAAGAGAATGGAAAAGAATAGCGATGCCAAAAATAATACAAAAGACTAATAAGGTAGAAACTTTCAGGGTCAATCAATGCCAACACCTCAATTAATTGACAAGCAAAGTATGATATGCTAACCAAGACTATCTAAAATTACATTAAGTAACTCCTTAAACCTAAGCCATAAACTTACCAATCTCAGACTGACGAGTGTCGTGTTTGGCCACCAGACGAGCGTAGGAGGTATAATGGCCGCCTAAGAGACGACCCATATGGTTTATGACACCATAGAGATCGTACACTGCAGGACCGTCTTCAGGCTCGGCTGACATGTAAGGCAGCAAATTTAACCCTCTGCCAGCAATAAGCATAGATAAGACATTTATCCAATACCTAGTTATTAATACATTATTATTATTATTATTATTATGGTTAAATACAGTAAACTGTGCTAAATACATAGGTATCTTATTGATTTTCTATGGATGCAGATAGTCAATTCTCACGTCTCCATTGCAGCAACACTGCAATACTGTCAAAGATCCATTTTTATATTTGTCTTCCACCGAGAAAATAAACATTAACTGTGTGAATAATGACAATGCCTATAGGAGACACGAGTTATGAGTTACTGTATAATACTAAAGATGACATTTTATTTTCACAAGCTTCTTCAAATCAAGAGTTGAGAATAGTTTAAAAAGCAAAATGTCCTTTACAACATGTAGCGAGTTCTAACATAGTATTTTTCTAAACTTTGGCAAGTTATTATTTTGACATGCACAGCATTTAATATGCAATGGAAATGCTATAAGCAGTCTATTAATAAGTATTAATTTTAATACTTATTCAGTAAACAAGATTTTTTTTTTTAGAAAAACACCCGGTGGGCAATATGAATTTTAATGCAAAATTTGTTCACAATAAAGTTGCTACTAAAAATAGTATCTTGAGAACATAGTCCATAATTATAACTTTTCTATGACCATACTATGACTTGTGTTGGTGTCAAAATATGCAAACCAACCACAAATGCAAATGGAAGATGGTTTTAAAAATAAAATATCCAAAAATGTAATTTGAAAGCCTATAGAGAATTCATGATGACCTACATGAACAAACTCCATTACATGAACAAAATTGTTACAGCCAATAGCAAAGGAAGAGTGAAGCCAAGTGCACACACTCACCTCACTGGGTACTGCACAAACTTGTCAATCTTGTCTGAGTAAAGAACATATTTAAAGGAGAATCTCTTGAGCTGTATAATAAGAATATGGGGCAACCTCCACACACTCATTTGCTTAGTTGCTTCCACTGGCTTTTTACATCTGTAATAATACACACACATTAAAGCACATCTCTATTAGGGGGATTATACTAGTATTTGTAATTTTAGCACTTTATAATAATAATGTACTACAGTATACTCAAATTACTGCAGGTACATTTTCTGAAATTACCTCGGACAACGCCAAGAATCGCCTTCCGATAAGTTTTCCGGTTGAGTAAAAAGTTCAATGCAAGCCTCTAAACTAGTGGGCTGATTACGCTGCACTGAATATGAGCCTTCAGTCTCGCACTCAACCTGTTAGAAAGATTAAACTTTATTTTAGATATGCAGATATCTAGATATAAAAAACTTTAGATATACAAAATTTCCTCTTTTTAACGAGCATTCTCATCGAAATCTATAATTTTAATTATTACTATGAACAAACACCTTTCCGTAGTGATAACCTTATTTGTTTCATGGCTTGAGATTTCAGCCACGTCCTTAACAATAGTGCATAACTAAGAGAAGGAACTACAACCGTATTAATACAAGTAACAGGTCAATTCATTCTAGTGTCTGCAATCACTCACCTACACTAACTGCTTACCCATCAATGACTACAGGGAACTAGCTCTTTATTCATTGTGTCCTAGACTTTTATACATCAGTATCTTGTATCCCTCTGTGTCTTCTCTCCTTAAAAGTTGTAATGTTAGGATCCCTTAGTCTGTCCTTATAACTATGCTCTGTTTAACTCTGATACTGCACTAGTATTGTTGCCAGTCTCTCTACTTTCACACGTTTCCTTAATATTTCAAAAGGTGTAGATTGTACGGCGGTGGTGAATACAGTAGCAATAGTGTTATATAGGAATCGTACTGGGGGGCTAGTCTAGGAAGACCTTGATAAACTAACAGATTTCCAGTCCCTGACAAATGGAAACTGTGACCTGTTACACAATTAACATTTATGCACACTAATTCCTATATAAATGCACTTCACACATTGACCACAAAGACAATTATTTGTTCTAATAATGCTTTACAGGAAGTTTTAGTTTTTGCTTGTATAAAATTATACTGCAATGTAATCACCATTATTAGCATTTAATTATATAGTAATCAAATGTAATTTTATTACATAGTAACATTACAAGACAGATTAACCCTTTGACAGCTATGGAAAAATGGTTATACACCCCTATGCACAAAAAATATTCCATTTACACGTGTTAGATAAATCACATATTTCATATACAGTGTAATAATGTTTCAATTGATGATTGGTTTACCCAATATACTTCATTACAACCATAGAATAGTGAAAACCATATAAACATATTATACATGGGTATTGGGTTCTGGGTATAATACTGGGTCTGGGTCTGGGTACCTAAGGTATAATTGGCACCATATGGGCCACAGTATAGACTGACACAGAGGCATAAGCCACCAAATACACAACCCCACACATGATGGCAAATTCCTGGTACACGTAGTGCATGATAATAGTTCAACTGGTGACTGGTTTACTTAGTATACCTCATTACACCCTTATAAAGTTGTGAAAACCATATGAACATCATTTGTATACATGTCATAAGACAGTATTTTATACAATGACGATGATTACATTCACCTTTTAACATTTATGACAGTAACCACATTAACAAAGTAATGAAACCATGAAACAATAGCTGGATTTGTTCATGGGTCAAGGAGAACTTCATTACATCCACATAGACCTATTAACTCCTTATTTGCATCATACATGTAAAACCCCGACATTAATTGTTTAAATCTTCATACGATGATAACCACATCCACAACATATGATGATAACTGCTGTCTACGGGTTAAATATTCCATCAGAAAATGGCAAACACCAACAGAGTTCATTCTAGGTAATTTCTCATAAAGTAGCATAATGACTAGTTATAATGACCGATATAAAAAGTAATAACATGTACTTACTTCTTTGTTTTGTACAAGACAGTGGACTGGTAGCCTCTCATTTGTTCGCCAGTCCATGGCAATGTAATATTTGTCTTTTAAATCCAAAGGCACATCTCCTGCAGATGAAAAAATGAAGTTATAAATATAAAGAACTGCTCATTTCTAGAAGACCGTCAGTAACTCTCTAGTGCTTATGCGCTGATATCGCTAAGCCTAAGAAATAAACACAGAATCTGCGACCCACGCTGACTGAGAAAGTAAAGCGATCTCCATGATCTCAACGAGGAGAGGATAGCCTGAGAATCGGTAATTAGACATTAACCCAAAACAGGTTGACAAACATGCAATTGAGGTCTTAATACAAAAGCCGAGACTTCCTCAGCACCCGAAATATGACAACCACAGGAGAAAGTGAAGCAATCCTGGTATCCCAGACCAAACCCATCCAAAGCAGGACCTTGACACCAGGACTGTTGTCAGTTGAGAAGGAAGCTAAAGCAAGCCACCTGGGAGAGAACTACATCACTAAATAGTAGACAAACCAAATGAGTGGAAGCCTAAACCAGTCAGTTGTCAAGGTAGGTCAGAATTTGGATTCCAAGATAATGATGGTGTCAAACAGCTACTGTACCTAAACAAGTGCGCTGAGCATCATGGGTGCCAATTTCACATCAAACAGCAAAGTTTGTTTGTCAAAGTCAAAGTCAGGAGAGGGGTTGTACTGGAAGAAAAGTTAAGAGACACCTTCCATTCAGAGAAAAATTTTCAGGATGAGGAACAAAATCCCCCAAGAGAACCAAAGGGCATTTACAGAACCTCCTCAGGTGACTCGATCCCAAGTTCTTTCTTTCAAACAGTAGTTTACTTTGTTTTCTCTCTCCTTTATGGTTAGTTTCATCAGTTTTGGATAAATCTCTGATCCTCTAAGTTTTTCTTGTCTTATGCAAGTCTCAAGAGGCCTGGCACAACCATTGGGATCAGCAGTACTCGTGCATACGTACTGGTTACACACTGAGGGGCAGAGGGAAAGCCTTCACAGAAATGCACATAAATTAAGAATCACAGAATTCCTATTGAAGACTTCTTAAAATATTTATGATTCTACCCACATATATATCTGATAAATTTGTTAAAAGCAAAAGTGCTTTTTGTTTTTGCAACATTCACCTGTAACAGAGCAAAACATTATTTACTCACAAATAAAGGTTATCATATTTTATAAAGAATTGCATTACATATTCCCAAAATATTTCCTAACAATGCCAACAATATTTTATGATACCTTACCACTACAGTATATAGTATAATCCCTATGATCTGTACTAATATCATAAAACTCTTTAGTGGTTTTAATACCTCTATCCTCGAGTGGTTCCCCTGCCGAAGATGCGATATTTTGGGCACGGTTGTTCACAGGACGAATAACGAACAACTGCGTGGCTGATGGCAACTGCACACTTCCTCGAGGTTGTACCGCTCTAACACTAGGGGATGTGGAAAGCTGCGGAGGTTCATCACAACCACTACCTCCACCGCCGTCGCTCCCACCGCCACTGTCACAGCCACCACCATCACTGCCAGTAGCACCTTCATCTGCCCAATGACCTGGACCATCTCCTTGAGAGCTCTCACCAGTCATTAATATATCACTGCTATCTACTTTGTCCTCTGGCTCAACATCTTCAACCTAAAGAAGTCATTTTATGAATAGTTAATTTTTTCTGATACTGGTACATGCAATATGAAATGGTTTTAATATTGGCATGAGATGTACTGTGATTCACTATAAAAAGAATTGGTATGCAAGGAATAAGAAAAATTACTCTACAAACTCATTCTCTCTCTTGCCATATATGGCAAGGATAAAGGTTCATAATGTATTATTCATTTGTGTTCCAGAGAATTGTGCCTTTTTTATCAGTAAGTAAGGAACCCCAACTCTAGTCCCTCCGGTGTACTTGGGTTGCTACCAGCCAGTACACATGCTTGGGGTGCTGAAAATTGTAGCTATTGATATGTTTATATGCAAATGTTATAGTGGTCTTTGCTGAGATTGAGATGGAACTGCAAAGGATTGTAAGAGTTTGATAACTTGTACAAAAAGAAAAAGTTTTCGGCCAATGAAGGACAGAATATGAGAATGTATGTACAGTACAGTACTTCATAGAAAGGAATGGAATGTCACAAATTTCGTAGATTCCTGTAGTGTAATATATAATTACCCAATTAAAACTTAAGTTGTGTGTGATATTAGTGCAACCAATCTATAGCCTTTAGCCAATGCTTTGCTACTTTCCTTGTGGCATGGAACTATATTTACTGATTTAAATGCTTCCTGTATCTTCCCCCTGTATACCAATTTTTTCTCCATACAACACTGACCACTCATGCTACTCTGGCGCGAGTGATATGTGCAAGTATGAAATGAATGAGTCAAATAGAATGTAGAGTAATGAGTGGGTGGGGAATGACACACTTGGTATAAATATCTCTGTAGGATACTTGAAAATTAACAATAAGGGTGTACAAGGGAGAAATAAGTAACCACATGGTAGTTAGAACAGTATCCAGGAGGGGAAGAAATGGAGCAAAATGTAAAAGAAGGGGTGAGCGAAGGTTTCAGAGAGCGAGAGTTAAAGATTTGTGAGGTAAAAACAGCATCCTGGAGAAACGGTTAAGGTCACCTCTTCAAGGAAAGCTCCAATGAGGGAGAAATAAGGCATCAGGGCTTAAAAGAGAAAATTATAATATAATTCTTATTTTTGGTCTTTACCACCTCAATTTATTTTAGTGATGGCACTGTCACAGCATAGTTGATCAGTCAACTGCTAATTAAAAAAAGAGGGGCATTAAATTTTTTTTAATTTAAAACATTAATTTACCTCCATGTCATCATTTTCTTCACTCGAGAGCTCTATGCTAGATGTACTCCCACGGTGAGAAGAATTGTGAAACACAGGTGGCTGGAAGATATCCACAGAGTACCGTGCATACGCCTCCATGATGCGGGCCAAGCGAGAGTATGTCGCATGACTCTCGGGTAGAGACAAAATGAACGGACACCCAACAGGTTCAGGAACCAGCTTGCAGTGTAGCTTAAATTAAAATAGATAATTTAATCAATAACTAATGATGGCTTGATTTGAAGAGAGCAAACAAAAAAGGTCATCTTCGCTCTCCCTTGTCACTATATCTTACAATGCAAATACAGTCTGTATTATGAAATATGCGGAAAAACTACATTTGAAGAGTAGAAGAATTTGAAGAATCTAATTCTTCAAATGTGGTTTATCCGTTTACTTGGATCAGTGTTTTTGTGATTGTTGCATTACGAAATATAGCATTCTTAAAAATATCAACAATAATTGTAACATTAAATCTAAAATATTTTTTCTTAAATAAAATTATAAAATATTTTTCTTAAATCTACCATAAGAAACCTACACAGTTCAAAATGTGAATAATACAGAATGTTGCATTACTCGACCATAATGAAATACGTGAACAAACTAAGGCTTCCACAAGAAAACAAAAATACTGTATAGCATTGATATTTTTGAATTATGCCTGCTTGAGAAAAACACATCAAGTACTCAAGATACCAATTCACGCTAACTTTTTAAATCTCAACTTTCGCACAAGTACCTTGAACTGTGCAGCAAGCATTTGTTCATGTCCCTGTACCAGACTTCACATACTAAGAGGCCTACTTACACTATATTCTCATCACTCCTGCTCTTACAGTTCATACCTCCCCCCCCCCCATTCTACTTTTATTCTCACTAAGGCCAGGGTATGGGTCAGCTCAACATAGACCAAGTATACCCTTTGTGGTGAGGACATTGTCAAGATGGGTCCTTAGCCTAGTCTTCCCACCATCATAGGATATATGGTGCTCTTTTATCCACAAAGTGGTAAACAAGTAATTATCAAAACCTACACTGTGGAGGGAAAGAAATTGCCATACTGTCATGTTCTGAAATTATACATTATGATTAGCTTTATGTTAGAGTGACAGCCGATTCAAGATTTCAAGACGATTGAATTCAGTGTCGCTTTTATTCTTCAGCTTGTGGATTGAGATGGTAACAATATCTTATCAGAAAGCATTCCACCTACTGATCACCAAAACTTTACCACCTCTTCACAGATACACATCCTTCAGTTCTTGGTCTTTTAACATTACATGTTGCTGATGCATCTCTATTACAGAATACTGTCCATTTATCATTTCATAAGAAAAATACTACCGACTTAATGACCAAACCACACAGGAGACAATGGAAAAACAACGACATTTCGGTCCATCCTGGACAATTACCAAATCGCGTGTGAAGAGTTGATAATGGTACAGGACAGACCTAAACGTTGTCATTTTCTCCAACTTTTCCTGTGTGGTTTGGTCATCATATCTTCTCCACATTATTGTGACTACACTGATTTATTTTTGCATATACTGACTGCCAAATCTGAAATTACCTGAAGCTTGAGCATTAATAACAGTCTCTCAGGAATCAATATAAACTTCAGAATTTGTTATATTTTCTACTTAAGCTTTAAAGTCAATTAACCTAGAGTGTGTGCAGCCAGCCAGCTCGACTTACTTTGTGATTAGGCCAGTGATTCTTCTGACAAGCTTGGTGGCAGTATCCAGCCCGGAAACATTTAGTACAGCGGCGCAGTTTACTTCCTGAAACAGCATTTCTAGAACAATAGGCACAACGAGTTGGAGGACTGGGGATCATCATCCGCTGCACCACTGCCACTTCTACTACTGCTTCTCCAATCTGCCAAGTTACATCAAATTATATACAGTATATTCTATTTCTATTCCTAACATATAAAAGCTACTTTGTATGCATTTCAGTGAGAGGCCTGGTTGTTATAATTTATGCAATCATTTCCTTTAAACACGAGATGTAAATATAAATACCTCTCGCCTATTCCACTTTTGAGATAAAGAAAAATAGGACTTCTTTGTCGTCTAAATCTGCACAACCTGTACATTTAATTGTCTTATTCAAGCACTGAACTAAATTATTACACTATCCTAAAACTCCTCTTTAGTCATAAAAGCATTCTCAAGATGATTCAAAGCAATAACTTGTGAATTTTATAAGAAACGTGAAATAAAGATGAATAAGACTATTCTTTCTCTGAATGGAATAGCAATCTTGTTAAATAAACAGTTATATAATATAGGACAAACCTGCTGTGGACTATAAACTTCAAAGGCCATCAAAGTATCAGTGGGGACCACTGATGAAAGTGTTGATCCCTTGGCAAATATTTTGTGAATTTTTGATTTAAACATTTCAAACACCTGTGGGAGGAAAAAAAAAGTTACAGCAGCTCAAACATTTAAATCAGTTCAAATGATACCTTATATCATTCAAGCAATGAGATTGGCCTCTAGAGTTGAATCTTACTTCTTGTACATAACTAGAAAACACACACAATAAAGATAAAAAAATATTTGTGTTTACATTTGAGTGCCGAGCAAATGGTCGACTACTAAGCACGAGCACAGTGTTTAAGTACCGAATTGTTCGGGTTGTTGGCCATTCTAGTACCGAGGCTCCTTGTGCTGAATACTGTATATATATAAATGTTGGAGACGAACCGTACCTGTATAGAAGAGACTTGAACACCAGTGCGATCAAACAGCTCTTGCTTTAGTTCCTCAATGGCAGCATTGGCAGGCACTCTGATAAAAAATTTCTTGGGCTTTTGGTAAGGATCTTTCCAAAAAAAGATCACCTGGACAACCTGTAAGATCAAAATTATTACTAAAATATGAGAAAAGTTTTAATAGTTAATTTAAACAAGAAACAAATGAGGAGTTATAACATGCTCACAAAATGTTTACATATAAAATTAACATTAAACCTCCAGTTTGTGCACATTTAGAAGCTTTTAGTTATTAATTCCAAACCAAAAAACTTCTTAAGTTTTCTAAGGAAATAGATGATCTACACACACAGTAATAAACAAGCAAACCTGTTTACTTAGCTGTGTGCAGATGTGGTGGAGTGAGTAATGAGATCGCCGTCATCTGTTCCTCCCGCACTAAGGTGCCAACTGGGATAACATTGGAGGCACATCCACACTTCTTTAATTTTAGTCACCTAACATGCAATTTATGTACACAATGTTGGAGCACAAGAATATTGTATAGGAGAGCATCACACTAAAAATTTAATAAAAGGCTACATAACCTATAAACTTCAGATTTTAAGCATCTCCCCTCACTCCTCCAAGGAACACTCTTCGGGACTCTTAATCCTAGGGTCTGGGTTTGATCCCCGGTGATGGAAGAAAACAAATGGGCAGTTTCTTTCACCCTGATGCCCCTGTTACCTAGCAGTAAGTAGGTACCTGGTAGTTAGACAGCTGTTATGGGCTGTTGCCTGGGGGGGGGAAGATGACAGTTGAGAGGCAGGCCGAAGGAGCAGAGACCAACCCTCACAAGCATAACTAGATGAACACACACACCCTCACTCCTAGGAACACACATAAATTGTAAGAGGGCCAGAGAAAGAAAGACAAGGAAATGGGTACATTATAAGAAGAGGCCAAACCCTAACATACTAGTACTACAAACAAGCAAGAAACAAATGCACAGCAGTGAGGGGAGATGCAGAAAAAAAACTTTGAGAAAGTGGTTGTGAACAAATGTAAAACAGATCCAGGCCTTCTCTATAAATTCATTAAAAGCAATCTGCATGTAAAGGATAAAATCCAGAGATTGAGAATGGGGAACAGGTTCACTGAGGATGAAAAACAAATGTGTGAAACACTAAATGAACAGTTCCAAAGTATTTGTGAAAAATGAGGCTTTCAGAGAGTCAGACCCAATACCAATTCCAGAAAACACCATAGAGTACAGAGAGGTGTCTTGAGATAAAATGAAAAATTTACTCTAAGGGCTGGGGAAGAAATAAAGCTGCTGGACCATATGGAGTTTCACTTTGGGTGCTGAGAAAATGTGTAACTGAGCTGAGCATCCCACTCCAATTGATATTCCAAAAATCTTTGTCTAAAGGACAAAGATATTTGGAAAACAGGCAAACAGTTCCAATCTATAAAAATGGTAGCCGAGAAGACCCATTAATTAAAGTGTGATAGTCAAAATATTAGAAAAATAAAAACCAAATTGGTAGAACACGTGGGGCCAGATTCACGAAGCAGTTACACAAGCACTTATGAACCTGTACATCTTTTCTCAATCTTTGGTGGCTTTGTTTACAATTATTAAACAGTTAATGAGCTCCGAAGCACCAGGAGGCTGTTTATAACAATAACAACAGTTGATTGGGAAGTTTTCATGCTTGTAAACTGTTTAATAAATTTAACTAAAGCCGTCAAAGATTGAGGAAAGATGTACACGTTCGTAAGTACTTGCATAACTGCTTCGTGAATCTGGCCCCTGGAAAGTAATGATGTAATGACAGACAGACCGAGACAGTATGGTTTTCGAACAGAAGGATCCTGTGTAACAGATAGACTTAGTTTTTATATTAGAGCAACAGAGATCCTACAGGAAAGAGATGTTTGTATTGACTTTGTCTATCTGGATTTGAAGGCTTTTAATAGTCCTACACACGAGGTTGTTTTGGAAACTGGAACATGCTGGATGGGTGACAGACTTCTGACATAGATGAAAAATATTCTGACACAAAGATGAGGGCAGTAATCAGAGGCAATGTATTTTTCTATAGGAGTGTTACTAGCAGACTACCACAGGGTTCTGTTCTTGCACCTGTAATGTTCATCGTGTACATAAATGATCTACCAGAAGGAATACAATTATATGAACATTATATAGTTTGCTGATGATGCTAAGATACTAGGGGAAGATAGGAGAAGTAGACAGCTTTCATGCCCTTCAAACTGACCTAGATAAAGTAAGTGCTTTGAGCACCAAACGGCAGATAGAATTTAATATGAATAAATACCATGTTATGGAATGTGGAATAGGTGAAAATAGACTACACACAACTTATATATTATGTGGAAAGGAATTAAAAACTCTTCAAAGAGAGAGAGCTTGGGGATGGTTCTGGATAGTAGAATGGCACCAAACACATAGGACACTGCAAGGAGCATATGCTGCCCTTTCCAACTTTGAAATCGCTTTTAATTACAGTACATGGATGGTGAAACACTAAAGAAATTGTTCATGATTTTTTCAGACCAAACTTTGAATATACAGCAGTTCTATAGTGCCCATATCTCAAGAAGCATATCAATAAACTGAAAAAGGTGCAAAGGCATGCTACAAAATGGCTTCCAGACCTGAAAAACAAGAGTTATGAAGAGAGGCCAGCAGTATTAAATATGCCAAAGCTAAAAGAAAGAAGAAAAAGAGGCGATATGATCACCAATTGCAAAATAATAATGGGAATTGACCGAATTGACAGAGGAATTCCTGAAGCTGGCAACCTCAAGAACAAGGGTCACAGAATCAAGCTAAACAAACAAAGGTGCCAAATTTTTTTTGAAAGTTTACTTTTGGAAACAGTAGTAGACAGATGGAATAAGTTAAGTGAGAAAGTGGTGGAGGCCAAAACTGTTAATACCAGTAGTTTTAAAGCATTATATGACAGAGTGCTGGGAAGATGGGATACCACGAGTGTAGCTCTCGTCCTGTAACTACACTTGGGTAATTGCAACACCCCCCATACAAAATGGTTTATATTAATATAAGTAACTTTTTAAAAAGGCAGTTTGATTTTAGTCAGAAAGGTATAAAATATTCTACCTTTTGGTCTTTTGGTATGGGTACAGAGAGGCAGCAGAATTCATCGAATTTGACTGACACTTTGTTACATTCATGGCATCTTAGAGTAGACTTGAACTGGCCTTTAAAGAGATCATCTATTATGGAGTCATTGCGCATCTTGTGTAGTTTCCAGGATTCATCTGCTGCCTTCTTGTCTGGCCACCCATCAAGGTCTGGAGGCTCAGCCATATACGGCTTCTTCTTGATGCGGTTCAAATCCTATAATGTACAACAATTATTTAAGCAAGTTTTACACATCACTAAAGTATTGATAAACATTTACACACACACAAGATTTTATAATTTTTTTACAGGAGGACCAAAAGAGCCTTGACATTTTCATGCACCAAAACAGTACCATCCTATACAATTAAGGTTTATTCTACTTGCTCTTCTGGGAACCTAATAATCACTTTGGATGGCTTTTGAATAAAATGCATTTGTAGACATGTATATATATATAAATTAACTGGGGGTCACCTAACCCCTTAATGCCAAGGTGGTCCACCCTTGGGAAGGCCTAAAGTTCTAGCTGGATACCAGACAGTGTCTCTGGGGTAATTTTTTATTGTGGGGGCTGGTGGCTTAGCAGGCAGGAATGCAGGCTGCTGCTTTTGTGGTTCATAGGTTTTAGGCCCCAATGATCCAAGATAATTAAATTATATAAATATATATACACATATGATAGTATATAACCACAAAGAAAAAATTAAGCACTATTGCTTAAGATTAAAATTAAGCACTATTGTGTTAATCAACACATCAGGAGAACTATGTATTTATGATGTGCTGATTAACACAGAGTACTTAAGTATTTTCTTGTTTCATGTTTCCTACGTGGTTATACATTGTCTCATTATTCATCAAGTGTTAATTTCTTCATAATTTATACACACACAAATATATATTATAAGAGAACGTTTGTCCAAAACTTAAGACCAGAAACTTGGGAATAGTTTGAGAATTACATAGGGAAGCACAGAGGGAATGGTCTGTGGTATGGGATGGACACAGACTGGTCATGCTACGCCTAAGTTAAATGATTTATGAAATATAGCCATAACAAAACTATATAACTATAAATTTATATAAATATAACAAAACTATATATAAATATATAACAAAATCTAACCTGAACACTAGATGACAAGTCTGCAACTATACTGCCATGTTCACAGACCCAAAGGCTACCTCCTGGCTCCCTTCCACATGTGCACATAACAAGACTTCCATACTGTATTTGTGTTTTTGCATTTTCCTATCTTTGTGCATGCAAATTTATCCTTTTATAAGTACAAATTAACTTGGAAAATAATTGTTATGATAATGAATGTGGAACAATAGACGAAGAACACCTTACCTCGTGCAAACCGTCCAGCAGCTCTACCATAAATTCTTGAGCGTCGTGCTGGGCAAACCCAGAAAATTGGTTGGCTTTCATGGACATCATAGATTTAAGTTTGGTGGGTGCATGCGAGGGGATAGTGCCAGACCATAGCAGTCTCATGAGAATGGCATATGATATGGCCAGTTTACCTCCCATGCCAAGTGGGTTGTCTTTGTTGATGTCCTGCTGGAAGTTAAAATCTGCCAATACAAATGAAATAAATTAATAATTTTCTAACAACATTTTACTGAATTGTGAACACTGTGAAGGGCAGTGAATACTTACTTGCTAGAACATCTTAGAAAAAATGCACTACAAACTCAGTTCGAGTAATAAAATGTATTAAAACATCACAGAATATACAATGAGTATTAACTGAAATAAATGCCAATCCTACCTAAGAAATATTCCCTGAGTTCTTGTGTGTTGACTAGGCACTGAAGCACACTGTTCATAAAACAGGTGTTCCCTATGTTGTCCAAACCAGTTGTTCCACGAGGAGTAACACTGCCACCTTCACACATAGATGACGAAGAGGAAAAGGAAGTGGACGGGCCGCCTCTCATTCCTTTGCTTACAGGTGAAACCAGGCACATCGGTTTCTGAAAAATACTATCCTTCTTAAGTATAATCAACATTGAACCAAATATTATCTATTCTGGCAACCTAAACAAAATAGCTTTGACATGTCCACAAATACCCTAACAAGCCATATCTGCAAATTAACAAGATGAAATATTACAGAGACCCTGAACACCCCTATCATTACTGTTATGTTTGTGTAACACTGAAATTTTACCTCTGAATGACATCTACAGCTCTGATGACCAGTTATGAAGGAAGAGGAGCTATCCTAGAGTAATATATTAAGAGCTCGACATAATAAAAACAACATAGGGGTAAGTGAGTGAAAGAGAGAACAGGAGCTTGTGACATTCATAGGAATATAACATTTACTGGTACAGTGAAACAGGATGTTTTGCCGAGATTAATAGACATGGGAAGCTGGAGAGGAAAGGTAAATTGTCAGACTTGCATAGAAGCAAGTGTTATACAACATACTTTGTTCTCTAGAGACGGTGGAATGGGTGGAGCTGGTGGAATATTAGACAACGTAGGAGTTTCTGTCTTGCTGGCAGCCATCCACGTATTTTTTGCAACTTTATGGCCCAAAGCTGAAAGAATTTTTAATTATCTTGGGAGCAAAATCCTAGATATTTAATGTCAAAATAAATAGTATTGAATAGCCTAATAATATAAAGAAACATGTTTTAATTGACTAGATACAGTAATACTGTACTGTACTTAAAAAGTACAGTAGTATAAGCATGTAATTTAGCATGCCACTAATATATGTTTTCAAGGAACATGTTCTGAAAAAATACAAATAAAATAAACACGTACATTTTGCTTTGCCAGTAGCAACCTCACTGGTTACAATAGGCAGTGTGCAATTGTACAATGTTAGATTTACCTTATGGTTTTGGTAATGTTTTGTATTATTTCTTCGGACATGTGTCTATTCAATATCTCATGAATGTCTCATCGTATTAAAACTTGAAACTAAAAATACTTTAGTTTGAGCACAAATGTATAAATTTTTGGAAATCGAGGAATATAACCTAAGCTACATAAAGAGAAAGATGGGTGGGTAGATTACATTTTCCTAGTCTGTCAGATTTGTTTTTTTTTTTATTTTTTACATGAAGATTACGTACAAGATGGACAGGCAAGTTTGGATAACTTGCAAGACACTGAACTGGATAACAGGGTACCTAACAGAGCGTTAACAAAGGAGAAGTCGGGTGTGGGTGAAGTGACGTACTTGAGCAAGTGTAGCCACCCCATAGTAAGGTCCTTGACCTGTTGCTATTCATATGTGGGGACTAACTACCAGAAGACCATGTACGTTTGATCACAAAAAAAATAAGTTTAATTTTATTTTAATATCTTAAGACATAAGTTGTATGCCAATTTTGATGCTTGAATCCCCAAACACACAGTTCGTTCACATACTGCACCTGCTGCAATAATAAACCTCAAACATATTTCTAATAATTATCTTATTATGAAAGATATTTTCCTAAACTTTCTGCCCATTCAATGGGTTTACAATAAAAATGGTTATCTAGATGAACAAAATGTTAAATTCTTACCAGAGTCCGGAGTAACAGCGGTCAAAGCTCCCCATTTTTTGTTAACTTGTTTTTTTAATTTTATTTCAATATTATTATGATTGACTTTAAATTTACATTCGTCTAGTACAACTTTGTCTTTGAGGGATAATTCCCACTCAAATATAGTGTCTTCAGTGCTGTCGGGGTACTGCTGGAGAAAACGAGGATCACTGAAAAAAATAAGGAAATGAAAAAGAATGCTGTAAATAATGGAGAAACCAACATTAGTCACATATAACACCCGAATACTTCAATATTTCAATCCTAAAATAAAGGAATGAATTATGCAGCGAGCTATTTTTCAGCTGTACCCCTTGGAGAGACCGAAAAGATACAAACAAGGAAAGAAGGTATACCCCCCCCCGTGTTACACTGTAGGCAAGGTTCTACCACTCCCATGAACAAGACTTTGCACAATGTGAGCAGATTAATATTTCACAACAGTACAGCCAGGATCTTTTCAAGCATCAATGCAGGTGCAAGGTAGACATTGTAGAATTGTTAAACAAGCCCAGAATGATTTCAAAAAAGGTCATTCATCTACACTTTTCACCTTGATGGAGAGCTGAAACGCTACTAGTTCATACAAGCTGTGCTCAAAGTTGCAGCAAAGAACAGTACTGCGGAAGCAGTGCACTCTGTGACAAAACAGTGTGAAGGCAAGTGTATGTCCAATCCCAGGGAAAGTAGATAGGCCAACAACTTAGAGAATAGTACAACAAAAACGAGCACATTCAGCTTAGTAATGAAACCAAAGAAGGTGTCAAGATTTAGGGCAGATATGAAAGTCAACATCCCAAGAGAAGGGCACAAATTTGAAGTAAACATACAAAGCAAGACAAACCACAAACCACCTCTCCCTGGGTGAGAGCTACACAACATTTCCTGAGAGTTCTATTCCAGATTACAGCTAGAAGAGGATAAATGATTAGAAGACTCACAGTACTGTATATCCTAACCTAACCTTATCAACCAGACACAAAAGTGCAAAAGCATGCCCATAACTATGGTGGTGGTGGAGAGGGAAGATGGAAGAAAACCCACAGGAAGAACAAATTCCAAAGTTCTTGTCTCCTTTACACCATTCATTACCTGACAAGAAGTTCACTGAAAAAATTCCCTCTACATCAGCAGTGAAAAAAAATAAGAGCACTGACCTGGCTGTCAATGCACAATGTTCAGATGAGAGTTGGATATTGGCCAAGGGATCAGAGATGTAAGCTCAAAAACCTATGAAGCATGTAATGACAAAACAGTAGAGACCAACGTCCAGTGTTAACTTTACCTTGTTGAAAAGTGTGCCGATATTGCATCTTCAGTGAAGGTAACAAAAGAAGTCTCCTTGTTAATATTTTTGATATAGAGGAATACGACTAAAAGTGACTCTGCATCTCTCTCCACATAATCAATTTTCACATTTGATACAGACATGGTATTGTTATCTACTTTGATATCAACATCAACCTCTTTCTTCTCTGGGGTTTTTCCTGGCGATGGCGACGAAGATTTGGCCTTGGTCGATATTATTTTTTCTGATGGTTGCTTCTTTGGAGGCTTTAAAATAGAGTAAATACAAATAAATAAAATAGTTTTCATAAAAGGTCATGATACTAAAGACATTATTAAGAGACTGAGATAATGTACATAACTAATGTGATTCAAGCTTCTATCCTACAATATTTATAGGTTTTACAATAATGCCCAATGAACAGTATAATAAATTTATTTTCTGTAAGTATATATATAAATCCCATTCCACACCCCATTCATATTTCTAAACTAATTGCATAAAGGCTATTAACATCTCTATTGTACTAAAACTAGCATACAAAAGATCTCTTGAAATTCAGCTGCTGTACTAGTGCCACCTTGAGGTTGAGGTTATCTTGAGATAACCTGTTCCAAATCCATTTAGGAAGGACCTGTGTGTTTAGCCTTGGCTTAAGGTCTGACAGTGTCTTTAAAGATAGGACAAGATATCCATCATTACTCACCGAATTATATGGTTTGACGAAACCATATAATTCAGTGCACGAAACTGGCTATAATGTAGATATTCAATTAGTGTCCATTTTCCATATATTTTGCATCCAAATTAATCATTCTACAAGCATAAGTATTTTTAATTATTTATTTTTTTTCATATAGGCAGACATGCTTGCAAAAGCCTGGTCAAAAAAGTGGTCTGGTCAACATGCTTGCAAAACCATAACTGTGTTAGGGAGTAAGGTAACTACATCCCATACTGAGGAAAGACAACCCTGAGGGGATATACTGTAATCACAACATGTACGATACCGACAAGAATAGATAAGGTCAACAAGACCAGCTTTAAGATGCATCGAGATAGACTAGGGAACATCGTTTTAAGCAATATACGCAAACGAGTCACAGAATAAAGAAATTCGTATACCCCTGAACAGGCATTCAGCAAGTGAAAAGCACTATAAGAGGTTGTTGAAACCACTTGCATCAACAACTTCAGAAAAAATAGGACAAATGAAATCAGTGTGTCAGGTATAAAAGACTAGGAGGCAGGGCATAAAGAACTAGCCCTCATTCCTCTACAATCAAGTGATATGTAAGCACATTCTGACTTTGTTTTCTCACTCCAACCATATTTCTAATTTGTAAGTGTGCATGAAGGAATTTATACGAGTTGGAGGCACTTGTGCACGGTCAGTTACATCACTAATACCATACTTCAGACTGGATCATTTTTCCTTTCATACTGTTATAACACTTCATTTATTTTATTTTAATTCTAAGTTTAATTTAGTAGTTGTTTACTGTGTAGCCTCATTACACAAAATACAAAATTATATAATTTAATCAACTTAATATTACAGAATTCATTTATTTTTCCCTATAAATTTCTGAATATTTTATATTTTAATTCAAAATTGTCTCCATGACCTCAATCCTGAGTAAATTTGAAATCTTGGTGTAATTTATCATAACTATCTGAATTATTTTACATGATCCCTCAGAAAGAATTAACCCATGCCAGACTAAGGGTGACAAAACTGTAAACTTTACCTCTAAATGTGGCCAATTAATAGTGGGGTCATTTTTAAGAAGTTTCACAATGCACCGAGCCCCTTTGTACGACACGGACGTTGCTTCTGGCACAACAGTTTCACATAGTTGCGTAGAGAATTTTCTGCCATCCGATAAAGAGACTGCCAGCTGAGTAGTATCGGTGTTGATATTGACAGTGCGATTATCATGACCCTGCCCGACATGCACTGACACTATCACAAACTCATTTTTTTGAGTCCAGTCATGAGCTAATTCATTTGATATTGAGTTTCCTGAAAAAGTAAGTTATATTAGTGTCTCAAAAATAAGTAAATAAAACTATAAACTATACAGGGTATGTATGTATGTATATGTATATACACACACACACATATACATATATAATGCAGTACAACAAAATGACATACTATTTTCTCTATCCTTCTTCTTTTTAGTCGAAGTTCCTAAATCTTGCTTATATGGATTTTGCTGTTTCTTGTTTGACGGCTCCATGGTGTCGTCTTCAGTTGACGAGCACCGTCGCTTTCTTTCACCACTGATGTGCACCGTGGATTAAACCCAACCTGAAACAAACACAAAATAGATATGAATTAGTTTATAAAACTTTTTTCTATGATATAAAAATCTGGTCTAAATATTAAACAATTATTAATTGGTGTTGATATAGTACTAATATAGCAACAAACACTTATTCCCCCTATATCTAAATACTGAACATGGTCTTTATATTAAATTAAATTATGGCACCCTGTCAGGCCATATGACAGGGTGGCACCCTCTTGAGCCCCGGCTCACCCCTCACTTCTGTAGCATTTTTAAACTACCAAAAAAGCTGCTACTAAATACTATTAATTATCATCATCATTATTATTATTATTACTGGTTATATGTTGTAAACTAGGAACTGAAACAATGTTATTGATTTTAAATACAAGAGGCTAAGCAAAATTACATGAATCACAATGCTAGGTTATCAATAAATACACAAACATCTCTCGAAATATTATTTAATAAAAACTACATATGTATGGTTAATGAAGTCAAATAATAGTGTATATCAATGGAGTACGTGCATGATTTTCCACCAATTTAAATTAGCATACCAGAATTCGGTATGTCGATTTGGTCAATACTTTAGAGCCATCGGCATACACTGTAAATATGAACATTGAATTAAAAACATTTTACAAGTACTGTACAATATTATAAAGAATGAAATAAAACCGTATTTAAAATAAATCTATTACAGCATTCAGAAATCATTTATAAATGTTAAAAAGATAATATTAAAGACTAGATATTCGTTTAATGAAAACAACTAAATGGAATCGAGAAATGAGACGAGTAATAAAAATTCAATCAAGTAAAAAGGAGAGGAGACAAATGGAAAAACCCTTCCACACTGCACTAAATATAGAATAACACTGATACCTGCCATAGCAATTTTATACAAAGCCAGAGATAAAATAGTCCACTGAAAATCTCTGATTTTCAAACAGATTATAGTACAGTACTGTCCAATCATTTATAGTACTGTACCTGTAAATTTTTAGTCTTTCCTTGATTATTACGGTTACCTTGCGATGATTTCAGGGTTCAACATCCTTGAGGCCCGGTCCCTGACCAGGCTTCCTTGTTGCTGGACTGGTCAACCAGGCTGTTGGACGTGGTTGTCGCAACCTGATGTATGAATCATTGCTTGGATGATCAGGTATGCTTTGGAGGTTTCTATCAAGTTGTCTTGAACACCGAGAGGGGTCGGCCAGTTATGCCCCTTAGTGGAAGCATCTTTAACAGTCTCGGGCCTCCCAATGTCAATAGAGTTCTATCTCAGAGTACCTATTGCAACTCTGCCTGTCAACGGGGGTATTCTGCACATGCCTTCTGGTCTCATGTGATGTTATTTCTGTGTGCAGATTTGGGACCAGCCCTGCTAATATTTTCCACATGTAAATTATTATGCATCTCTCCCGCCTACATTCAAGAGAATACAGATTTAGGCATGTTAGTATGTCCCAATAGTTTAGATGTTTTATCGAGTGAATTCTAGCAGTAAAGGATCTCTGCACATTAAGTATCTCTCTCAACATTAACGTTTTCATCAATGTTTTTCTTAATGTTGTTGCTAGAATTGGGGCCAATGGATGTGTGTACCTTGTAATTACTGGACGAGAGCTACACTAGGGTAGGTGTGGAGGAGTGTGGTCAAAGCGTGTGTAGGCCAGTGGGAGCCCGTAAAGGTGTGTGGAGCTCAGTATTGAAGTGTATGGAGGTGTGTGGAGGTGTATGGAGGTGTGTGGAGGTGTGTGGAGCTCAGTAATAAGGCGTGTGGAGGAGTATGGAGGCCCGTGGTGAAGTGTATGGAGCCCTCCACCAATCTTGGGGAAACGTTTCACCATCTTCACTTCTCCCTCAGTATTCGTTTCTCCTACCTTCGGTAGGCCTCCCCCCTCGGATCCAACCCTTAATAGGCCTTCCCTCGCAGCCTGGCCCTTACCCCAGCCCTCAGTGTCCCCTCACTTACCACAAAAAAACACAAATGAAGCAGCCTCCTAGAGTGACTTTCACTGCTATAGCTAAACTACCGTGGCCAGCACTCGCGGGGTTAACAACTCTCTGCCTCGCCGCTCTCATCCTATTTAATAATATAAATAATAGTAGTATTAATAGTAATAATAGTAGTAATATTAATGGTAATAATAGTAGTAATATTAATAGTAATATTAATAATAATAATAATAATAATAATAGAATTAATAATAGTAATAATAATAGTAATAATAATAGTAATAATAATAATAATAATAATAATAATAATAATAATAATAATACAGCCAATAATAATAGTAAGAATCCCAACAATAGCAATAATATGCTTACATAAAAGTACACATATATTTTTATATAAGTATGATACATGAAAGTGTAGAGTTCGTAGGTAAGAAATGTACTTTACACAAAGCCAGTAAATATAACATTAACATAATTAGCAGATTTACATACATGATTACATAATACTTAAAACTTAACGAGTAGTTAACAGTTTTGAAATGTTAAAGTCACTTAGCAAATGATTATACTGATTATCATCAAATGAGCAAACGTATGAGCAAATGATTAGCAATTAGTACATGATATTTAGAAACTGCATTTTTTTGCAAAGTACTTCCATAAACTTGTATTTTATAATTGTTGATGACATTTAACAAATTGTCTGCAGTTTTTAGCGACATTAGCCTATACTGTATATATAGTCATTGTATTAGATACATAGATAATATCAAGTATATAAACAGATTAAATACTGTATCTGCACAGCGTATATTGTGTGTATAATACTGCGTATATATATATACATTACAGCAGTACTTTATAAATAGTTCTAGAACCAATTATTATACAATAAATTTGCTGGATGACAAAGCCATGGAATCGTTAAGTCATATATATTAGAGCTGAGTGCGTAGAGTATTAACAATCTTGAGCAATGCATTAATACATCTGTAGAATACAACTGTATGAAGCCACTAAAGATAATAACCCAAACATCTCTGACTCAAAATATCAAAACAGATTATAACTGTGTATGAATCATAAAGAAGTTTTATCAACCAAAGATTATACTCTAATAATTATATTTAAGCAGTTAATATGTTAAATTGGGTAAGAGGTTAGTGGTAAAGTGTGAGTGAGGGTGTAAAGGGGGCAGTGTGAACAATGGCGGCCGCGGGGAGAGTGTAAGTGTCGGCCACTGAGACAAGTCCGTCATTCACTCCTCGCCACGCTCATATTAAGGTTAAATGTGAGTAGGAATGGTGAGGGTGATAGTGTGTTGGTGGGGTGTGTGATGGTGCGCCGCCTGGTGAGGATATAACCCCCTGGTGACGAGGGGAAAAGTTTGGCCTTGGCAGCTTTGGCCTGACAGATGTGGAAATATGAATTGAAAAGTGGCACTAGTTTGCTGAGAGAGTGGCACAGGTGGCACTTGTTGGTGGCTGTGTGCACTGGTAGTTTGTCAGAGTTGTACTAGGTGTGAGTGTTGGTAGAGGAAGGTGGTAATGTGAAGGTGGTAGTGGTGGTGGTGGTGGTGGTCCAAGGCCAGGGGTGGGCAGGTGTGTGTGGCCTACTTGTGTTCGTGCCCAGTCTGCCCTCTCCACACCTCTCCTCCACACCTGCTGAAGACAATACTAGGCCAGCACGTGTGTCACAAGGGTACAGTCAAGTCACACCTTTTGACAAAGCTCATTTTCTAATTGTCAAAACCCTGTATTCTTCTTGATGGTACGTGCAGTGTGCATCCAGCCCTTTATTGTGTATTATTAGGTCAGGTTAGGTTAGCTTGTGGTAGACTGTGTTAGCTTGGGTATGGTTAGGTACATTAATGTGTTGGTGGAGGGTCTTTTGTACGATGGGACTTGTGCCCGTGTGGGGGCACGCTCGAGTGACGTGCCCAAGGCCGCAACGACCTATTCTCTAGGTCGCAACGGTATTATTAATATTGAGACTCGAGTAGTTATAGGAAGGGTGAGAGTGTGCATTCTGCAGGGGTCCAAGTTGAGCAACTCCAGGGTCTTGGCTTGTCACCTCTAGATAGCCTTGCAAGCTAATACACAATCATATAGATACATATGATTATGTATTAGCATAAATATGATCTAATTGGTGTCTTGAGAGCTACTGGGTCAAGTTATATCTGTATTGTCTTAACCTCAGACTTTTCCCTAAGCTTGTGGAGGCCCTGTGTTTGTTTGGTAGTGGTTTTCTTGTTAGTAATTTTGTCTGGGTATGAGGCTCTTCTGTAGGGGTAATAGAGTAGCTTTCTTCATGGAGGAGATCAAAAAGAATAAATATTGGGCTTCGAGTGTGAAATGTGTGTTTAAACCATTGTGCCACTCTCCAACATTATTGTTCCTTGCACTTTGTTCCTTACACTGAAAGTTGCACCTGGCAGATAAAAGTCTGCTTTGCCCAGGTGATTCAGTTGTATTAGTATTAGTATTCTGACATATTTGCCAGCTTCCTGCTGGCAAATATGTCCAGTAAAACCAACAACTATGTCTATTAATACTAGGAAACACTTCACTAACATTTTCATATAATTCTTTCAAAGTCTAGCACTTTTTTTGTACACATTTGTACCTTTGTAACAGGAACATCTTCACAACTTATCAGTCACCTCTTACTCAAACAGATGACAAGGTTACACCTCAGATAACATAAATACACCTCACATGCCTCACCCAAGGTGTGAAGTTTCATGTCACCTCTCACAGTCTAACTTGATGTCTACTGTGTGAAGCATCTAATGTCTCACTACAGTATATCAAAGTGTGTTTTGGATAGCTGAAACATTATTTCCATGTATTAACTGTCTTAAATATTCTAATTTTAATTCACTAGTAGTGTGTGTGTTAGTGGCTTGGTACAAATGTACCACTTAATCACTAACATATATTCCTTCACAACCCATTGTGCTTTCTTGTATATAAATACAAAATACTGTGTACTAAATGTGGCCTTCACTTGCAGTAAACCTCCCTCCCCATCACCCTGACCTTCTTTTTCAGTAACCCCCACCCCACCCCTCCTGACCTTCACTTTCAGGAAACCACTTCCCAACCCTGACCACTTTCAGCACCCCCCCCCCCCCCCCCCCATCTTGGCCTGGACTTTCAGCACTCCTCCCATCATCCTGGTTATAACTTTCAGAACCTCCCCCCCCCCCCATCTTTGCCTTAACTTTCAAGACCCCCCATCCCCCCCCATCCTGGTCTTAACTTTCAGCACCCCCCCATCCTGGCCTTAACTTTCAGCCCCCTCCCTCCCCCCCGATCCTGGCCTTAACTTTCAGCATCCCCCCATCTTGGCCTTAACTTTCAGCCCCCCCCCCCCCCACCTCCCTCCAACCCATCCTCTGAATTGACAGTATGGTTTAATACCAAGTGTAATAAGTTCATTTCCTGACTGTTAGGAATAGTACATAATTCCACTTACTTGTGCTGTTACATTTACCTCCCCATTTATTCTCCTCGTTTTCTGTTAAGACACTCAGAATTTTAGGATGAAGTTTTCAAGTTCAATTCTCTATTCACAAGTTTTAAATATCAAGAATTTATTTTTCAGTTTCATTAATATATAGGGATTTTATACAAAATTTGAAAATATCCTTAGTTTACAATTTATTGAAATATTTCAGTTTTGTTTTATTAGTTTTATAAAACTGTAATATCAATATAGCTATAAGTTAAGTAGTAATTGTAATTAAGAAGCAATAAAATTCTTGTCCTCGTACACTAAGAAGGTTAGGTTGTGGGTTTTCTATTCAGCTTTTCAGGTAAACTCAAATATTCACAATATATTTCACAGTACGGTTTAATACTAAGTTAAAATAAGTACAATTCCTGACTGCTAGGAATAGTACATAATTACACTTGTGCTGTTAAATTTACCTCCCTATATTCGGAGGATGGACTGTAACTTTCAGCAAACCCCCCATCCGAGCCTTAACAAGAGCCTTGTTAAGTGCCTATATTAGCACACTCCAAATCCTGTCTCTTTTTGCAATTCAATTTGCCCAAATCTGCATTGTTCGTCCAGTAGACAGTGCTACTAACATCTCCCAAGTTTAGGATTTGGCATCTACATTTTTCTGCCCAGTTCTGGAATGTCGTGAGGACTTTCTGAAGTTGTGTCGAGTCCTCATTACAGTTTACTATTGTCATACTTTTGTGTCATCCACAAGTTTTGTGATGTTGCTGTTTACCCCCAACATTTAGGTCATTGACATTACTGTATTAATAACAAGGGGGCCAGACGTACGCCTGCTGCACACTGGTGACTCTTTCGGTTCCGACTTCACCCCCATTGATTACAAATCAATGCCTTGTTCTTCACCCAGACTCTGATCCAATATCTTTGGAACCTAAATGTAGTGCCTTACATATTGGGATCATTCTTCACAATTGTTGAAACACTCTCAACAATATTGATGTGATTGTTGTCTATGATATTAGGTGGGGAAGGCAAGTACCTGATTCTTAGTGTTTTTTAAGTAGTTGGTAATCCTTATTTTCTTGCCTTTACTTATCAATTTTTTTTAATGCAATTGAACTGCTAACTTTCTTGTCCAAAAGGTAGATTGAATTAAGTTTAGACATAAAATAACTGTTGCAAACATTGAGATTGAGGGCTACATCAGAACTGCGAATGAAGTGTGTGAAGTGCATAATGAATTATTAATTTCCTATGCTAAAATATAACTTTAAAATTTGTTGCATTTTATCATAATGGTCATCTCTTTCACTAGCTGTATAGCCTAGTCACCAATATAGTACTGTACTTAGCTAGTTTGTTAATTTGTTAATTAGGCAACTGTTTTATTATATTACAGGAGCAGGTGGAGTGTGTAGCATCATGAATGAGCCATGTGGAAATGGCAGTAGTGGCAGCTGTAGTAACCAGGGTGGAGGTGTTCGCACCAGGACGTACCCTTCTGTCAACACAATGGAACGTGGAGGAACTGGAGGTGGTAGCAACTCTTCGGGGTTTCCTCGGATGTCCCTACGCTCGCTCTTGCTCAATAGTCCCTTCTCTATCCGTACCAGATCTAAGAGAGTTCGAACTCCAACCTCGTCTTGTGAGTAAATTCATAATTCTATTGATTTTGGAGATTTTATTTGTGACTAATTCATTGTAATGTATAAAACTTATGCAGAATTGGTAATGGCATCATCTTGTTTATAGTCTTTGTTTTTATAACTGTAGTGCTGTTATCTTTAGTTTTATCTGAAGATAATGCTAGTCTTGTAATCATTCTCTACATATTAGTGTTTTACAGTACTTTGAAGTACTGTATAGCTTTGAAATAATATTAATCTTTACAAAGGATTCTCATTTTGTATTAAGCTCAGTGTTTTGAACTGTACTGTATATGCATCATGCATAATCATTACCCCACTTCCCACTGTCATGGGGTGGGGGGAGAGTCATATAGTAAAGGAAGGCTATAGATTATAATAATACACATTATAAATATCACTTCCATTTTATTTTCAACATAGTACAGTACTGTATATATTATTATTGATGTGTATCATAGAGTATATATCAGTATAAATCTGAAATAGAGGGAATACTGTACAGAGAACATATAAGGCACACGCAGACACAAGAAAGTCTCAAAGCTTGAAGATTTGGACCCCTTTCTGGATATTTTAGCTTTCCAAGTTTCACTGCAGTTTGCTGGCCATCAGTAGCACCCCAGTATATTTACACTGGTATAAATATATGAGCCATCATATTTGCACTAATAAAATACAGTAGTGATAAATTTCAAACTTCAGATGAAAAAGAATGGATGTTGCTTCAGGTGGGTTTTTGCGTGATTTCATCTATTCGAGCAAGGGTTCAGTGCACTGTACAATATAATGATACATGTTTTGCTTTATTAAATGTATGATAGCTTGTTAATAATAGTATGTTTTCTTACAGATAAACTTACCATAGAGCCAGAAAATAACACCGATTCTTCAGTATTTGTAGAAGGAACAGGTGAATCTTCCAGTTGGAGCTCCATCAAGCGCCACCACACAAGTGGGAGGAGTCTGGTTGGGAGCCGCAGAGGTTCTGTGGGATCAAAAGGCACATCTAGAGGAGACTCCTGTTCTTCTGAAGGGGTATGAAAAACAAACGATGTTCTCACCTCTCATGGTCAGTCCTCATCATAGAATTATGACATCATTAGAAACACACCACTCATTTTGAAGACAAGATACTGACTGTCATGCTTGGTTGAGAAGAGCAGTGCATATGTTATTGAGCTTCGCATTGTTTAGTGCCCGCTGCTCTTGGAAGCCTAGCTAGTATCTTATTTTGCCACATCTTCACCTTTTGTTAATTTTGTATTTTTATGTTCAATGTTTAGTTTTCACATGAGTGAACTTATCAGATTTGGTTTATATAGTAATAGCACTGTGGTATATATATAGAAACTGTCTCCCAGTAGGAGTGTCTTTCCTTTGATTGTATTCAGCAATTTAGATATAAATGAACAGATTTGTGGAAAGTTAAACAGTTTTAAAGAATAGGCAATAGTTTCAAAACTATTAAATTAGTGAACTAATTACTTAGAGGATTATCAATCATCACTTTCAGTTAGGCTATGCAAGTACATTCAGTCGTGTAATGTTAACACTTTCGCGTCTTGATGCATTATGCGGCATAAAACCAAAACACGCAGAGTGGCAGATGACGTAAACGTCGTCGTGCAAAATTTTTTTGCATAGTCATATTATTAAGTATAAACATTGTGAGTGAAAGTTTAACATTGGGTTGTGTGCTCACCGGGAATGCTTGACCTTCCTTCCGGTGCGATATGGGTGCCCCGCCTGGCCAGAAAAAGTGTTATTAATTGAACTATATATGCATTATTTACACTTCAAATGCGTGTGTAAAATAACAGATCTTGCTTGCTGCACAGGTTCCAAAATTCATAATGAAAAAACAAAATTCAAACATACGTTATATCTTAAACACTTAAGGTATAGATACACTATCAACTATGATGATTTGATGCTCTTGATCTATCATTTCGGGCAGATTCTTAATCTTAATTTCCCCTGGAATACTACCCGCCAAATCTTTTAACAATCGGGTACCCTTTCACTGCTGGGTGAACAGAGGCATACAGTTAGGGATTGGCACCTAGTCAATCCTTCCTGGCCAGGATACAAACTTAGGCCAAATTACTCTCGAAGCCCAAGGCGAGTGTGTTATCACTGCGCCACGGGGACTGAGAATATGATGGAATGATATGTAAACTGGAATGTGCAAAGGGGAAAGGGACTGGTGGAATGTCACTGTAAAGTACATAGGGATTTTCTTGACTATTGTATATGATTATCACTATTCTGGATAAAATTATTTACTTAATAGTTATAAATTAGGAGTTTATATTATAACGTTAGGAAAGATGTTATTTTTAAAAGATCTCGTGTGATTAATTCGGTCTTTTGCTCTTATAAAAGGGCGCATGTGCTAGCAGCGGTAACAGTAGCAGTCATGGCGATGCTGTCGGAGTTAGTAGCATCACTGGCATCATTGAAGGTGCTATGGCAGAAGTTGGTCGGCGAGAGTGCTCTCTGTGTCTACAAGAGGTTCCAGATGACCTCTTTCCTACACTTATATCCTGCCCTCACTCGGCATGTCTTCCCTGTCTCAGACAGTACCTCAAGGTGGAGATCACAGAGTCAAGAGTCAATATCAGTTGTCCACAGTGTAATGAGCTTATGCATCCCACAGGTCAGTCTTGCCTATTTAAGTACAGTACACTGTTAGCTTTTATGTGAATTATATGTTGTGAACTTATAATATATGCACATGTTAAAGATAAGCATCGTTGTATTGAGAGGTTTCATCAGTGTCATCTGTTGATAGATTAATGAATAATTGGCTCAATAGAAACAGATACTGTATAGTACTGTGGAACTCTAACTTGAATACAGTGATTTAATGAGGCTTCATTACCTGTAAGAGTAATGAAGGTAGTGTGAGCACCCCACTCCGGATTGTTTTCATAGCCAAACAAAGGTATAAGTGTTTTTTTCAGAAAAATAGTTTTTATTGGTTTTATATATTGTATGTGTCAATATATATAATTATATATTGACACATACAGCAGAACATGCATTTGTAGTGTCTGTCAGCCTCAACTGACAGATTCATATTAAACCTCTTCTGCTGTATCATGGGTTGTGGGATATCACAAGTGTTGGTTTATACCAAACATTTTTGTTATTGTAAAGGTTAGAGCACACACAAGTTCAATGCACATTTGTATACCTAAATATAAATTGATTAATATATTGTATGATATTTTTGTCACTGGAATCTAGACCAAGTGAAATCTTCTGTTGGTTCCTGTTGCAGCCTATCAAAATGATCAATGCTCTGTCATAGCAAAATTCTTCTGTTTATCTGGGATTTTCTGTAGACTGAGTTCCACTCAAGTGGGAGTATTGTACAGTACTTTGATATCAAATTGCTTTCATAAGAAAATTTTTAATAAAATGTAAAAAAAAAGTCCATTGCAGTTAAGCTCTTGGGTTCTATTCTATTTGGGTTCACTGTACAGTTCATCCAATTTTACTTTTCTGTAATTATTTTAAGCAAAAATTAAATTCATGTTTTTATTCCAATAGGCCACTATTGCAGATTTTGTATTTTAGATGCTGGGAGTAAATATATTTTTCAGATATTCATAGGTTTGGCTTAATGGGCTATTTTCAAGTATAAGAAGAGTTAATGTGTGAGTGTGTGTGTAATTGCAGGACAAAAGTTTAACTCGCACTGTTCTGACTAACTAATACTGTAATGTCATGAAGATTTTATGGTTTTGGCACACACAACCCTCTTATTTAAGATGACCAAACCACACACCAGAAGACGAAAAAACAACAATGTTTAGGTCCGACCTGCACCATTATCAAGTCGTATGTCCTGGACATTATCTAGTCGTTTGTACTTAAGGCGCGATAATGGTCCAGGATGGATGGAAACGTTGTTATTTCTTCGTCTTCTGGTGTGTGGTTTGGTTGTCATATTTTGCCATGTTATTGACTCATCGTCTCCTCTTATTTAATTTGCCATATTTACAATTGTTTGCAAATGAGAATTTTAGTAAATTTGTGCACGTTTTTGTGCATTTGTCTGTCAAAATAATAAAGACCATTGTACATTTAAGACCTTTCTACCACTAGATATTCACAACATAGTGGACAATGCCTTGTTATCATACAAGTTTGAGGACTTTATGCTGCGTAGAGTGTTATCTATGGACCCTGACACACGATGGTGTCCTGCTCCAGACTGTGGGTAAGTTTTCTGGAGGTGTACACAATACTTTGAATGATAGTTTCTTGTAGTATGATGTTTAGTTTTTACTTTACTTACCTTCAAAATATATATAAAATATCTTATTGTCACACTGGATTTAATGTCTTATTTTAAGACCACGTACATGGATCCTTATTTACCAAGTCGGTGTTCAGTAAGGTGGATTATGGTCACTCATTGAATGTACAGAGTTCCCACTAGGTAAACAGTCGGCCATTATTGGGTTTGTTGTCACAACTTCGCTTTTGCTAGACCAATGCATTACATAAAACAAAATTTGTAGTGGGAGAGAATATGTATCGGTGTTTTTCCCTGGAGTGACTGGGAATGTACATCCTTCAATCTGTTTGCGATCAGAAATGTTGAAATGATTGGACATTTTGGTCAATCCGTCTGACTTCAAAATGTAATTTTATGTGAAAATTCATAACAATAGTTTTTAGCTTCATAAGATACTTCAAACCAATACACAAAAGAATATTGTCTGGGGATTAACAACAAAAATACTTTATATGGGTACCAACAAAGGGTCAGGATGTTTCTCCACATATGGTCTTAAAATTATTAGGCAAGTATATTTATATACAATGGTGTTAAGTTGTTGGGTGGCAAGCACATATGAAACCTGCTGCTTCACTTGTTTATCATGTGCGTATGATGAGCTGTTATAGAGAAATAGCACCAATTTACTCCTCTCTGGCAAGCCAGTACTATTAACTTGGTCCCTAAAATTACTCAAAACTACCCAAAAATTCTTAGAATTACAGAAAGAAAATGTACATTCTCTGGCCTTGAATAATGCAAATATTGAATACAGCCATTTGTAACTCATAGCATGAATAAGCATCTCCCACTTTCCTTCTGTCACCAACTCCGAATCCCATCTATAGGGTGAACACGATCCAGTCCTGATCTAATCATGTGTGACTGGGTCACAGAGAATGTGTAAGAGTCGTAGAACTTGACAACATTGTTATTTTCCCAGCAGCACCATCCCACACACTCCAGATGTGCACACCCCCATTCTTGATGCCCACACCCCTCTCTTGATGCCCATGTCCCATTCTTGATGCCCACACCCCTCTCTTGATGCCCATGTCCCATTCTTGATGGCCCATGCCCTACTCCAGATGCCACACCCCACTCCTGATGCCCATTCCTTGATCAGCCATCCTGGAATGTTTTCTATTTAAAATCATAAATAGTTTTATTCACTTCACATGTAGTGCACATAATACTTCTAGGAATGCCAGATTCAAGTTTCTTATAAGATGTTATTTTTGTATCTAAATTCATCGTAATGTTGTCTCTTGACGTCATTGCTTGTTGAAACCCTAAATGATTCATTTCCTGCATTTTTTTGGAAGAAATAATGGCCAGGTGCAGTATATATTTACTGAAATAAGACAACGAAAGGCTTTGATAGCTAAGGGGCAAACGAGAACCAACTAGATTGTCATAGCAGGTTCAGAGGTTGCTCTGAGCTATCTTCTTTGCTGGCTGCTAAACTAAATAGTAGGCCTCAGGAAAGAGTGGAAGATGGGTGAGATGTCTGGTTGGAAACACAAATGTATAGTCAGAATAATCAGTACAGTAACCGAGTGTAAGAATATTCCAATCTTTTCCTGTAGTGACTGGGAATATACTAGTAACTCTGCAGTTGTAGGTGGAAGGGAGGGAGGGAGGGAGGGAAGAGTTTGTGTGTGGTTACACCATTTTCATTAATGAAAACATTGAGGGCCTAAAAATTACTTCGAAATATTACCATATTTAACAATTTCTGGTTTAGGAAGTAGTGAATAACCCCATATAAATATTAAGAGTGAATAGTGTACTATTAATATTACAAATGTTACAATATTCACAAGTAATGTAGACTATTACAAATGTTGTAATATTCACTATCAGATGTATTCTAAATACAATACTCCTACAAAAACATATCTATAAATTATAGGACATTTCCAAAGTATTTGAATTTGGAACCATTTTTTGTAAATTTTGTGTACTACTATACTATTGTTACAGTATTTTATTTATAGGTATGCTGTAGTTGCTACTGGCTGTGCTGGATGTCCTAAGCTGAAGTGTGAACGTCCTGGGTGTGGAAGTTACTTCTGCTACCACTGTAAAGCTGAATGGCATCCCAATCAGACTTGCGATATGGCCAGAGCTCAGCGCTCGCCCAATGTTCTTCTCTCCTCATTCAGTTACCTGCATGACATACAGACTAGTAAGTTGTAGCATTACTGTAGTGACAATTTCTTAATTAAGTTTTCTTGTAAATTCACCTATTTAAGCTTAAACATTTACTGCAAAAAATCTGGTATGTAGATAAGTTTTAAAATAAATTTTGTGTTGTCAGTTGTATGGGGCTTTCTTGAAATTAGTATCAGTAAATTAATGGGAAGTGGAGAGAATGAAATCAGAAAATGAAAGCCTTTCCAGACAGGGAAAATAATTATGCCAGTAATGTTATGGGCTATATGAGCCAAGATGGTATTGCAGTGGAAGTGGAGGGGCAAAATTCCATTATAATTTACAAGATGCCAGAGCCAACAAGAGAAATGGCAAGACAGGAGAGAGAGGTACGGTAGAAATAACCAAGATCCTCTACAAAGTAGGGGCGAGTAACGCAACCTGCAAGGTCTAAAATCACTGTTGCAAAGGCAACATTTTGAACCAATACCCTAAAAGAAAACCATAGATACAAAAATGCATACCTGAGCTGGGACATGTCCAGAAAAGAAAGGGAGGAGTTTGAGAAAATTAGAATTAAAAGCTAAAAGGAACAGGATAAGTAAAGGAAGAAAATGCAAGAACACAAGTAGCACAAGAGTCCCTACAACAGTTATATTGAATACAACCCAGCTAAATCTGTCTCGTCCTCAATGGGTTTAGCTTAAATGTGCCTTTTCTCTGTCCTACCCTAAATCCTTATCTCAATTCTCCTTCAAAGTGCTTTATAGTTGTACTGGCTTATTGCTTTCTCCTGACGATTACCTTACCATCTGTTTGCCTTTAGTTTGACCAGAGCTATTTTACAGCTCTCACTCTTTATTGAGATTGTTCTTGTGTATTTATGTTTTTATAAAAAAGATATAGCCATTGTAAGCTTTATTTGCACTTCTAGATGATGATGTCAAAGCTTGTCCAAGATGTCAGGTATTGATTGTGAAGATGGACGACGGCTCGTGCAACCACATGACGTGTAGTGTGTGTGGAGCCGAGTTCTGTTGGTTGTGTATGAAAGAAATATCTGATCTGCATTATCTCAGGTTTGTTAGTCTTGTAAAGGTTACTCTTCATGTTCGGCTTGATTTATTATTAAAACTTTTGGCATTTATAAATTCTGTAATGTAATTGTATCATTTTCTTATGGTGTAAATGCCAACCTTCAATGTTATTAATATATGCTGGTAAAAGTACAAGATAATACATACACTGTATTTCTGAAATTCTTCAAGTTCATTTTCATTTATGGACCAGCTGTGTGTTCTATATGCAAAAATTAATGTTTAATTTTGTATTTTTTCTTGTGGCAAATGCAGTAATGATATATTAAACACTACAGAGATGTTTAATTTGTTTCTAGGCACAAATATTTTATTTTCATCTAATAGCCCGTCGGGATGTACGTTTTGGGGAAAAAAGCCATGGTCACGGAAGAAGAAGATACTGTGGCAGTTAGGCACCCTTGTTGGTGCTCCTCTTGGCATAGGATTAGTGGCAGGCCTGGCTGTCCCTGCCATGATTATTGGTCAGTAAGATATGCATTCTGAATATTTACATGAAGTAATGTAGACCCCTCAAACTGCTTGCCAGTATTTAGTGCTTTGCACCTCTTGCATGTAATAAAAAAAGCTTTTATATTGTTTGTTTTCCTAAATGCTAATTGTCATAATAAATGTTCCATGTACCTTGTTTAGCTGTAGTGGACTTATGAAGTTGCATATTTTTTGCTTGCATGGCAAGTCATGCATTGGTGTGTAAATAGTGGTATTTTGTTATACCATGAGGAAATGTGTGTACTACAATATAGATATATGTATGTCACTATGTGCACTATGTTTTTTCCTTAAAACTATCATAATTATGAATATCTCATTACGCTTCATATTCTACTATAAAGATGGTTATCAGCGAGTTGGTGTCTTTAGAATTTATGGGGTGTGATAATCTGGGAAAGTCGATGATGCAAAGTGCAACAACTTTTTTATACCACGTCTTCACCAAGTTCCTTTTATTTTTGCATTTTTGTTATGCTCCGTTTTCGTGACTACAGGATCATTTCAGCAACGTCTTATTTTGGTAACAAGGAATGAATAACTTCAGGCCTCACCTGTGACACTGTAATGGTATATACAGTACTATTTTAAGTTTACTTATCCTTTAAACAGCAAGAGTCATAAATAATGACCTGTGTCAGTGCATATAAGGATTTGCACTTGTTGTTGGATCCCTGGATGTGCACTTCACTTTCCACAATGTCACTTTCGTCATAATTCTCAAATTTTACACATCTGAAGAGCAGAAATTTGTTACACAACACTAACTTACTGAATTACTGTAGAATGTTTAAGAATTTAATGTAATGTTCCACTGTAATTAGCGAATCATGACTGATGGAGTCTGATTTCTAATTACGTACTGTATTCACAAGTAAGTACGGTACAGTAGTCGCCAATTCTTTTTTCTTTGGCAGAGTTGTTCTAACAACTGCAGTATAGCCTTTTTTTTCATATGTATACCGTATATTACTACATAACACTACATTTGTAATTGGACCATTTTATCTCCAGGCATTCCCATTTGGGTTGGCCGTAAACTCCATGCCCGGTATTCCATGGCCAACCCTCACCGCCGCAACCTGGCTGTGGTGGGCGGAGTAACGGCTTCAGTAAGTATTACTTTTGGATTTTTAAGGCTGCTCTCTTGATTCATTAGATATTCTCAATGGAGAAAACTTGTTTTTCATGGACTTTTTCTTATGACAAGTTATGTTCAGTACAGTATTTCAAACACCTTATCCTATTAACTTGAAAATTAAAATAATCTTGTTTTGGGACAAAATATGTTTGACACTTAATATGATCAGTGTATTTTTGTGTTTTGTGATGTCTTCAGAAAACCATATCATATTGACTTGAAACTGAAACACTTGAATTGAATCCTTTAATTATTGGGCATAGTGACCCAATAGCAATTTTTTTTCATTTTATTAAATTCCCCCCCCCCCCCCCCCCCTCCCCCCTCCCCCAGGGGCTTGCTGAGATTGCTCTATGCTAATGGGTCACATCAGTCATGGAAGTTGTTTGGCCAACTGGAGACCAGAACCTAAACTCCCCTTAGTCACAGGAAGTGAGTGATAATTCACTGTCCCAATGGAAATGCATCCAGGAAGTCAGCAAAGTTTTACAAGCAACTTGTGGATTCACAGAAAATGAAGGCTCAAATCTGCCAAATAACTTTGCAAATGATTCACAGGAAACAAGATTCACTCAAACTAGCAAGGAACTTGGTAGTACCAATTGCCCTTGGAAGTACCTTGATGCTTTGTATCAAAAGATGGTTAAAGGAACATGTGAAACATTTGTTTATTTTCACATGTTGGTCTACCATATCATAAATGGTAAAATTGCCACTTCTTGCTCTGAAATACAAGTATACATGGATAGAATTGAATTTTCCTCAATTTTCAGTTCATATACAGAAAAATTACCCCCCTGGAAATGTCTGGGATTTAGTAAAATGAAGAAAACGGTAAATACTGGTAAAGTTGAAAAGACTGGAGGTGGATAGAATGTATTACCAAGTGCTGGTTGAATGAGAGTTGTTCGGCAAACAGCACCAGTAGTGGAAGAAAGGCTGTTCCCCATACTTTACCAACATTAATGCCTTCATCATCAATGTTAACCATCCACTCTTCGGACAATTTTTTTAGTATTTTTATACATGTACAGTACAGTATTTTTTTCTGCTTACTATTTACCATAATTTAAATGGTAATTATAGTTAAATATCTCTTTCAGGCTGTGATATCACCAGTGTTAGCAGGGTTAGCAGTGAGCATAGGTGTGCCCATTTTGTTAGCGTATGTGTATGGTGTTGTACCCATATCCTTGTGTCGTTCTGGAGGATGTGGTGTAACAACGTCTGCCTCGGGCGTCAGGATTGCTTTTGATGATGAAAATGACATGGTCTTTGGCATCCCAGGAAGACAGTCAGGTAATACAATTTTCCACTTTGTTTTTAATATTCCGTCAGTCCCGTTTTCTGCACATTAAATATTAATAGGCAGTGTTCCCCGAAAGTGTTTGAATGTTACCTTTCAGATATGACACTACACATGGTGACACCATTATTATGTACAAATTCATTGTTGCTCATATTTGTGTGTTGATTTACGACCCTCAGGCCCTATGTGATTAATGTGTGCATCTCTTGGCTCCCTGGATCAGATGTTAACTCGACCATTTTTGATAGGCTGTCACTGATTACTTGAGTGTCTTAATACAAGATGGTGGTTTAATCTATTTACACTCTCCAGCATATTACTGAGCGTTACTTGTAGTCAGAATACACCATATTTCATCTCGGTATGGTCTGCCAGTCAAAATAATCACCCTATCAGTGAGATGGATAGTAGGTGTCTCTTAAGATCATTGGTAGAGCTTGCACGATTAAAATAATTTAAAATGAAAGAAGAAATGACATGCATAGGAGCCTCACTTCATAATATTTTCTTTAATTATCCCAAATTCCATTACAAGTACAGTAGACCCAGAGGTACCTATGACCTATCTGGTGTGACCACCAGATAAGGGTGGTTACACTGTACTTTAGGGAAAATATTTAGATTTTATAAATACTGTACACAGTACAAATATTCTTATTAATATCATCTTGAATACATATTCTGTACATGTACAGTAATAAGTTTTTCAAAAGCATCTGTGAGTGTGTAAGTCATAAACAGATGCTTCACTTTATGTGAAGCATCTGTTTATTGAGGAAGCAAAGGGAGTTTAGATAGAGATGTTTCAGAGCCATTGAAAAATTCGTTGGTCAGAAATAAGTTTCTTTCAGAGTCCAGTCATGTTGGTGCTGGAACTGCCAGTATTGGTGAAGTGTCATGTGGTGCTTCCCTGTCCGCTGACTCTGCTGCCCATGTACTTGCCGAGAGTGACAGAGAATCTGCCAGCAACACAGCCATTGCCCCAGCTTCCCTCACTGGCTCCATAGCTTCCTCATGCATATCTAGAACAAACAGGTGATCATATTGGATGTTTAGAAAAATGCCTTCATTCATATCTATTTCTTGAAAGTAGAATACCGCTTTAGTAATGTGCAGGTTAGGAAGAGGAGAGGAGGGAACATTCACATGAGAGATGGATTTAGTTAGTAATTGAGTTGAATTTAAGGACAATATAATTAGATTAAACCAGAAGAATAACAGACTACACAGTGCTGGAGGGAAGCATCTTGCAATGACTGCTTTGTCTGTAGTGAATAGTCAGTCAAGTTTAAGGCAACAGAGATCTCTTACTTATTGTTTTCCTATTAATTATAAATGTGTTTATGCAGTGGGGCTTAGTAAATATATGCAGATTTTCATGTGGGATATAAAGCTTCTCAACTATAATGTAGGTTTTGAAAAGTAAATAGTTGATATTATTTTAATTTACTGTAAGCTGTTTGTATATCCTGAAAACTAATTTTAGTATATTATGTGTGTAGTTACATGTATGTACTTGCAGGTTAGAAGTACATGTAGATATTGCCCATGGTGCACGATCAACAGCTAGTGGAGAAACGGCTTCTTTAGCAATATCCGAGAGATCAACTCATACAGTGGATACAGAAAATGCTTCTATGCGAGGTCTTGCTGGATCATTACTCCAATACAAGGTCAGTACTTTAATAAGATGGTTTAAAATATTTTAGACACAAAATAATAATAAGAATAAACGTTTGTATGAAACAAGTCTTGAGACTAGACAAAATTGCCGTGGGTGAAACCTTAATTTTCTCTCCATCTTGTTTTTGAACTCAAAGTTACTACTTGATAAAAATTTAATAAGTATATTTTCTTTAACAAAAATGTAACACAGTATACCATATCTATAATAGCGTATAGAACTTAAGAAAAAAAACGGAAAAATGTATATCTGTCTGCGGAAATTCTCGGGTAATTTCCTCAGCTATGTATTATCCCTACAGGTTTCAGAATCGGAGGCAGAAGGAGATCTAGTAGTTGGTGGGGACAGTGCCAGTGGGGTGCTAGAGGAAGGTGTTGGCATTAGTCCCCACATTACAAATCTCTACATTCACTCGATCCCACCCTCGGCCAGTGACAACAATTCTGCTGTTTTGACAAGTGATGCTACCAACGATCAAGGTTCTTCAGATTTACGGTTAGACAGTGTTAGTGCCATAATAACTGCCAGGCAATTTTCTAGACGCCACAGCTCATCAAGTAAAGGTGTTACCTTTGTAGGAGACAGTCATGAAGCCAGTGACCATGTAACTCTTACATTAGATGACGATGATGATGACGACGATGAAGCTTCAGGTTACCCCTTTGGTTATGAAGAAGGTCGTGTAAATTTTCACAGTGGAATTCCTGTGTCAGAAATACAACCAGGTAGAGAAAGAGCTTTAAACTCGCAGAAAAATCCTTGCACAAGATCATTACACAGAAGTGTTCTTTGTGGTAGTAGTTCTTCTGTATTACCATCAGTTCATCAGAGCAAGAGTCAGAAAAAGAGCAAAAATAGCCATAGCAAGCGTCGAGCATCTAGTGCAGAAGGCAAATCGAGGAATTTTGACAGACCTGTGAGGTGTGAATCCTTTCCCAAGCTGGAAAGTTAGTGAGTCTGTGATAATTGTACTCTTCCTTCATATTGAATGACAATTGGTAAGATAAGTGAAAGATTGTGTGATATCCCAAGTGGAAAGCTTTACTTTATAGTATAATAAGCACAAAGAGAATGTATTAAATTTTTTGTATAGTATATGAAGTTAGCAGCAAGACATTTCTGCCATGGCAGACATCAATACTAGACTTGCAAGTCACTTAAGGCTGGACAAACAAGAAGCTTCATCAATTATACAGGTCAATTTCACACCACTGTCAGATGTTACTACAGTACGTATGAAATTTGCATTTTTTTATTCATTTTTTATGCCAAATTAATTTTAAAACTGTACAGTATTGGCATTATAAGGACTGGATTAAAAAAATTTAATACCTTTTTATTACAAAACCAGCTGCTTCTCACTTCCTCTGGCTTTGTTTTATATAATGTCGAGCTTTCTCGCATTAAAATATTAGTTTGAAAGAGTATTACACATTGTGCGAACAATTTATGGTGACAGGCTTCTGTGTGAAACCTATTATTTTATAGGTTGCAGTAAAGGGCTCCGAGAAGTTACATACTCTTAATATGGATAAGCTTCAGGTTGCAAGGTGATCACTCTAGATAATGAGGTACAATTGTTTAAAAGTTCAATAACTTTATGCATTATTAGAACTGAAATATAAATTTTCTGGAAAATCTTGCATTATTAATGTTTATCATCGCTTCTAATGTTTTTTTCCTGAATCAAGTAATAGAGTAACTGAATTAGATGCATGAATTTGCAAGTGAATTTTGTTCAGAAAAGATGTTTCTTTGGTCATAAAAATGTTTCCTTTCTTTGTCTTTGACTATGCAATTATATTTTCCAGTATGCATGGATGCCCTTATTATAGTATTGTGACTTCATTATAAGTTCACAATGTTGTGGCTGTTGTGACCTACTCTTGTTAAACACCTGCAGGGAGCTTCAACTGAGGTGATATAATATGATCATTAGTAAGATTGAGGTAAGGTGTGAATGATAAAAATCTTTATCTTCCATAAACTAATGCTGTTGTATCAAGATTGCACACAGGCAAAATGTTAGACTTTTGATAGTTTAATTTTATATGCATTAATTATATAGTAATATTCTCTCCATGTGGACATTTTCAAAATTATTGAAGGCATTAACAGTACAGTACCATGGAAAGTTCCATTACCTATTAGGTGTGTGTGTAGCGGACTGCAGGGATCGGTTCCTGTCACTGTACGCACACACTACTCTGCATTTAGAGGTAAGGTACATAAAAGTACTAATCCAGAAATTGGCCATATTTTACAAGATGAAACATTCCAGCCTCTGTGTGTAGTGGGTGTTAGAAATTGTACAGTTTATTGATAGCTTCAGCAAATGTTTGTACCTTTCTAGTCCTTGCTGAATCACAAAGATTAAGACTTTGTGTGGATTCTTTGGTGTGTTATCTGGTAATGGGTGTTGCTACACTTGGTCCATGAAGCTCACTAGCTCAGTAATTGGTAGTGACAAATGTAGGGAGTTGGAGACAGATATTGCTCAGTTGTTAAGGCACAAATGAACTGTCCATAAGTTATTGTATTCCATGCCATAACCATATTTTAGAGCATTTGATTAATTTTTAATTGAAGAATGCCTTAGTGTTTGAAGTAGTGAATTATATAAACTGAGGCATCAACAAGGTGTATTGTGATCCTCATCAATTTTGCTGTCAGAATGATTAACAAAATGTCTTTATTTGAAACCTTGTCCACAAACAACAGTAAGCTTAAAATTGTCAGGCATATTTATATTTTAACATGTAATAAATCTTTATTAAGGGCATCACTAAGCATGTATTTGATTATAGTGTGTTGAGGTGCAATATTATTATTTTGTTGTAGCACTAATAACCACTTGAAGAAAGTTTATTTGACCTCACTCCAAAAGACTGTAAATATTTACTTTGCGTTTTACAGCCATTCTCATACAAGATTGGTAAGTGTTAATGCTAGTGTGTGTGTGTGTGTGTGTGTGTGTGTTTACATGGGAGTTTGTGTAAATAGGGTTCACACTCCTACAACACTCCAGCATTTACTGTTGCCTCACACATGCCCACTCTTCTTGCCTTCTCTCACTACTGTACTTAACACACTGCCTTGTATGACAAGTTTTCTTGTAGCAACAGTGCAATATATTTGTGTTCTGATGTAAGTCAAGTTTTCACATATAAAGTTGCATTCACAAACTTTATTGGATATAAAGAACACGTGGTTTTCTATGTAAAGTGAGAACTATTTTGTTAAAATGCATATTACTTGTATACAATAGTGCTTTAAAATGATTGATTTTATACAAGTTGCTTAATGATTTAAATATGAAAATTAAAGGTACTGTATTAGTTTATTGGGTTGTCTTTATAGAAATTGTTTTATAGACATTTCATATCCCAATTTTATCCTTAAACATTTTTGTATGCAAAATTTGTGATTGTTGTTGTAAAGGATGGTTGTAATAAATGTAGAAATTTAGTTTTATCTCTGACTGGAGGTACAGTACCTATTTATTGAAAGAAGATAACAAATTAGTTTATCTAAAAAAAAGGGGGGGGGGACTTTAATGGATAGTGTCTTTATATTTTGTTATTTCAACTCATTCCAAATATTTGCACTTGTTGCATAAATTGGAAATAATACAGCTCTACTCTTATTTTCCACAAGATAAATCTTGGGTAAATGTGTTGGCAGATACTAGATGCTATATATTTTCCTAAATAGTATTTTTGTTTACTTTCATTTTATATTACAAGTTTGAACTATTAATGGTTTGGCTTGACCAACAATGTTTACTAGTCTGTATATTTATCATGCAAATAGTTTTTTTTTTTTTTTTTGTGCCCATATGCCTGATTTATTTGTAATGTGTTCTACAGTTCTCTTCTGCTACTCATTTGTATATTTGCTTATAAATTCATCATGTTGGTATTAAATGTTGCTTATATTGTAAACATTATTGTTTTTTGCACATCACTAGTCCTTATTGATCAGTTTAAAGTTAGTTTTGAAGCATAAATGAATGATAAATGATGATCGATTTAATGTAAAGAGGAAGTAGAAACTACAGGTAAATGATTACCTCTAATTTTTATATTTTTGTGGATTTAATGATAGCTTACTTTTCACTAGTACTATTACATGACATTTGTGCTTTTAAATTTCATGTAGACATGGTAATTTGGCACATGGAACTCCTCAATGTATAATACTGTAGATAATCAGGATATTGATGCTAGATTGTTGTCTAGTATTGTTTCCATGGAAGGACAAAGGGTAAAGGTATGTATCTAACCTGTATAGTATTGGCACTTGCCATGCTTGACTAGCAACACACCGGTATCTATAAGAGATACTTAACAAGTTCATCTCTTATAAGATCAAACCACAATTAACATAGCATTAAGGCAATGTGAACATGGTCTTTTGTTACCAAAAATTTAGTGTATTATTTTGTACCAAGTTTTTATAAACTAGCCTCAAGTGTTACAAAAATGTAAATAAAATTGAGGGATATAGTGAATTGGAATTAGATTCCATAATAGCACAAATACTGTAATGTAATCCCTTTTATTAATTCCTGCCACTTTCTACTTTCTTTGACAGATGCACAAACTTCAGTGCTAGGGCATTGATATTTACTGCATCGAAATTGCAAAAGCATTTTATTAAATATCACCTTGTTGGTGTTGGCTAAACTGCTTTTGATTATAGTTAAAATATTTGAGTGGAAGTCATTTAGATGTGCTTGACATATAGGATGTCCCATATACAGCTGAAAAAGCTTATGACATTGATGAAATAATACTGTATGATTGGGTAAGATTAGGAATTTATGGCCAATGCAGCATCGGTGTAGGATTGTACTCGCTGCTACTGCCCACCGAGCTCTCAGTACACAATGGATGTTTAATTTCTTATTATGGATAAAGCTAAATTTCCAGGGTTTAATTTTTCATCAAGTCAAATACTGTACAATAGCTACCGACTCATTTTTATAAATTACTATGCACAAGGTTTGTCTTGTACCTAATACAGTACTTAGACTAACCTTCAGTTATCAATGTCACTTTACATAGTATTTACGTAACAAAATATTTGTTTTCTTCATTCTAAGAAAGGGTTACCTTTAGCCCTACACTGCAGTCTGTAATTAAACAAATCCTTTCAACTCTTAAGAATTTTGATTGTGTAATATTTGGCCCAATATGCCACTAACACATTTTATTCATATTGGTTACAGCATTTAAAAATAGACATTTTACAGTGACTTCTAATGAAAATTAGTTTGGAACAAAATTTTATTAGGGTTAGCCACAGGGTATGACTATACTACATTTTTTTTTATTGATTTCCATTAATCAAGATATAATGTATACTCATTAGCAAGTGAAAGGTTTTATATACATATTTAGGAGGCTTATTGATCCGACATAAAAGTGAATAGTATTACATTTGATGAACTGCAGTATGTGTCGAAGTAACTTATATTGTCAAGTCTGTAAATAATCACATGTAATGTAAATTTGTCACAATAAATATTGTATAAATATCGGTGTATTTGTGAACACACACTACTTAAATTTGACTTTGAACTAATGTTTGATAACTTAATCCACACTAGGCAACTCTTCATTACTTAAGAATTCTTCTTAAATGATTGTAAGTACTGTATAGCACCATAACCCCCTTCATTACTCTTGGGAAGGTAGCAACATCAAACTTGCCCTTGGCCCCACTCTAATGCCTTGCATAATGCCACATTCAACACAAACATTTACAAGGTCCAAATATTTCAATAAATTACACAAGCATTTAAATTGTCAACCTTCAGCATGCAGGCAGGTTGCTTCATCCCCTGGCTCTAATGTTATTCCTCATCTGATGGTTATTGTGCTCTGTATCAAGAAATCAGATTAAAAAAAAAAGATAATGAACATGTTTTTAGATTTCAGTTTGTTGCTAATTTAAACTTATAATTCAACTTTACGGAAATGGAAATTAAAATGCGATTAAATTTAATCTTCATGTATTTTATTTGTGTTAATTACATCTAGTAAATCTTGCCATAATTACTACTGTGTTTTTCCATTCTCAGTATTGCTAGTACTACTTGTTACCGGTTCTCCAACACAAATAATACCAGAGATGTCTGCGGTCGCAGGAAAAAGAGCTTTCGCATGAACACCAAACGCCATAGACGAACCTCTAGTAGCAGATAGCGTCAACATTGGTTCCCTGGTGCGTTCACCAGTATCTGGGATGACGCACACCATCTGACATCGCCTACATCCACCTTGTATCTGTTGATTAAATTTGTTCTACAAATTTATCAGAAAAATTAAGGCAGTATGTACTGTGTGACATCCATTTTGAGCTGGTCACTTCCTTAGGCAATATCTCTCGCTCATGAGGAGGCACACTCGAGCCTGAAAGTGTCACCTCATCTCTAATGCAGGAAATGCCTATTGTAAATGACCCTACCAGGCCATTTCTAAAGAAGAATTTCTCAATTCAGCCACACACGTCTAATTGAAAGTACATTCCTCGACACTCAAAAGCCTCTTGAAAGCAAAACTTCTCACATATTGCTCTTCCACATACCATGGGTGCCATCTTGACAAAATTTATTGGAGGATCATTTCCCAGCAGAGCTGGAGCGGAAACAAGACAGCAACAGCCATGCTGGAGGAAAAATAATTTTCCACTCGTTCCACCAAAGACTGAGCCAGTTATTTTGGAGGAAACAATATAAATGGAATTAAAGTGTAAATTCATTGTTAGTACAGTGCCCCTGGGACCTCTGTTGTTAATCAAATATTTTATGTTTGACCCATTCAGATTATGCAGTTTAATTTTAGTTGCCATACCACAAAATGGACAAAAACTTAATTTGAATGCATTCAGCAAAGGATAGGGAATATTAATGTAATAATGTATCAAATATACTAGCACAAGACCATAAATCTAAACTTATCCAATTTACATATAATAAAATTAGATATTTATTGGGCAAATACTGGTTTTGAAATAGGGTTGTTGATTTGGGGAACAGATTACCAGGTAACATGCCAGGATCATTTGAGTTTTCAAGGTTAAGTTAAAAATATACACGAGTGAGTTTGGTAGTACAGTACGTACATACAGTAAATTGGAGCCACCAAAAATATTAGCCAATAGGCCTTTTGCAGCTTCCTTAAATCTTGTATGCTTACAGAGGTTCCTTGGTCACTAGGAAGTTTCTCAATGACAGTTCGGGAAGAAAGCAAGGTAGGATCACCGACTTTTGTGTACATGACCAGTGATGGTGACCACGTCAACACTACAGTTTGCAAAGTCCTGAGGAAGTAAGATATTGCCTTTGGAAGCAATCATGTGGCCACCTCAAAGATAAAATTGAAATTAGTACAACATTACATGCTCACATCAGAACTTGAACAGTACCATTCATCAAGGAAGAAGGAAAGTACAAGTGCCTGGAGGTGACACCATCATAGATAAGTCTCAGTTGATATCACTAAGTTTCAAAATTGCTACTGGACATAGCCAGGCAAAAGACTATATAACCTTCGCAACCAGACATTACCTCCACCTCAATCTTCACAACTACCAATACATAGGCAACTGGCTAGTGTTCATCTTGATGCTGGTCTTTAGTGAAGCATTTTCTATGATGAGGGTTAGCCCTTGTGTAGAGTTTTTCATATCTTTGTTGGCAGGAAATTAAATAAGAAGAAACATCTAATATCTTACCTGGAATTGAAGATTATCAATAACAATGGATGTCCAGGAATCTTCTTCATATGGATCTCCTCCATCAATAACCAAATTTCCTCTGAATCTCCTTACAAGCTCTTCCTGTCAACATGAAAGTGGAAAATATTATTAAAACTAAGATTTATAAATATGTTTATATAACATTTTAACATAGATTTCAGATCAGTTTGTAATATCACATGAGACACTTGTAGGACACTTGATAATTTGGATGATCACTTTCAACAATCTTATATCTGCACCATCTTTGCCTCCAATAAGAAATGAGATTAGTCAAGCACCAAACTGCACCCATACTCATTTGTCACTATCATACCTTTATTTAATAAATTAGGACGATAGTCCTACTTTCAAGGTAATTGTATTCATCCTTTGCACACACATCTTGCCTTATCCCTTCTTATACCAGAACCTGTGTGTCCACAGGCCTACACGTCAGTCTTCCACACCACCACCATTACCACCCATCTTTTTTACTCCACCTTCCACACTACTATAGTGGTACTGTAATTTACAGTGAGGAACATACAAACATTTGCAAATATGACATCTCAACAGTTTATTGCAGAATAAGACAAGAAATATTTTTATATAATTACTTCAGTCATTTCTATTGAGCTTTTACGTTGGATCTCTTCCAGCAGCTTGCGCACACTTGGCCGATGAATTACTAGGTATTGGGACTCGTTGGCAAGGGACAAATTTGCCTCCGATTCTCCTGCATGTGAGATTAATGTTTTTGTAATTACCGACTTGAAAGACCCAACAGCTTTTATGTTAGCATGAATTATGACACTAATGTTTGTGTAATGCTGTAAATTATTCATCTTTACCTATCAACTCTATTGTATTTCTTGCCGACACTGGAATAAAGTATGGTGAAGGAGTGTTATAATATATATATGGGAAAAACAAGTTCCAAGCACATCATGGGGCAACCACATCAATGGCTACAAGAACCCCTCAATTTGTATAGCAAGTAATATGACACAATGAAAGTTATACAAATGTGTAAAGAATAAATGTCTCTTCAGATGAAGACATGTTGGCAAGAAAAGCACTATTAATACAGCATTAGAAGATAAAAAATTCTACAATATATAGTCCACTATGGGGAAATACAGCCATTCCATGGTACTGTAACCTTTTTTTTGTATATATGAAATTAAATAAGTCATTAACAGATTCAACTTTTGTATGTGTCTTGAGTGTACCAGTATATGTGCCTTCTGTACATGTATGCTTACTGTGTGGCTGCTTTCCTGTAAGAAAATACACCAACCACTTAAAACTGCTGTGGTATGCTGGGCCCATGGGTAATGTTGGAATACTGTACTAAGGAACAAAAGAAAGATTACAGTTTAGAGGAGTAGGATGGTACAATGCAATTTAGATACAGTATATACAAGAGTTCTTACATTCTTGTATAGCCACTAACATGCATAGCCTTTTGGGCAGGTCCTTAATCTTAATTTTCCCTGGAATACAACCTGCCAAATGGTTTAACAACTAGGTACCCATTCACTGCTAGGTGAACAGAAGCGTACAATTAAGGATTGGCGCTTTGTCAATCCTTTCCAGCATACGAACCTAGGCCAATTGCTCGCGAAGTGTGGGAAGAGTGCGTAGTGTTACCACTGTAGTGGTAAAATAGTATAATATATAATAATAGTGTATAATGAAAATAGGCAAATGTCAACAGAGATAATACAGTACAGCATACTGTAATCAAATAGAACAAGAGTAATGGAGCTAATACAGGAACTACTCAGCAGTGAATGGCCACATTCATTATGAAATTAAGGTTAATTTAACTACACACATACAGTATTGCATAAAAAATAACAGTAAATCTTAGTAAAGACCTAATAACTTATAGCTAAAATATAAAAATAAATATTTGTATAAAAATAATGAAGATTCAATATACTTACTCAAAAGGCAAGTTTACATGAGGGGCCACAATATATTTAGTGGCCTCGATGGGGACAGGAAGCCAGCGGCTTGTCAAAGGTCTCACCATTATTCTTGATTTTTTCCAGCTAAATACAATACAAGATTAGAGGGTTTTAGAGCATGTAAATAAACATAATATCTTGTAATTACTGATAATGTTGCAAACATAACATGCTTCACAACTTTTTTTTGCAGATTTCCTAGTAAGAGCACTGTAGTGGTGTGTGCTGGGGGCTGTTGTGTACCACAGGCATGGGTGCTGGGGGCTGTTGTGTACCACAGGCATGGGTGCTGGGGGCTGTTGTGTACCACAGGCATGGGTGCTGGGGGCTGTTGTGTACCACAGGCATGGGTGCTGGGGGCTGTTGTTTACCACAGGCATGGGTGCTGGGGGCTGTTCTGTACCACAGGCATGGGTGCTGGGGGCTGTTCTGTACCACAGGCATGGGTGCTGGGGGCTGTTGTGTACCACAGGCATGGGTGCTGGGGGCTGTTGTGTACCACAGGCATGGGTGCTGGGGGCTGTTGTGTACCACAGGCATGGCTGCTGGGGGCTGTTGTGTACCACAGGCATGGGTGCTGGGGGCTGTTGTGTACCACAGGCATGGGTGCTGGGGGCTGTTGTTTACCACAGGCATGGGTGCTGGGGGCTGTTGTGTACCACAGGCATGGGTGCTGGGGGCTGTTGTGTACCACAGGCATGGGTGCTGGGGGCTGTTGTGTACCACAGGCATGGCTGCTGGGGACTGTTGTGTACCACAGGCATGGCTGCTGGGGACTGTTGTGTACCATAGGCATGTGATGTGTTGCCAATAAGATTAACAAAGCCCCCCATCTATGACAACAGAAGAAAACAGACAACTACCACATAAACAATAAATGCTTCACAAAATTCAATTGGCTTACCATGGATAATAGATTTTAACTTGCTCAATCGCTCACTTGTCTGTTGCATAAGCCTCAGGTCTGGCTGTCCCAGAACATTGGAAAGCCAAATTCCAACCTGGAGTCCACAGTCTAACCCTTTTACACGGTCTCTACACACACGGCCTCCACACACAGATATGTCTCTTGCTGCAGATACACAAGGCTCAAGAGGCACAGTAACATCTTTTTCACCTGTCAACAATTTAAATCTGGCAATAATAATCAAAGTGCAGATTAATTGAACTATTATAGCTTTGAAAATAATTTTAAAACGTGTTAACATTCAAATGAGCTACCATCTACAGTGTGTGCGTGCACTGTATATATCTGCGTAGTTACATGATAAGAACTGTGCTCGTCGTGTCCCTTCTTCCCAGTAATCACTGTCACGTGACCTCCATATTCCAAAACCCACAAGAGGTTTCAAAGCAGTGAGTAAAGGGAGGAAGTCCCTAGACCTGCCAAACACCACCAACTGTACATTCAGAATATGAAGTGAAGTTTAGAATATCTGCATAAAGTATGCCAACAACAGGATGAAGACTTTGAAACATTTAACCAGATGAGTGAAGTCACACTGATATGTATGTAAAGTATGTATGCATGAACAATATGTACTACTTGACTGCATGTAGGTTTTGTACAGGCACCAAACTCTGAAATTACCTTTGTATGAAAGAGTAAGTGTCCCAGCCTCCAAGTCAAGGTGCGGTGTGATGAGAGTCATACGTGGAAGCCTCTTCTGCGTTAGCGTCATACCAGAACTTGTTACCACCATCCATCGACGGTCATACTTCAAGCCTTTTAGGTCTATGTTCCATTTTTGCATTGAGAGACCCCCACATGATTTAACAGGGAAAATGACAATATTAGTTAGGGAGAGTCTGGCAGGCCTACAGTTACTTGACTCCCTTCCAATATATGAATTCTGAATTTTCTTGGTATTAAGCAGTTCATATTCTTGCATCAAGTTATGTTTTGAATGTGAATGGTTGAAACCTTTCTCTGATATTTGTCTTTCCTCGTTACCATAGAAAGCTTCTGTAATAACGCATTTTTCCTTCACTGTTAAACTTTTACTTATTTTATCAACTTTCCATCCATTGACCAAATTTCCTTTGGGAATGGCACTGTCTTCATAAAACATAGAAGGTAACAATGCACTTTTTTCCATCCATGATAAATCTACAATGAGAGGGCCATCAACGAAGCATTCCTGCACCATTTTCAGAAGTAGATCAGCATCACTGTATGAACTCATGTAACCAAAGCTGACACGCACAGAGCCTGTTGGCAGCCCATCCACCAAATCTTGAGCATCTCCACATACATGTCCTGCCTGAGAGAACATCAATAACAAACTGATGAATAAGTAAGAACTGAATGTACGTGATGTGATACTGTATAATAATTTTTCTTTCACTATATCAAAGGTTTCATCTTAAGGGCATGGTGAATCTCTTTCAAATATTTTGTTTGGCATAGGTACTATTTAAATAAAAGATGGATGCACAACAGAAAGGAGATAAATAGAAGGCATACAATTATAGATCAGTATCATCAACATTCATAGCATTTAAGATTTAGAGCAATAAGATTCTGATTAGCCAAATACATAAAAATAAAGCCATAGGTTCAGAGAATTAAAATCCTGTCTACCAAATCTACACAAGCTTAATAACATAACTGAGATCTGGCATAATGGGTAGGATGAGTCTACTACATGCTACAAAGATTGCCAAACACCCATGACACTCCCCACACAAAGACAATATAATAACTGGAAAAAATGCACTGAAAATATTAAATTGGGAAAGACAGTAGCAAACAGACAGACAACAGTCATAGGAGGGAAGAGAAGTCATACAGGACCAACACTCATAAATATAAGTAATGACACACACACTTCATGATGATGTTTGTAGACAATTAAAAACTGATGTGGGGAATAATGATGTAGAGATTACATATTGTTAGAGGATTATTTAAACATGCCATATGCTTGGTCCAATAAGTGACTATCCACAAAGATGGTTAATGAACATGTGCAGAAATCATAAGCAAAGGTTTGAGAGCGAGAAGAAATTAGTCAAATCTATGAGTGAAAAAATTGAAACAAATGGTACTGTAATTATGAAAGTTAAATAATAGATGTGAATTACAAAAGTACATACAGTAACAAAAGATTAGTGAGACTCCAGCAAGATGGAATGACAAAAGTGAAAGGAAAACAGCAATTGGCATTCATAACAAGTACATGTGACATTCTTGTTTAGAATACTTTAAAATACTTAAGTCAAAGAGCATGGCTTTGCCATGGGAAATGAATTAGCTTCCTTGGACATTACAAAATTTTACTCTGTTGTGTTAAAATTGATATAAAGACAACCACCAACAATATAATCATGCTACCAAGATTGTTTTGTACGAGTTATCACCTTCAGATGATGGCCACAAATGTACCTGAAATTGATGCAGTAGATTCTCTTGAGAGATATCAAGGTAAGTTTGACATGCTCCTGGATTACACAAGCACCCAGTACGTAAATAGATATTGTACAAAGATGAAACTCTCTCAACCTGAAATAATGAGAATTAAAGAGAAATGTGATTACATAAGACTACACAAATGTTTTAGCTTCACACACTGATCAAGATTTTAAATCGGATGCAATATTATGCCTACAAAAAGTTGAACCCAATAAGTAGATCAAGATAATATACAGTACTGCAATTATTTTTGGTAATACAAATAATGTATGTATTTACTAACTTTAATTTGATTTCAAAATAAAATACACACTTGTTGAGATAGAAACTGATATGAGTATAAATTAAATATCAGATAAATTTTTGCAATCTTGCAAATATAATGAGAAAAACATTAGTGATAAGGACAGGAAAGTGACTTTTAGGATGTAATAAATATTCACTACTGTATGAAAAATGCTTGCCAGAAAAAAAATAGGGCTTCATATAACATGAAAAGTTCCTTTCTGACTTGATTTCTCAGTTACATTTAGTGATGAACTGGGAAAACTGGTGCCTCTTACATTGTCCTCAGTGGACAATGTAAGTTATTGGCATGAGTGGCCATAAATAACAAGGAATGCAAATGTCAAACAGCATTGATGAGGGTTATTAGTTGCCTTGTTATAAAGAACATAATGAATACCGTATGCCATATAGAAATAGGAGATATTTTGCAAACCAATCTACATCAATTTTACCAAAATTATTGCTTAGGAAGCCCTCGTACTAACCTGGGCATATCCAACATGAGATCCATCTGAATTTAACAAATTAAAATTGACAATGGAGCCGTGTGTGTTGACATGCCATGGCTTCTCTTGACAGTATAACTGAGCGACTGGGGACCCATTAGCATGTCTGTAGCTCTTAAGAGAGTGGTGTGTGTATCTTGCCAGGTGGAACACATGATGCTTCACCTTCTCCATTCCCCCTGATTCACAACACAAGTGAAGCCTTTATTTTTTATATTCTTACATATTACTATTCACACTTACAAAAGCAAATAGTAATTGTTTATTTATAATTGTTTTGTAATTGCATATGTATTAATTTATGTGCAAGAAGGTGCAATGGGTTGTGTTATTACATTCAAGTACTGTACATTCTCTCAAAGCTACCGACACAATATTTTGGGCGAGTCTTAAACTAACAAAAGATTTATAGTGAATTTTAAGTTACAAGGTAAATGGTCTAACTAAAATAAATAAATAAAACTAGTGACAGGAATATATTGAGAAATTGTTGTAATTGAGAGTTAAAATAGTCAGGAAATAGTTACTGTTTATTACTATTATTCAGTACAGTTCTTTATTCATGAATTATATTTGGCATCTGTACTTGCTAACATATTTATACTTGTGCAAAGTACAGTATTGTTATTTCTAAATATATTAAATAATCATTTAACCACATGAACTAATGGCTAAACAAACAAAATGCAGTAAGCTTCACTAAAAACAAGAGAACCCGAAAAGAATACAATGCGTACCTGTGAGTTTGATGATCGTGCCAAAACCATGTCTGAGAGCTAGAATACTTAAAAAGGGAAGTGTTCCATCTTCAAATCTACCATAAATAAGAAAGGAATGTATCAAAACTATAAGACGCAGACACAGCAATTCATAATATACGGGCAACAAATAAAAGTACTACACTAAAATTCAGAAACCAAGGGAAGGTAACCCAGGCACGAAGCTGGAGTGAAAAAATGAACATGGGTACATGCAATGTGGGTGACAAAAAAAACACAATTATGAAGAAAGAACAATAATAAATAAGTAAAGTAGCAATGGCCCACTGCACAATGGGAGTTGTGGGAGTTCACCAGAGACCTGTGGTGGGTATGTGGGCCTGCGGGCCGCTACAAGCAACAGCCTGGTGAACCAAACTCTCACAAGTCAAGCCTGACTTCGGGCCAGGCTTGGGGAGTAGAAGAACTCCCAGAACCCCATCAACCAGGTATCAACCAGGTAACCAGGCTCGGTGCAAAGAGGCTTGAGAGGTTTCAGGCTGGTGGAAACCTTCAATGTGACTTATGCTGCCACCAAGTAGAGGGCGTGTGCATCAGAATCAGTGTTTATATTGTTGCCTTAAGGATTACTTTCTTACCTACTTGTGCTTGATTTTTGTCCTGTTATTCATTGTTTTACTGCACATATATTTTCGGGTTGAGGTTTCTCTCAATTTTGAGTTTGATCTGTCCGCAGCTCCTTTCACCTCTTTAATGGAACCAGATTTTAGTCATTGCTTAGTCCTTGGTTAGTGTGGGTTTCAAAGGCCCATTGTAATTATAATTACCATAAAGCATGGTCTGACCAGCACTTAGTTTTGGGATCCACTGAGGGCGGCTTCCCTCAAGGAAAAATGATTATTTCCTGGTCAGGTTAAAAATGATAATGACTTTCAATCATGTTAATTCAATATCATTAAAGTACAGTATCTTCATTTCCTAAACATTAATAACTTTAAATGGGGAGTGGTAGTTATCATAGACCTTGCACTCATAATTATGACACTCATACCAAAATATTTTCACAAATAAATGAATAGATAAAAGATGGGAAAAATAACATTCACACACCCCCTTACACATCTATGAATGAGAGATGATGAGTCAATAACATGGCTGAAGGTATGATATGTAAACCACCCTTCAGAAAATGACATTTCAGTTATCCCTGGACCTTTATCAAGTCATGTAATTACATAACTTTATAATGGTCCAGGACAGACTAAAACAATGTTCTTTCTTCATTTTCTGATGTGTGGTTTGGATATCATATGAATGAGAGAATGGGAAAAAAATATCCTGGAAAAATATGCATCGTGCTGTTCATCTAATACCTGTCATGAAGTTTGGGTCGTGGGACAAGCATCATTTTCCTGGAGTCAACCATCAGCACAGTGCCTCCCCCAAAGTATTCTTTCTTCAAGACATTCCATGCTCTTTTCCTTACCATCAAGCACCCTGAGAGAGAGATGTATTACTTGAACAATAAAAAGTACACCGGTAAATATAACTGTTCAATTATCTGCTACCTCTATGCCAATGAAAGCATTCAAAGTTTAAGCCTAACAAAACGGCTGATTAAAAAAACAGCGTTGAATGTAACGAAACACCATTTTCTGGGCGAATCTCGTAGACTCCCCAGAGCTTACCAGGCTGATATGTATGTATTAGCCCGTGGCATCAGTCAATTCGATGGAGTTCTAGCCAACCAGAACCTGGCCCCCTAAGAGAGGCATGAGGAGCAATGGCCAATAGAAACTCCATGTGGTTGGAAACATCCTATGTCTGCCATCTACCGGGTTAGGCACTCAGAAAGGTAGGCGTCCCAAAACAAACTACTGTACAGCTGGTTAAAATTTGCAACCAAAAGCTGAACTAGCAAACAGAACTCCCCAAACCGAAAACAAGCATGATGTCACCACCGCCGCCATGCCACTGTCTGTTGGCATATGAAATAATACATTACTCAATAAAGGTAATTAATAACTTGTACATACTATAGTACTAAATATTTGGGTGAATTAGGTATGAAATTTATTTTGAAGTTAATATTTTTGGGAGTGTGGAATGGATTAATTCAATTTACATTATTTCTTATGGGAAAATTCTTTTTGGGTTGCGAATTTTCAGCTTGCGAACCATCTCTGGGAACGGATTAAATTCGTAAGATGAGGCACCAGTGTAGTTTGTTTTGGGATGTCTACCTTTCTGGGTGCCTAACCCGACAGACGGCAGACATAGAATGCTTCCAACCACATGGGGGTTTCTATAGGCCATTGCTCCTTGTGCCTCTCTGAGGGGGGCCAGGTTCTGGCTCGGGGTCCCTGGTAGGTTAGAACTCCATCGAATTGACTGATGCCCCGGTCTAATACATCCCTATCAGCCCAGTAAGCTCTGGGAAGTCAGAGGGGCTCTCCACAAAAATGATCACAAATTAATAAGGATAATATAAGCTTACCCAATCCAGTTGGATATCCAAAAAGTTTGTAGAAAGATATTGGAATGAAATCTGGTTTCCATTTGGAGAGATCAAGAGGACAAGTGGCAACTAATCCAGCAGCATCCAGTAATACGAACCAGTTAGGGTCACTTGTATTGTCTGCAGAGGGAAAGAAAAAAGAACTGGGAGTCGGGTGGAATGTAAAGCTCCTGTCTAAGCATTCACTCTGGTGCTCCCTAAGCTAGTAGCCAGGTCAATACTCAAGCCAGGCCCTGGTTAACTTTTTTCCCCGAGACAAGAACTTTAAAACAACAGAGCATAAACCACACTACACCTGCAAGTGATCACTGGAATCACAAAGAAAGACAGTTATTGCTCTGCTAATGTATTGGCTAGTAATTAGCAGCTAGCCAATACCAGATGGCAGCACCAGCTTCTGAATCAGATGAGGGAACTAATAGGCCTCACATTTTGCCTGGAAAACATCAGTTTCAAGCCCAGCCCTGAAGAAGTGGATTAAACAGATTCGTTATTCTTTATGACTTTGTCTGCACTGAGGATCCCATGCTTTAATGTTCTCTTCATGGCAAAGGTGCTCCATTGTTTGCATGTCTCTGGCTATAGCTATCTACTTCAGCTTGGTTTTTAGTGTTATCTTACATGATGCTGATTACCGATTGTTGATTGCAATCACCACAAAGTAAAATGAGTCATAGGGGACAAGGTGATCTGTAGCAGAGGAAACAGAAGCCCCAACCACCAACAGGAGTCAGATTGAAGACAAGTGGCTCAGGGATAAGGGCACTGAGAACTATGACAATATCATTGTATAAAAGTAAGGGCTGAATACGACAAATGTAAATTATTGAGGCATTAGTGTTCCAAGTTAAGTGGGCAAACTGTACGACAGAAACAGACTGAAAAAACATGGAATATTGTACAGTATAGCCAAAAACTGAACAATAATGAATGTGGATAATGAATGTGGTGGGTCCCATGGTGAGAAAGGTCACGTGACTCGGATATTTGCTTTGAGACAGCTAGAAGAGCAGGCATAAGAATATAGAGTATACATGGTCTTTATTGACCTGGAGAAAGCATATTACAAAGTGAATAGAGAAAGACTGGAGTATGTTGAGTATGTGTGGAGTTGCTGGAATGTAGTTAAATAAAGGGAATAGTTCTTTCATGTGCATGTGATTTTGTTAATTGTTTAAAGATTAAGCTTGACATAAATATATCAGTGTACCAAGGTGTGCCTCATCTGGACTACTGTATCAAAAGCATAGAGACCTCACCTTCAAAAAGGACATATCTGCTATGGAAAAGTTGGGTCCATCCCTGAACTAAGTTTACTCTCATACCAGGAAAGGTTGATTGCTTCAGGACTAACAAGCCTACAAAACAGATACAACAGGGCTGTTCTCATCAACACCTTCATAATATGTACAGAGCAAATTGGAAGCTATTAATCCAGAACACTTCCTTAAAAAAGGTCCAATGTAACTCATGCAAGACAACAGCTTCCTGCTCAACAAAGCTACAAATTTGTTCAGCATTTTAAAGATCTCGATCAGATCGGTCCTATTATATCTGGTTTGTAGTGTTGTTAGTACTGAGATGCTCAACTGTTCCTGGTATGAGAGCTGACATAGTTCTGGGATGAATTTTTTTTTATCTGATTGTAAGGAGGACCTTTATATATTACTTGCTCTCAATGAATATCATACCTTTTGATGAAACTTTATTATTTATTGGACAGCTGTTTAAAATTTTGTTCAAAGCTCCATTCTGAACCTTCTCAATCCACTCCAAAGGTGCCTTTGTTCCAGAAAAGTTACATTGAGCACTGTAGGCAAAGAGGCAGTTTTTTCTTTCCGTACACCTCTCCCAATTTGTTCCGGCAACATCTCTTGGACGAGATTCTCCACTGGGTGACTGTTCCACAGCATCTGTGCCATTATAAACAGGCAAGTGAAATTCTGTATCCGATAAAGGGATAGCAGAATCATTTTTTAGTATATCCTGAAGGTCTTTGGTACGCAGACAGTACACAGGAACACCTGCCTGATGTGCCAAGTCTCTCACACCTAGCACTGACGTGTGGTTCTCTCTAGCATATACAAATGCTCCTTGATTTGGTTCTCTCACTTTATTTTTTCTGGAACTTTCTGTATTTTGGGCTTTCTGATTAATTTGTTCTTGTGTGTTATCTTGAGACACAACACTATTGATGCCATTGTGCAATAGTTCAGAACTTTCATTCCAGTGAAAACTTTCTCCGACAATCTTTAGTGCTTGTGTAGCACCAGAGGTAAAGATCAAATCATACTCCTCTGCTTCAGTATTGAAATGTTCCAAGACCCTGTGAAGTAAACACATTTATTAATAGCCAATATTATAGATCAATAAATATATGAATAAGAAAATACTTAATTAGGTATATTGTACTACAGTGTGATCGAAGCTCACTAACACGGGCAACACCAGACCAACACATCACAGGATACAAACACTGTAAAGGATACGAGTGCAATGATTATTGGGTCCTGTAATGAGGACAGGGAATATAACAAGGCCAGAAAATATCTGATTACTATTAACATTATCAAAGCTCAGAACTGTACATGTTCAGTATTAACTATCTGCCAATTTTTTGTCAATTTTAAAAGCTATTTTAGATTGTCTTGTGGCATTTTCCAGTCTTCTGTGATTTATTTCATACCCTATTTTTGTACTGTCAACAAATGTATAAATTCTGTGTTTAAATTGTTTATATGTACAGTACATACATGGTAAACAAGAGAGGTCAGACAGCCTATGAGTACAGTCATAGTGTTCATAACATCATTCATTATTAGTGCATCTAGGAAAGAAGGAAATAATCATGAATTTTGAGAATCAGAGAAGAAAATAACAATATGATATGGTGTATAGAGTCAAATACTACTACACCATGGGATATAATGAATGAAAATTCAACAGTGCTAACCTCTCTTGCAAAATACAGTACTGTACAGTACTTAATAAATATTTATTGGAATATATAATCATTCATCTGTCATCTTGAACACACTGACCTATCCCAGCTAACTATCCTCTCCCTTACCAGCAAAACATCTACAATTAAATTACACACTTATTTTGGTGTTTCTTTATATTATTATCCACACTTCATGCATTTCACTGCCTTCTTCCCAGTACAATTATAACAAGAACAATGTCTCTTCTGAGAGTATAATGATACAAGAAGATGTATCACGAGATGAGTGTTGAGATACAAGGGCATTCCTTCAAGAGAGAGGCGACTGAAGGTCACAGTGAAACACGAGGGTGAACAGCTATACACATACTCGACAAATGAACCAATAACAAGGCAAAAATAAAATGAAACTTTTTTTACATCACAGAAGAATTTTATCTAATGCATTTCAATATGTGATATCATCCACACAGCTTGCTTATTCACTAGCTAGGCAATCTGCACCTTTAGCTGTAAATTAATATACACTAGTGCAAGGAGTCTCTCTCTAGCTATAATTAATCAACATATGGAGAGCAACCCACCTTACCTCTGACGAATGGACTCAATCATTTGAGTGGAAGTATCACTAGGAAAGTGGCGAGAGTGAGGGTTCCCAAAGAGAGATGACTGAAGCTCGGCTGCAACATCTTTCATTTGGCTGCTGCTGTACAATGTTGCAGCTGCATGGTCAAGGTAACAGTGACCTGATAAAAGAATGTAACAGATGAATATTGGTCAAGGCAATAATCTCCTATAATATATATACATTTCTTTTAAAAAGAAGTAAACTTATACAAAGGAGTCAAGGAAGCTCCACATGGCATTAGTGACATACGTACTGTAATTACAAATATACACTGTATAAAAAACCGTCTGCATACTATACAAAAAGTTAATACCTAATATTATACCTAATAAAATTTTAGTATTATGCTCCCACTCTATGCTACTGAAACTTTACTATGGAGTCTCCCAACAATCACCAGTCACCCTGCAAAGTTTGGCGAGGCTAGCCCCCCAAGTGTCCGACTTCCAACAATGGACAGACAGACATACAGAACTACTGCTAACTATTTCAGCCCCATCAATACTCGGCCAAACTCAGTTGTCAGATCCATAACATACTTGTACCCAAACAATACACAGTATGATTGTACAAATCTTACAGCACACTAAAAACAAATACTAGTATATTGTTACCCTTCCTCAAGAGATGTAACAGCTCTAGACACTGCATAAGAAATAAATACCTGTATCTATTTAATATTCCTGGAGAGTACCCTAAAACTGTTGTTCATATAAAGGAGCCAAAAATGGTTTACACAAGGACCACCATCTATCTAGTGGCCTCGATGGGGATAAAAAGCTGACAGCCTGTCAATGGTCCCCACATTTTTCCTGAGGATTTTTTTCCAACTGGATTTTGAACTGCTTCTTGGCATTTATGGCTTTGGCAAGTCGGCAAGTCCATGGGTTCATAACCCTATGGGTGAAAAGTACCTCATGTTTTCTGTCCTACAGTGTGCCTTGTTGACCTTGAAATTTGAGGAGCTTGAAACTGCTGCCCCTTGTACATCTTACATTTGACCTTTTGAAGAAGTGGTCTGAATTAATATCCTCCAACTTGTTCAGTATTTTAAGTTTCTATGAGATCAACCTTGTCATGTTAAGTTTACAGTGTTGCTGGACCTGTGGTCCTTAACTGTTCCAGTTTTGAGTCGACTTAGTTCAGGGATGGTTTTTGTCACCGTCTTGAACTTTGTTCAAATGAGATTTGTGCTTTTGAAGATAAGAAGTCTCCATGCTTGAATACAGTAGTCCAAATGGGTGCGCCTCACAGATCTGTACAGCTTGATTAACACTTTTTCCTTGAAAGTCATAATTTGGGATTAATTTCAGTTACATATGAACAATTTAAGACATTTATTATACTCAAAGTACTGTAGTCCTATCTTACTTAATATTTACAACAAAAAGTATATGTCCACAAGAATAACTATCATTAAAAATAAAGAATAAGAGTAACATGAGTTATATGCAGCCACAACCCCAGACAACAGACCTTCACATCTGTGGAACTCTTCACGCTTTATTTCCTCGACATTATAGGGAGGAAGGACCTTGAGGTTCTGGAGGTGGTCCACCATCATGCAAGGTGGCTGCTGGAGGAGTGTTGTGAGTCTAACAAGGACAAGAGTTGACTATACTCATGATGACAGGACTGCCCGTCCACACCTCCCTCAGCCATCATTGTTTACATCCCGCCCCCTCAAGGTCATCCCTCTCAAGGAAAAACCTCTAGTGGTTACCGTAATTAGCTTTGGGAGATAATTACTTTGTACATATTTAACACAATAATCTTTGGTTTCTTAAATATAGAGATGCAATGATTTATATATAAAGTGATATTCTTAGTGTGTATATAAAGATCGTGCAAGATTTTTACGTCAGGCAGTGGGTAATGTTGCGTCACCCCCCTGGCACGTGGTGAGCGGGGCACCGCCCCCCCCCCCACCTCCATGTTCCATGCTCATCCAACCACTTTTATAATAATAATAATATCTTATTCAGAAAAAGTACATACATAGATGCAGAGTTACAAACAAACTGTTGGATTTATAGATAGGGCTAGCACCTACAATAGCTAAACCCACTAATACACATAGCGTTTTGGGCAAGGTTTTGTTATATATGGACATTGCTTGCAAAAGCGATGAAGTTCCTGTGGGAAGGAAACGCATGAATATCCATGAATCGCATGAATGTATTTCTACCATATTATTATGAGAGAAGAGCCACATATCTATCGGCCATATAGACGTTATTACTACATCTTCTTTGGAGAAACATCAATGCATAGCGACAAAAATAAACAAATAAGTCAACTCTTCTAAGAGTAATTTAATTCATATGTTTGTCGGGGACAGGCAGCCTGTGCATATATATATATATATATATATATATATATATATATATATATATATATATATATATATATATATATATATATATATATATATATATATATATATATGACAGACGACCAAACTACGACGTTGCTACAACGTTCGAACAAGTTTTAACCCCTAATAATGGTAACAACCAATATAGCAAGTTGTAACGTCATAAAACGCTATAACAAGATATCACTACTTTATTACAAGTCTAACAAGGGGAATCATAGGGACTGTTACGTTGTTTTGAGAAGATTTCGGGGCTTAGCGTCCCCGCGGCCCGGTCCTCGACCAAGCCTCTTTTTTCTTACCCCCAGGAAGCAGTGCGTAGCAGCTAGACAGCCAGTACCTATTTACTGTTAGGTAACAGGGTCATCAGGGTGAAAGAATCATTTTGCCCATTTGTCTCCGCCTCCACCAGGGATCGAACCCCGGACTACGAATCCGAAGCGCTGTCCACTCAGCTGTCAAGCGCTGAGTACCAAGGTGAGTACTAGTACTCACCCTAGTACTGAGTATTAGGGTGGGTACCTGTTTAATGCTCCGTTAACAGAGACATTAAGTAATAGGAAATATGCCCAATCATTTCCGTTCAACCCGTGATCTGAACCAACTCTGTCCTCGTGGAGGCCAAGTATAGTGTTAGCGGCCCCTCAGGTCAATTTAAACACCATGCAGCTGTGTGTACTCTTGTAACACCTGATTTTGTTTATCGTGATAAGATTTATCTTATATCTGATATCCTTGATATGTGGTTTGATATGTATTTGGTAACAAATGTTTTGATATTGCAGCAAGTCACGTTATCTCTAATGTGTCAGCTATACTCAAATTACCCCCAAACTATTTCACATTCCAATAAATTCTATTGTAACTATCTAAAGGTTCCCAATAACTCTTTGAATGTTATCACCCAAAATCACATACGTTACAATATAAATGATTAGCTAAATAATTGATTAACTTAATTATGAAAAAGATAAAAACTGAATAAGAAATTTTACATTTGTAGGACCGCCACAGATAAAAAATGTACATAACCGTTATCGGTATTATTACAATTTGCTTTATTGCTTACATTATTATTGCAATTTTTATTGAAAATTATATATCTTTTAAAGATATCTAGAGGTAGCACGTACGATAGGGAGATCAAACTTTTTTGTTTGACAGCTTTGGTATACATAGCAATGTGAGGCTACCCTATTCTATATGAAAGATTACAGTGTAGATCAAAAACTAGCTACAAGTTCATCTAATATCTCCATCTCAAATGATATTTAATCATATATGGAATCAGGAGAGAACTTGAAATGCAAGACTGATCTATTATAGCCTTCACTAGCAAAATATATCTTCCAATATTCCTAAGTGTATGAGATAGTTACAGAGCTCAAAATACATCACACCATTTGCTCTGAAATCATTGATTACAGGACAATCTTATATATAGTGTTGGAGAGTATGATCCTATAGCTCTTGTTCACATAGTTTACAATTAGAATGTTCACCATTGGGGTATTAACGCCATATTTTAACATTTTATGGTGCTTATTTTTTTGTTAATACTTCTTAAATTTGTTTTTAAGATCATATACTTCAACTGTACTTTGTGAACATATGATTATATACCAAAATATATTATATAATCATGCTTGGTGGGTTAATATAATTTAGACTATTTTATATTCTTTTTATTTTGTTGCTAATGTTAGTACAGACTTCACTACAGGTATATAAGTTACCTTACACAAATACTTAAAGTTAAGCAAGATATGCTACGTCGGTCACCTATAGCTTGGATTAGGTTGATGCCATAGGCAGGTCACGTGACACATTCCCGCCTTGTATCAAGAAGTTATTCTGTGTATAATGAGTTAAGTGTGAGTGAACCGAGTGTGCCTGACGTGCTCTAAGAGGAACATCCCAAGTCCTGCCACAGAACCCACTAAGTAACAGAGGAAAGGCCCTTGCAGATGAGCCAGGGAAAGAGGCTTCGATGGTGATTCTCCTCCAGCATACCACTGAAATGGAATACAATTACTGATAGAAATCAAGAGCTAAATATTCACAAGTGAGCTAAACGTGATTCTATAGCCAATTACAAATACCATTTGCAAGAAGTCCTAAATTCATTTGTTTAGTTCAGTCTGTGTTTGCTGCAGAATTTGTTCTAAAAAGTTTTTTATTTCATCCATGTGTACCTCTCGTGCATATATATATATATATATATATATATATATATATATATATATATATATATATATATATATATATATATATATATATATATATGTGTGTGTGTGTGTGTGTGTGTGTGTGTGTGTGTGTGTGTGTGTGTGTGTGTGTGTGTGTGTGTGTGTGTGTGTGTGTGTGTGTATACATGTAAAGTACAAGTTTTCTTGCCTTTATGTGAGTCCGCTTGAGCTGGTCCACGACGTCGTCATACCATTTTTGAACTAAGCCAGCTTCAACCAACGACTGGATGCCCCAGTCAAACTTATATTTCCACGGAGTATTTTTTCTGAAGAACACTGCCAAGTTAGCCTCGTAAATCTGTTCTTTGACAAAGTACACCTCATCGCTGTGACCTGTGATGTCATAGAGAAGTTTGAGGTAGGAAGAGCTCTCAAGGTGGGCGTGGGCACCTCGTAAGACCAGTTTCACGCAGCCTTCTTCACCCGCGAACTCCGTCTCCTGTGAAGGCACCATGTCCAGCTTGGCTCCCAGGGCTGCTAGGGCCGGATGGGTCGACCTGACCAGCGCCTCCGCCACGAATTCTCCGTAATCCAGCATGCAACACCTACAACCAACGGATCCAGTTTTTATCCTAACTAAAAATAATTATGTTTGTTGTTGGTTTGGCTAATAAATGCTACTGTTTTAACAATTCTCACTTATTAATACAGATATTTACCATATAGTGTATGATCTAACTAAAGTAATTTATACTTTTGAGCTTTATCATGCTAGAAAACATTATATAATATATATATATATATATATATATATATATATATATATATATATATATATATATATATATATATATATATATATATATTGGGGTTGGGGCCCAGACGCTTGAGGCTAGTGTCATTAAAATTTCCAGGGTAAGGCTTCCACTGAAGCCGAACCAGACTTTCACACAATTCCCCCATAATCACTGGCTTTGTAGTCCTGGTAGAATTTTACGTCCAACGCTTCTCTTCAATGCACAAAGATATCACATTAACGTGAGGCATCAATGAGGAAACCAGTAGGGACTGATTTTCTCATTGATACATCACATTAATATGATTTCTTTGTGCATAGTTGTTATTGTTGTCGCCTGCTAGAGAGTGCATAGCATCAAACGCTATTGGTAACTAATAGAGCTTGTCCCTAAGGCACAGAAGTGAGATTATTAGAAGTTATATATATTGCCTAGTTACAAGACAACATTTTTTTAAAGAATCATTAGCGAACCTGTATGAGCTGTGAGCCAGATCCTGTATGGTGCGTATCTTGGAGGGGAAGACAGGGACGGTGAGGACAGCTATGAGATTGCAGGTGTAGGAGAGGACGAGGATGTAGGATGTGAGCCACCAGCCTGCTAGAAACACTCTCAGCGACCACTCTCGGGGCGCACGAGCTGCCATCTGGCTCATCAGGCACTAAAATGGGTCAGTGTTGAGAAATTGATCAATATTGCCGTATGAACAAATATTATTGTATGAGTTAGGTTTAGCTCAGCCTCTAAAACGACATTCAACCCGGGATCTTCCTGTACCCAACTCCTAACAACTATTTGATAGGGGCTCATCGGAAGTAATAGCTTCCGGTTAGCCTTATAAAGCACTTCTCACGATTACTTTAATTCTCAATTCTGCTGTGATGTGAGGACACATTCCTAAATGCAGGATTTTCTAAATGATGAGTGACATCCTTTTACGTATCTTCTGTTTCTCTGTTGCTGAAAACACATGTTCCGTTAGTCATTTAACGAAGGAAATAAATACTTAAAGTCTTCTCAAAACATATGAAAAAGTTTCCTTTGCTCAAAAATTTTGTTCTGGCATTATATAAACCAGTTTTTTTTCTACGGTATATTGGAATGACGTTTAACTTTGCCACGGACGTCAGAGAATCCGAATTATAAAATGCCATTAAGTGCCTACTGTTATACCGAGTGAACTTTAATACAAGCATTTATACCTGAACAATTTTCTGATAAGTTTTGACTTCTGGTTTAACGGAACCGCACTTCATTCAACCCGTGAGCATGGTAGCCACACCTGAAAGATAATGATGAGACACTGGAAGAGAGAGCGGTGATGAGAGCTAGTGAGTGTGAGGGCGTAGTATCCTAGTGCCACCAGCAGGAGCACGCCGCCCACCAACGCCCACAATCGGCCGGTGAAGGGGTGGACCAAGTTTCTCCAGGGAGGCAGGGCAGGAGGTGTGGCTATAATGAACCCATACCTGAGGAATACCACTCTGTATATAGTCACCAACTTCAGATGAGAACACAAAATGTCATACTGGTCTAGCGATCATTTTTGCACTTCTGTTCTCCCTCTAGCAACAGTCACTACAATGTACCAAGTGCAAAAGTAAACAAAATACTTTCTACGTTTCTAATCATGCTAGATTTACCACGTATGATCCTGCAGTTAGTTACTAATGGTTCTTTCGAACTACGCTAGTTACAAGGAGGGCTTGGATATACTTGGCTACAGCCACCGTTACAGTTGCTACAGTCACCGTTACAGTTGCTATGGCAACCGTTACAGTTGCTATGACAACCGTTACAGTTGCTATGGCAACCGTTACAGTTGCTATGGCAACCGTTACAGCTGCTATGGCAACCTGCCAACGATGGCAGCTGCTGCTGTCATCGTTACAGCTGTTATGGCGACCGTTACATCTGCTACCGTCATTAGGTGCCAGGCGATGACCCACCCTTCGTTGTAATATGGAACAGAGTAGTCAAAGTCCTTAGCCCGTTCCTCAGTGATGGCGAAGTAGTTGAAGGTGAGGTTCTTCTCCCCTCTCCAGACGTCTCCAAGCATCCCCACCCAAGACCCGTTCACCACCTCCCCCCACTTCTCTGTCAATAACATGTACAAATAATAAGTACTAATCTCTGCCATCACTAATACTTAGTCCATAATACAAACACTTCTGTAGGCAATAATTGTGAAAATGTTTTAGTCTGGGTAACATGTAACATTCAGTCCGGCCTTGTAATGACTTCAGAAACGCTTGGAGTGATTAGCAGCCTTATGAACAATTCTTATAATACTGTATCATGTATGTATAAAACTTATATATTTCTTATAAATAAACACATTACTGTGTTGACGTTATTCCAAGCAAAATGAACGAGATCTTATGATTTGTATATATCACCTTCGTTAAAATTTAAATAAATTGTTGGGAATTACAGCGGGATTTGGTACACATGTATTCCAATCAATAATCTTACTGTCACTGCCTCGACGAGTCATTGTGTAGTTAAAGTTGAGCCACCAGCCTATTGTGTCGGTCATTCGCTTGCCGACGCCGTCGAAGGTTCCGTCGGGGTTCCTGAAGACATAAGGCATGTCTACCTCGTCACTGGAGACGTGCAGCGTCGCCCCGTACAGCGAGGCGAACCTGTCCTGGAAGAGGCTGCTCCACACGGGGAACCTGTCCGCCCTCCACGGCCCATGGGACACTAACTTACTCTCAGGGTGGAAGGGACGCCATGTGTAGACTGTATAGATGACGGGCACTCGGCAGGTGTTATGGTGGCAGTACTTGGGACAGAGGAGAGCCACCGCTGGCGTCTGCTGTAGGAGGGGTGCCTGGAGGAGGGAGGAGGCGTGGCAGGGCCAGGACACCCCCAGCAGCAGCACGGTAGACAGCGACCACCACCCTGGTGGGGACACCATCTCCCTCGGTGGTTTACCACTCACCACCACCATCATTACACCTGCTAATGGCCGCTCACCTTATTCACGACTAACTTTTCTCTTGTGTTATACTGCTTGAATTTATCCATATTTAAAATTAACTTAAATTTATTGTCACTTGTATATTATATTACTGAAGAAAGCCTAGCTTTTTTACTGCATTTTTAACTTAATTGAAAAGAAATCATGCAGATAACTATTTTTGTAATTATTGTTAATGTTACCGACGATACAGTGTTTCAAATATAGACAATAATCAGATTAATTGAGCATGTAACTGGAAAGTATATATACAGTTATTTATATTAGAATTAATATTGTTGAGAATTTTTAGTGTTTCTTTTTTGGCGGCAACATTCAATCTGGAAATAACTTTATAAACCTAAATCATATTATCATAGTTTTTTCCTCTGATTTTAATGAAATGTTCTCACAACACGCAGCGTGAAGCCGTTAGCAACGTGCAACTGTATCTAAATTCCAAACTTTAATTTAATTTATTTATTTATCGATTTATTTATTTATATACAAGAAGGTATAATGGATTGTGAAATTACATACATACATTAGTGAATATGTGGTACATTCTTGCAACGTCATTAACACGCATAACTTTTTTTTAAATTGCTAAATTATATGTTGAAAATTTTAATTTTTGTTTTATATGATTTAAAGATAATCAAATTTCAGTTACTCATTTGATAGAAAGGTAATTTAGGTAATTTAACTTTCCAATTATAACAAATTGCAATCAATTTTGTTCGATTTTTGTTACTTTGCTGTATATGCTTTTATTTATAACTAAACAAAGTAAACAGAATGAGTGTAGGTAAACAAATGCAGACAGAAAAATTAGATATCCCTTAATTTATTTTCTCTGCTCGCTCCTTCCCTGCATCATAATGTTGTGTCGTCAAAACTCTGCAAGCCAACTTTACTAAAACCTTGACACGTGCACGTGAGAGGACTTACTTGGGGACAATATGTGGTGGAAGTGTGGATGGTGGTCATGGCTGTGTTGTGACTCACTAAGGTCACCCCTGCTCCCGTTCGCTGCCCGCTTCCCGTGGCTAACTATGAGAACATACGGGGTTAACAACTCTGCCAGGAGGAGATTAATGTTGACCCTATCTTCTACTTTATCGTCTACAAGGAATGACAATGTCCTGCCAGTGAGAGGGCCTTCCAGTAGCTCTTGGAGGAGTGTAACCAGAGAGTTTTGAAAGATTGTCGACGATTCCAGGTTCAGATGACAGTCCACACTGCCATCATTGTGGCCGCCACCTACAGAGTTTCGAGTCTCCTGGACGTGCAAGGTGGTGGTGGTGGCAGCAATAACAGCCTGGTCAGTCAGGAGGCGGGAGTACATGCTGGGGCAGCGAGGCTGGACTACTAGGGAGCCACACGCCACGCTCACCCACACTAAAGTCGTCCTCAGCATCCACTCATTTCCAGGCATCCTGGTCACATTCATATCAAATAACGTCTTAAATTTGAAAATAGTCATGGATAATATTATATTTATTTCCATCTTATTAGCTTATTAACTGCCACTGCTAACTAATAAGGAGGCTGTTGAATATTTACATAATATATATATATATATATATATATATATATATATATATATATATATATATATATATATATATATATATATATATATATTATATATTATATTATATTATATAATATATATATATATTATAATATATATATTTACATATTATATATATATATATATATATATATATATATATATATATATATATATATATATATATATATATATATATATTACATATTACAGACCAGAGAGAGAGAGAGAGAGAGAGAGAGAGAGAGAGAGAGAGAGAGAGAGAGAGAGAGAGAGAGAGAGAGAGAGAGAGAGAGAGAGAGAGAGAGAGAGAGAGAGAGAGAGAGAGAGACAGAGACAGAGACAGAGACAGAGAAGCCTAATTTAATTTTTAAACTAGCCTAATTTACACGTAAATTAGGCTAGTTTTTTTTTTGCTTTCTTAATGTTTTGCTTTTCCCTAGCATCCTTACGACAAGAGGACAGGGATGGGAAGCGTTTTATGAACAGATGATATTGTTACGTGATTATAAAGACTACCGTGAGAGAAGGATGGTTAGTGCTTGCCTGACTTACCTCCTTGCCTGTCCTCCTCCTGCTGCTCTTGCCTGACCTGCCGGCCCTATAACTTGCTGTTCAGTTGTGACATTAAAGACACTTCACATGGCGCATGTTGATTACACCTCGACATTTTTTATCGCGAGGAGAAGGCCAAGAAGTTTAATTACACCTTTTTTTATTACAGTAACGAGGAAGTGAATTTTATATGAGTCAGACGCGTGTCACATTTCACGAAGAATGCCACAGACATATGAATAATTAATAATCGCGTGTGATAGGTATAGTTACCCTCCTGCCCAGCAGGTGTGGGGGACCATCCTACCCAGCAGGTGTGGGGGACCATCCTACCCAGCAGGTGTGGGCACCATCCTACCCAGCAGGTGTGGGTATAATCCTGAATAAATAATAATTTACTTAAAAGGATAAATAAAATGAGACATATGATTGTTACTCATTATTTTATTATCTATTATCACATTATAACAGCAAGTGATAGGTGGTTGAGTGGTGTGAACAGCTTCACAATAGTGCGATAGTAAATGACAGGCAGGAGTCAGTATGTGCTTCAGTCACCTGACGAATATATCTTCAGGACCCCTTTACCAGTACATAATATGTGCGTCACATTATAGCACTGCATACCTACACTAAGCTTACACTCGAGGAGCAACACCAAACTTACGCTCGAGGAGCAGCACCCACACCAAACTTACACTCGAGGAGCAACACCCACACCAAACTTACACTCGAGGAGCAACACCAATACCAAGCTTACACTCAAGGATCAACACCAACACCGCCAACACCACACCCAGACCAAGGGTGAAGAAGGCACCGTAGAGGTGAGCCAGCGCCAAGGGTCGTGGCGAGGATCCCTCTTCACTCTGTAAGTGTACAAGACATTACCGGAGCTCGGTATATGAGCTAACATGAGCAATAATAACAAGGGAATATTGCTTCCAAGTTCCTTATTGGCTTGCTGCTGGACTCAAGGTTTATATCAACCTATAATAGTCAACAATATTATATCAACTTCCGGCGGGTTATAGAGGCTACCACCATACTTTACTAACCAACCAACAAGTATACTTTAGTCCTGAATATTGTCCAGGAGAAAAGTATATTCTTAAGTGTATAAAATGCTCTAGTGTGTCCCTGTCTTTGTCTACACATTTCACACTTTACTTCATCTAGATCCCTATACAAGCCCAACTGTCAGAGACGCTTACAGCCAAGTGGTATTTAAGCTGACAACGTCTGTTAGTCTGCTGACGTTGTCACTTGCCCCAAACACATGTTTTGTATTACATCTTAGAACGTAAAAAATAGCCATTTTAAATTATTTTCTTATAATAGTGGACCCCCATACCCATCCCGTGAGTGGTGGTGGAAAGGCTTAAAGAGACACTTACTCATAATAATGAGCCCAGGAAATGAAGCCATGCGCAACCATATATCTCTTGCAAGTATGTTTTGAGCCTTAAGGTTTTGTATATATATATATATATATATATATATATATATATATATATATATATATGTCTTACCTAGTAGCCAGAACTCACTTTTCAGCCTAAAATGCAAGGCCCGATTTGCCTAATAAGCCAAGTTTTCATGAATTAATATATTTTCTCTAATTTTTTTCTTATGAAATGATAAAGCAACCCATTTCATTATGTAAGAGGTCAATTTTTTTTAATTGGAGTTAAAATTAACGTAGAAATATGACCAAACCTAACCAACCCTACCTAACCTAACCTAACCTATCTCTATAGGTTAGGTTCGGTTAGGTAGCCGAAAAAGTTAGGTTAGGTTAGGTTAGGTAGGTTAGGTAGTCGAAAAGCAATTAATTCATGAAAACTTGGCTTATTAGGCAAATCGGGCCTTGCATAGTAGGCTCAGAAGTGAGTTCTGGCTACTAGGTACGACATATATATATATATATATATATATATATATATATATATATATATATATATATATATATATATATATATATATATATATATATAAAGTACACAGCTTACCTCAGCTTTTGTCTTGTAATATTTCTGTAATATGTCAGTGTGCCACTTCTGAATGAGACCAGATTCTACTAGCCTCCGAAGGCCCTTATTGAAGGTCAGGATCCAAGGTGTGTGTTTCCGGAAGATGAAAGCCAGATTGCTTTCAAATATCTGTTCCTTCATGAAATATATCTTATCACGCAGGTCCAGAGCGGAGTAGACAAGCTTCATATAATCGTAAGATTCTATGTGGGCGTTTGTGTTAGTGAGAACAAGATGGACACAAGCTTCTTGGCCGCCATGACCGTCCTCGGTGACGGGGACCTTGTCGAGCCTGCTGGCCAGTGTCCGGAGGGCCGCGTCAGACGACACCACCAGCGCGCGGGGCACGAACTCTCCGTAGTCCACCATGCACAACCTGCACCTTCCAAACACAATCAGTTAATACACAAAAGACACGCAGATAATATATCTCCGTTTCTGTGAGCGCATTCTAAACCCTTCAATTAACACCTGTGTAAAGTTATCTTTCCATTCATTTCCATATTAATCTATTGATTGATTGTAACTGAGAGAAGCAGGCTTATTGCCCTGCCACACTGCGAAGACTGATTGTCTTCCATCTTAGGACAAATCTAATTACCAAACTTATGGTTATATGACACTGATATACAGTACTTGACACAAAAAGGGTGCAATTAATTGTTAAATACAGTTAATGTATGGAAAACATACATGCAGCACACCATGTAGGGAGGGGGGGGGGGTAGTGAAGTCACTACTTCAGTACCCTCTACAACCATATCTCACCTGAAGATGTTCCAGGCAGGAACGAATCGTTGAGCACTGAGTACATCATATAATCATTCTTGTTGTGTTTTATTCTCCTAAACCATTAATGATCCTAAACCCCAGATCAATCATGAATTTTGGGAAGCTAATCACCCAACTCGACGCTGATGCAAAGATTGTCACCCGCATCGAATGGCTGAATGTACATTGTTCAACAAAGCTAGCAGTGAGGTCACTTTCCACCAAATAAGTTTAAAGCAACGCCTCCTGCCAACACACAAAAACCGCTGCTTAGGTAATTACACACCCACTAAGAACTCTAAATGACCCGGCCAGGATTCGAACCCATGACGTCCAGGATCACTCCCCAAACGTACACAGTACCGTATTTTACTGGATAATGTTTTTTTCCAGTAATGTAATTATCCAGCACATACACAAGTATACTTCTGGCTTCAGATTTGGTGTGAAATATAAGAAAACAAATTTACTCTTGAACCAGCTGTTAGAATTTTAGAAACATTAATTGCTTTAAAATTTCCCCAGCTGTAATATTTTATATAATGCTTAAGGAAAATGGTTAAACAGCTATAAATTATAATAATTAAATATAGCGTCGATTCTTATATAAACACTGTAGCAACTACATCAAAAATTATTTAGGAGCTATTTAAACGTTCCAGGTATTCCACGACTACAAATGACATCCTCTCATGTTGCCAGGAATTCCAATTAAGGAGCAGCCTTGCTATGAGGGTAGTCCGGTGGACGGGGATACAAGGCCGTCTTACCACAGGCATCTGGAGACAGGAGACATGTACGCAGAGAAGTGTAACCCACTTCTCGGTGTATATACACAAAGTTTACTTTAGTTAGTCCTGGACTACGTTCAGGACTAAAGTATTCTTAGTAGTTGTCAGTAAGCTATTGTCATGGCTTTAATAACCCTTTAGAGGTTCATAGGCGTTAACCCCCAACACCAGACCTAAAGCATTTGGACACTGTCAACACAGCCAGAAGCAACACCTAATCTGCCACACCTAGCGGCCCATCACACGGATTTGATTACAATCACCACTCGCAGTCTGCCTGCTGCCTCCTGCACTCTCCTGCCTCACTTTGAGGCGCCTCGTCATGACACTCTTTATGTACGACACAAGAAAATGCATGTATTTATGTATGTAGGTTACATTAGCATTTTAAAAGCACTACAATCACCTGTGGTTAATTGTTCAAATAAATCACTGAACTACATGTATAAGAGATCTCTAACCTTGTCCATGGAGGACAGAAGAAAAGGTATATATGCTGATAGCATTGCAAATGTGTGGTAGAACTAGCATTGCCACGTCTGTAGTAGAACAAAAAAACGGCTGTAACCATTAACATTAAATACGTCTAGTTACTGTATTGTGTTTCTTGTCCATGCTGTCATAACGTTACAAGTGTAATTATGTTCCTGAAATACGTACGGTGTTTATATAAAAAACGATCACAGGAATGACAAAAGTGTTCATTACAACCCAATCTTCATTTATGATCCTAAAGAGAGAGAGAGAGAGAGAGAGAGAGAGAGAGAGAGAGAGAGAGAGAGAGAGAGAGAGAGAGAGAGAGAGAGAGAGAGAGAGAGAGAGAGAGAGAGAGAGAGAGAGAGAGAGAGAGAGAGAGAGAGAGAGAGAGTAATTACCTAAGTGTAATTACAGGATGAGAGCTACGCTCGTGGTGTTCCCTTCTTCCCAGCACTCTTTGTCATATAACACTTTGAAACTACTGACGGTCTTGGCCTCAGTGTGTGTGTGTGTGTGTGTGTGTGTGTGTGTGTGTGTGTGTGTGTGTGTGTGTGTGTGTGTGTGTGTGTGTGTGTGTGTGTGTGTGTGTATTCTAGCACTTGTCCTAAAAATAGTGTTTAACCTTTACCTAACTTCGTACACAATGTATTATTATTATCAGCATGAGGGTAGGCCCGATAACGGTAGTCATCACATAGACCAAGTGTTGTTTACCTGTAGTCGCTGTTGGCCAGGTCGTCCACCGTGTGTATCCACCTGGGATACAGCGGCACGGTCAGCACGGCCATCAGGTTCCCGGTGAAGGCGCTGACGATGACGTACACAGCCACCCACCACGCGCCCAGGAACACCCGCAGTGACCACTCGCTGGGTACCTTGTTCACAGACTGGTTGACCAGCCCCTGTAATGATGAACCAAAGATTAGCCAGCCCCTGTAATGATGAACCAACGGTTGACCAGCCCCTGTAATGATGCACCAACAGTTGGTCAGCCCCTGTAATGATGCACCAACAGTTGGTCAGCCCCTGTAATGATGAACCAACAGTTGGCCAGCCCCTGTAATGATGAACCAACGGTAGACCAGCCCCTGTAATGATGAACCAACGGTAGACCAACCCCTGTAATGATGAACCAACGGTTGATCAGCCCCTGTAATGATGAACCAACAGTTAACCTAGGCTTAGTATAGCACACATATATACTATATATCAGGCCTCAGATATCGTATATTAGGTCTAGGAAAGTTAAATTAGTTTAGTTCGTCTTTGCAACACAAATATAAAATCTTTTATGTTTTGTCCAAATTCAATAATACCGATTTCTACTTTCTAATCGCGTTATACGTCGGTATATGTACTATGGTCCTCATCGTTACTATAAGTACTACCAAAACAGGAGGATGGGCTGGTATATACATAGGCCTGTTAGGCTCCTCCTACGATATAAGGGGGGATGGGGCTCGGCCGGACCCCCACCCCACCAGCAGCCTATCATTTACGTGGGCGCTTTACATTGCACTAGGCTCTTCCATGCTTAATGAATATTCCTGTGGCTTATTTGACTTGTTATTATAATTAAGTTTCATAACTTACCTGTTGCGCTACTGCTAATTAGGGTAGTTCCCCGCGAAGGATAATTAGTTATCCATTATTTACAGATTATACATTTCTTAGTACAGTTAATTCATTTATAATGTCATTTATTGTAAGCCTTATATTTTACTATTATGTACGTCAATTATGCCACTTATTGTAAGCCTTTTGGTTTACTTATTATCTACTTACAATTATATTAATATAATTTTTTACTTATAAAATAAATATTTAGCCCGGCAAGAGTACGAATCGCCTCCTAAAACTATTGATCTTGTAGAAATAATTGAACGAGACATCATTTATATAAACAAAGACTTCCATTCTCTTATTTTATATAATATAAATAAATGATACATCATATATAATTATATAAATGTCACTTAATGAGCTATTAACACGTTTTAGAAAGCATGACCAATAAATCTGATCAAAATTGATTATAATATTAATTCATATTAATATAATTTGATATACTGTATATATCATTATAATTATATAATATCACCTATATAATATAGTTATATAGGTGATAACATTACACCCACCTCTCTACTATGCCTCTACCAAAACTAAATATACAGTATATAAACTAAGAACGCGTGTTGAAGTTTCTGTAACTTGCATTCTCATCACAAGAAATTGCTTGCACCAGCATGATCCACAGGACCCACCTTCAAGATGTACGCCGGAGCATAGGGTAGGCTGCCGACGTTGCTGTGTGGCTGCAGGTAAAAGATGATGCAGAAGGCAGAGCAGGTGGCCAGGAGGACCCCGCCCACGGCAGCCCACACCCGCCAGGAGAACGGGTACACTAGGCTGTGCCAGGCGGGTGACGGTGCGGGTTTCGCTATGGCAAACCCGAACCTATGAGTTAAGAGCCACATTGTGAAGCACCACCCCACTGTTATTATTAAACACTTAACTAAAATGTGTTCTGGGGAGTTTCGTGAACCAGACTAGACTGTCATATTGTATTGTTAGCAGCGGTATTTCAAATGAACACCCAATTATTATGTCGCGCCTGGAACCTGAGGAATATGAGTGGACAGCCATATCACTGCAGGGAGATTTTATATTAATATAAACACCAATTATAATATGAGACCTCTCTTGTATCGGAACATAAGAATATAGAATTTACATAAATTAATTTCTGTATAAAGTACTGCAGCTTGTACTGTAAGCAGCATCTGAGGGTAGCAAGACTCACCCCTGAGTGAGATAAGAGACGGAGGTGTCGAAGTAGTGCCACCTCTCGTAGGTGATGGTAAAGTAGTTGATGGCAAGGTCCTTCTTGCCCTTGTACACCTCTCCCAGCAGACCCACCCACGCCCCGCGCTCCTCCGACCCCCACTTGTCTGCCAACAGCAAGGCCATCAACCCATCATAATATGGAATGCGTTAAACTAACAATAAGAACTGCGATATAAACGGGAATACGGTAAGCCAGCGATATGATTCAAAACTAACAAAATAAAGTTATGTTCAGTGTTTCCATCGAGGGCGAAGGTAAAAACATCCTGTGCAACAATGAACCTGATATAGTAAATGAGTGTGCAATGTGAACCTGTCACTTGGACGAGTGTGCAATGAACATGCATCACCCCCTACTACTCACAGTCTGGGGCTCCGTTCGTTAGTGTGTACGTGAAGTTGAGCCAGTCTGAGAGAACGTCCAGGATTGTCTTACACGTTCCCTGGAACTCATTATTCTTGTCGAGGAAAAGGAGAGGAGCGTCGTCGTCATCGCTGGAAACACGGACTGTCTTCCCTCCCAGGGACTGGAAGCGGTTCTGGAACAATTCTGACAAGGACGTGAAGACCCGAGGGTCCCACACCCCCAGCCTCTCCAGCTTCTGGTCAGGGGAATATGGTAGCCATGTCAAGACGCTGAAGACCAAGGTGTCGCTCATAAGTTGGTACCGTGGGTAGAGGAGGGCTACTGATGGTGTTCTCTCCGCCAGCGTACTCTGAAGGAGGCGCCGAACCTGACAAATGGGGCTAACACAGAACATCAATAGCCTGGAGGAGATCCATGACTGTAGGGGAAACTCTAGCAGCCACGGCACCTCCCTGTTCACCAGCGCCACCGTGGTGCCTGAGGGTAAGACCAATTAAAGGATCGTGGGTGCGCACCAGCCCGTACACCTGCCATAATGTTTATTTCTTTATTTATATACAAGAAGGTACATTGGGTTTGTGAGGATACATAGCATGGTATTTACTATCTTGTAAAACCACTAGTATGCGCAGCGTTTCGGGCAGAAACGTTCGGTTATTCGGAGTCCAGGATTGTCTTACACGTTCATCAGCGGTCCCCACGTAGCGCTGTCGTTGCCGTGTCAGGCGACCACGTAGCCCGCTATCACTGACGTGTCATTCTTGCGTCAACTTAAAAACTAGTTCAGTAGTTATGTATGATTGTTGCTACGTCCTCAACGCATTGATCTATAATAATTACATTGTTAATAAACCAAATAATTGTTTGTATCTTATTTGAAATAATGCGGGTGTTGGGGATTAGAGAGTGAGGGGCACATGGAGAGCTAGGCTGCATGAAGGCTCATTACTAGTGGTACTGTCCTAGAATATAGCCTTTCGATATAATTTTGTCATCAGCGATAAGATGTGTTAGGTGTCCTGCCTCACACACTGACTAAAGGGTTCAGTCAGGTGTCCAGGATATGTCACTTTAAACTGCCTCTATCTCTCTATCTCTACAGTCACAGCCTGTAACACTATCTTATATCGAGGGAATGATAACAATGAACCATTTAAGTCCCCGTGGCGCAGTGGTAAAGCACTCGCCCGGCGCTTCGCGAGCGTTTTGGCCTGGGTTTGTATCCTGGCGAGGGAGGATTGGCTGGGCTCCAATCCATAAGTGTAGCCTCTGTTCACCCAGCAGTAAATGGGTATTTGGTTGTTAAACGATTTGGCGATCGTATTCCGGGGAAAATTAGGATTAAGGACCTGTCCGAAACGCTATGCGTGCTAGTGGCTTCACAAGAATGTAAGAACTTTTGTATATATAAATAAATATGCACCTGCGTTATCAATCAGGACTCAGAAAGTATATTAAATGTTATACATACTTCCAGGACCCAGGCAATATATTAAGGTGAGGTGACTCAGGTGAGGCGGACTACCTCACCTGAGGATATGTGTCCGCCATCAAAACCTTGTGTTTACTGTTAACCACAATAACCTTTTCAAACTTCAACACTATGGAATCAGAGGTCACCCCTTTCAATACTTGCAATCTTGCCTCACTTACCGCCTCCAGTAGGTTTTTGTGGACGCTGCTTCGTCTTTCATTCTGCCACTTAATATTGGCATTCCACAGGATAGTTTGTCAACTCCACTTTCTCAGTGACCACATCACCAAGACCCAAATGACCACTCAAAGCGTGAAGCTAATTCTGATTCCTAATGACACAACTCTTATATTCTCCTATGCTAACCCACTTATTCTAAATGGCACAGTGAGGTCATATATATGTTAGTTTATTTCCTGTTTATTATTAAATCAGGTAAATGTTTTCCTCGTTATACCTTTCAATTTTCACTCCTTTGTTATGCCCGAAACGCCTATCGTTAGACACTGCTAAAAATACACTTTTGTATATTGTTTCTGTAATTACTAATGCTAAATACTATATCTGTACTGTTGCTAAAATTACAGACTTAATAGTGCAATGGGTCATGCCTGTCATCATTAAATAAAGTATATTTATATTGTTTATCATTTGCTCAATTTCTTGAACATCTCTCATGTCGACTTCTCATTTATTTCTTTATTTATTTATATACACACAGGAAGGTACATTGGGTTTATGAGAGTTCACAGCATTGATATTTTTACATTCTAGTAAAGCTACTAACACGCATAACGTTTCGGGCTGTATCTAATATAGTATTAAGTGTTTACTCCCCATTATATCACATATACCTCTATATTATGTATGAATATTTTAGCAATAAAATATTATTAATATTATAGTAATGGTAAAAGTTTGTACAGTATTTGTTTTTGCCTAAAGTTAGAAAGTATCAAGAATCCCGGTATCAATTTGTCCTGCATTATAAATATTTTACGTCCATGGCAGACCGTTGGCAAGCGAATCAATACGAATTTTGCATAATAACAAAACAATTTATTTAGGACTCGCTGAGCGGACCTCTTCCGCCTAGGAGCCCCCGGACCGCGTTCTGTTTTCGCGATTTTGGATTATGATACTGCCGTCTGGCATCCCTATTCAACGGCCCGGTTTGTATGACGGCTGGCGCACACATCGCCTTGAGTCACGGGATAGTTGATAGATTTTGAACGTTTTCTGGCTGGTTCTCCCGGCGGGTTGACGGTGTCTGGCGCGCGTGGCTGAGAGATGCTGGAGTTGGCGGGTCTTGGTGGCCTCCTGGTGGGCCCTCAGACGTGGACGTGGTGGGCCCTCAGCCGTAGTGGGCCCTCAGCCGTGGTGGGCCCTCAGCCGTAGTGGGCTTCTGGTGGGCCCTCAGACGTAGTGGGCCCCTCAGCCGTGGTGGGCCCTCAGACGTGGTAGGCTCCTGGTGGGCCCTCAGAGGTGGTGGGCCCCTCAGCCGTGGTGGGCCCTCAGACGTGGTAGGCTCCTGGTGGGCCCTCAGACGTGGTGGGCTCCTGGTGGGCCCTCAGCCGTGGTGAACTGGTGGGACCTCAGCCGTGGTGGGCCCTCAGCCGTGGTGGGCTCCTGGTGGACCCTCAGACGTGGTGGGCTCCTGGTGGGCCCTCAGCCGTGGTGAACTCCTGGTGGGACCTCAGCCGTGGTGGGCTCCTGGTGGGCCCTCAGCCGTGGTGGGCCCTCAGACGTGGTGGGCGGCTGGCTTTGCTCTGCCGGGGGGGAGGGGGTGCACTGGATGACCTTTGCATTTTCGTTGGGGCCTAAGTTTTTGGTTTATTGGAACCATAATATGCTTTCAGATAACCACAAATATCTAGATAACTATTCAGGTTTGAGGTGGGGGGAGGTGTCTCAATATAATGGATTTATTCTGAGAATGGGCTGAATATATGACAGTACAGTCGGATTCGTTCTCCACTCACAACTGAGAATTATGGGTTCAAATCCCAGGCGGGACACAAAGAATTGGACGTGTTTACTATCACGTAATGCCTCTGTTCACCCAGCAGTAAATAGGTACCCAGGGGTTAGTCAGCTTGTTTTGGGGTTACATCCTGTGGAGAGTCAGTAGTTCGACTTTGGGGGGGACCTCGATATAAGTGTAACACGTATATTATATATACGCTGGCTGCCTAACACAATGCATTATTGTTATTAAATAAATAATTTTGCTAAATTTGACAAGGGCTTACCCGAGAAGGGATAGCGGCCGTTTTGACAGATGGTGTCCATTTCGCCGACGGAACCATTACATTCCTGCAGGCTATTAATCCACTGAAGTTGTCTAGCTCCTGTCCTGACGATGTAGACATCTGCGTGGAGGAAGTTAAGCAAGCTGTCCAGGGGGATAACATCCTCCACCTCGACATCCACCATCAACGATATTCTGCAGCCATCTAAGGGTCCGTGAACCACCTCCTGGAGGGTCTGCAGGACCTCCTGCTGTAGGCGCTGCTTCTCACCGGTGCCCCGCCACCACCTCCCAAACCTATAGCTGCATCCACTGCTGGTCAAACTGCAGAAGGCAGCAATAACCAAAAGCAATTTCTTGGTGTAAATATGCATTTTTCAGTACACAAAGCGCTGAAAACATTCGGTTCTAGAAGTCTATGTACTCGTATGAAACCCCATAAGATACATAGTATGGTCAAATTGTTTTTTCCATCTCAGTGGACCTGAGGCACACGTGGATAACACTGCCGAGCTCCGTGATCTGTTAATATAAAATTTCTTAATAGAGGCATTGGCTGGTGACACCAAGTGTACCAGAGTGCCTGGACAAGCTGGTGCCAGACGCCAACTGTGCCACCCGGCTCGTACACGGGTCGCCAGATGCCTCCTTTGAGAATTCTCTTCACGTACTCACCTAGTTGTGCTTGTGGGGGTTGAACTTCCGTTCTTTGGTCCCGCCTTTCAACAGTCACTCTACTGGTGACAGGTTTCTAAGCCTATGGGCTCTACCATATCTACATTTGAAGCTGTGTGTATAGTCGCCTCCATCACTTAGTACAGTCCATATGTTCATTAATCTAACATTAAAAAAGTATTTCTAATGCCTTTTGTGGTTAATTTGGGTACTATGTTTCCACTTGCGTCCTGTTCGTGTACCACCCAGTTTAAATAGTTTTTTTCTGCCTTGTCACTTCCTCTTGATAATTGTGTATGTGGTAATCATGTCTCCCCAAACTTTTCTGTCTTTCAGTGACATGAGGTTTAATTCCAGTATCCTTTCCTTGTAACTCATACCTCTCAGCTTGGGGACTAGTCTGGTTCAGTGACATATACCTCGGAACTTTATTAAACATTGTCTTCGTGTTTGACTAGATATGAACTCCACACTGTAGTGATCTGTGCACAGACCATAGCTTTCCCTCCCCCTTCCCCTCGTTTGCCGTCCTCTTCCTTCCATTCATTCAATGAATGGAAGGATCTTCCTTCCAAGGATCAATCTTCCTTCCAAGATCATTCTCCCCCCCCCCCTCCCCGTCGGACCTTTCCTATCATAAACGGTTCAAGTCAAGTATTCGCAGGCAAGAGACTCTACCCTTCCGGTGCCGGCCAATCCTACTCCAATCTTTGTCAGTGCCATAAAACCATAGTTTCAAATTTGTCAGGGGTGGCTGGCCAGGAGAGGTTGGTTCACATTTGTGAACTAACAAATGTTTTTGTTTTGTTTTGTGTATTTGTGCTGCTTTTTCAGCCATGTTCCCCCTTTTTTATCTCTATTTTTATTTGTTCTCAACACATTTTATTCTTTATACTCAATTAGTATTAAGATTTAGTCATTAATGTTTTTCATGCCCGACACGCTTTGAATAATAGTGGCTTTAGGCACTGTATGTACTAGCTCTATCTATAATCATATAATTCCATCAATCTTTGTAAAATCTCTTGTATGTATGTACCTTACCTAAATAAACATTTATTTATTTAT